AATACCTTAAATAAACTTATTTTAATTATTATATTTTAAATTAAATTATATAAAAATATAATATATAATAGTTTTAATTAATTTTAAGTATTTTTAATTATAAATAATTTAAAATATTACTTTAAAATTTAATTTATTTTTTAATTTATTTATTACTTTATAAATAATAAATAATAATATAATAGTTTTTAATACTATTAAACCTATATAATATTTTTAAAACTTATTTATAAAAATTATACTTTAATTAATAATAATTCCTTATAAAATCCTTTATTTATATTTAATCTTTATAGAAAATCTTATTAAACTTTATAATATTTATTATTATATAAATTAAAAAATCTTATTTTAATAAAATAATTTGAATTACTAGAATTAAATTTACTTCCTTATTATTTATAATAATAATTAAAATTTAATTATAAAGTTTATATTAAGTTTTTATATAAACTCTAGTAGAATTAATAGTAAAGTAAGCTTTTATAAAATAATAATATAATATAAATATATATTAATATATTATATAGAAATATATATATTCTATTATAAAGACCTTAACTTAAATTATTAAAAGTACCTTTTAAAAGAATTTATATTTTTATCTACCTTTAATATTTATTTAATAGATTATTATAATAAGTTTATAAGATCTTTTATTTTAAGGCCTTTTATTTTAATATATATATATATTTCTTCTAATAAAGAAGTTTATTTTAAATTTTATAACTAAAGCTATTTAAAGTAATACTATTTAAGGATTATATCTTTTTAATTATAGTTTAAATTATAAAGTTTTCCCTTTAAGCTTTATAAATTAAGTTTATAAATAGAGAGTAGGGCCCTAAGTGTATTATATTAGCGTTAAATATATATATTTAGATTTAAATTTTTATTATAAACTACTTTTATAAAAGAGTTATAAATTTAAATTAATACTTTATTAAAGAGGAGTTATCTTTTAAGACTTTATATACTATAATACTTTTAATTATAACCTAAATTTTAATTTATTATTAATCTTTAAATAAGATTATAAGTTCTTTTAATAGTTATAATTATTTTTAATTTTAAAGTTAAAATTTAATTTATATTTAAAGACTTTTCCTTAATATATAGTTAAACCTTCTTAAAAATCTATTAATTAGATTAATCTTATTAAAATAATATTTAATAATAAAATTAAATTTAATTAAATATATTAGTTATTAAACCTATTTTTAAGTTAATTCCTTTTACTTTATAAAGTTATAAAAGTTATTATAATTTAAAAGAATAATAATAAATTTTAAACTCCCTTAAAGTATTATTATTAATACTTAAAGTTATTAATAATAATACTTAATTCCTTATTATAAGTTATTTAATTAAGTTTTATATTAATAAACTTTTTAATTAGAAAGTAATAAAATATTATTAAAATATATTTTTAATAATATACTCTTAAAAATTATTAAAGTAGTTACTTTATTAAAGGTATTATATTTAATTTAAATATAAAATACTAAATTATAATATTAAAGTAAAGATATTTATTAAAATTTAACTTTAAGTTTTTTAAAAACCTTTTAAACCTTTAAATTTTTAGGTATAAATAAGTTAACTTTATTAAACTTTTAACTCTATTTTATACTAAATAATTACTTATTAAAGGGTTAAGTAATTCTAGAATATTCTTTAATAAACCTTTAATAAAAATTATAAAAATTTAAGAAATTTTAAATATTATAATAAATAGTAAGGATAGGCTATTTTTAAATAGTTTTAATTTAATTAAAATCTATTTAAATTCCCTCCTTTTTAATTAGAAATCCTAAGAATTTAATTTCCTTTTAAAAGAAGCTATACTTTTTAAAATTCTTATAAAGTTTAGCTAATAGTAATTAATTTATAATTATTTAAATATATTTCTTATACTTTTCTTTATTCTTTAAAAATTAAAATATTATTTAAATAAATAATTATATAAATATTAATATAATTATTAAAAACCTTTATAATAAATAATTAAAATATAATAAAAATATTAATTAATTTAAATAATATTACTTTAAATTTATAATAACTATAATATATATAAAATATAATCTTTTATTTATCTTTTTTAAATATAAATTTAATAATAAATATTAATTAAATTATTTTTAAAAATACTTTATACTTAATAATTAATTTAAAATTTTAAAACTAATAATAATAAATAATAATTTTAACTATTATCTTATTAAAAACCTAATAATTAATATAAAGTTAAAAAGTATTATTTTTAAAGATAAATAAAATTAAGGCCTCTATTAAACTTTTATTAAGGGTAATTTATTTAATTTTAAACTCTTTTCTAACTATTCTTTTAAAATCTTTAACTCCTTTAATAATAATAAATAAAAAGGTAGAAAAATAGTAATATTCCTTCTTTTAATTTAATTATATAATCTACCTTCCTTTAAAAAAGGAGTTTTTAATTTTAATCTTTATAAAAAACTCTTTTAAACCCTTTAATTATAGATATAATTAAAAGGGATTAAAAAGTAATTTTTCTTCTTTATTTATTCCTTTTAACTCCTATTACTTCTTTTATTATTTAAATTAAAAGGGTTATTAATTAAAAAATAGTATAATAATAAGTATTTTATTTTTAATTCCTTATAAAGAATTTTATAGTTTATTAAATAATATATAGGTTATTTTATTAAAACTATTAATTTTTAAATAACTTTCTAACTTTATTTAAAAATATTATAAACTTAAGGTTTTTAATAATAAAATAGATTTAAAATACTTTTAATTAATAGTAAGAATATTTTAAATTTCTCTTTTTAATTTTAAAATAATCTTTAATTAAAAAGGAATTTAAAAGACTCTATAAATAAGTATTAAAATATAATTAATCCCCTTAATAAATATTAAGGATTTCCTTAATTCCTTTAAATTAAATTTTCTTATAAAAAATAATAATTAAATCTATTTAAACTTAAATATTAAGGTTAATCTTAATATACTTTTAACTTTATATTATAATTACTTCCTTTAGAATTATAAAGGTATTATAAACCTTTATTATTTCTTTTTCTCTTTTAATCCTAATTATTAATTTAACTCCTTTACTTTAAATATTATTTTAATAGATAATTAAAATAATTCTTAACTTTTATTTTAACTTTACCTTAATAACCTTTTAATTAATAATTATTATAATTTTAAACTTAGTTTATAAATATTATAACTTTTATTAATATTAAATAGTTTAAAGTATAATAATAGATATTATTATAATAATAATAAATAGTTAACTTTTATTATTATTAAAAGGATTAAATTTTAAAATAGTTTTAAAATTACTTTTAAATATTTTAATTAAATTAAGTATATAAATCTCTACTTTAGGATTCTTAATTTTAACTTTTATATATAATAAACTTTAAATTCTTTTAAAAACTATAATATTACTTTAAAAGCTCTCTTTATCCTCTTTTATTAAAGGTTTTATTACTTCCTTTATACTTTATTTTTAATTCTTTATACTTTCTTTTTTAATTCATTTAAATATATTAATTTAAATTATTTAAATAACTTTAATTATTTTATCTTTAATATTTAATAAATCTAGAGTATATTTAGTTTAAATCTTTAAGAGATTTAACTTTATAATTTAAAAAATAGAACTTAACTTTAAAATTATTACTTCTAACCTTTTATTTTAATTTTAAAGTTTTAAGGTATTAATAAAAGGATTAAAAATCTTAATTTTCTTATTAATAAGTAGAATTAATTAAATTTTAAATAACTTTAAAAATACTTTAAAAGTTTTTTAAAGTTATTATTAAAGATTTTAAATTTATTCTATTTATAATAATTAAATATAAATTTATCTTTTTCTTTTAAATTTTATATAAATATCCTAATAATTTTAATATTTTTATTAATATAATTAAATATATAAATTACTTTTATTTTATTATTATAAAGGGATTATAATTAAAAATATAAACCCTTTTAAAGTTTATTATTTAATTATTATATTATTATAAAGTATAAATTATAAATAATAAGGTAATATTAATTAATTTTAAATTTTTAACTTAATTTTTAAAGTAATTCTAATTATTTTAAGGGTATTTATTCTTTATTAAAGGATTTAATTTTACTTTTATTCTTAAATAAGGGTATTTCTTATTAAAAGGGTATTTAAACTCCTTTACTATTATTTAAACTTATTTAAAATCTTTCCTTTAATTATTTATTTTTAATAATATTATAGATAGTATAAAAGGAAGAATTAAAATTATAATAAATTATAATACTAAATATAATAATATAAATAAAGAGAGATTTAAAGATTTTTAAATTTAAATTTAATATAAAACTAATTTTTATTTCTTTTAAAGAAGAAGTAAGTAAATATTATTTATTTTTTAAGGGGTTTAAAAAAGGGGTATAGTTAGATATTAAGGTGCCTTTAAGGTGCTTCTTTATAGCTTCTATTTAACTATTATAATAAAGTTATTATAATTTTAAATTTAAAAATTATATATAATAATAAAAAATAAATATTATATTTAAAAGTTATATTTTAATATAATAATATTAATAAATAAATATTTATATAAATTAAATTAAAACTTTAATTAAAGAAATAATAACTTTATATTTATTTATTTTAATTAATTTATATATATTTAAATTAATAAATAATTTAATATATTTTATTTAATAATATTAAAATTAATTTATAATTTATAATAATTTTAATTTTAAATAATTAATAATATTAATATTAATAGATTTAATAAATTTAATATATTAATATAAATCTTTTTTTAATAATAAATAATATTATTATAATATGATAAATAATTATAAAGTATATATTTAAAAATATATATAGTACCTTTATATAGTAATAAATACTTAAAACTAAGTGTTAAAAAAGGATATAGTGTTAATAAAAGTTATAAAAATAATATAGGTGCTTAAACCCCTGAGCTTTTAATTGATTTCCTTTAAATCTTGATACTGTTTACCCTCTTACGTACTAAGAGACGAAGCTCTGGATCCACCCGAAGTGTTCCACCCCATTCCTGGTGTTTTATTGGGCGGGATGGCTCAGCCAATTTCCATTCGTACTGGAGCAGGAGGTGCGAGAGCATGGTCTTTATCACGTTGGATGCGAAGAATCTTCCCGGACAAGAATGCTCGCCAAAGCCGAACCCCATGTGATCAGGGGTCACTGCCACAAATTGTGCATAGCTTTCCTTGCTTGGGTCCTTCTGGCGCATGCGCAGCCATCGGTAGCCGTCGAACTCGTCCGGATCTTCGTGCACCGTGCCATCCCACATCCTCAAGGCGGAAATTGACAGCATAGCTGACTTGGGGAAGAATACTCCGTCCGATAACGTCATGTCCTTGGTGACGAGGCGGCGCATCGTGACTAGAGTTGGTGGTGAGCGACATGGCAGGCGAAATTATATGAGGCGTGGACACTTACAAAGATCGACAGGTTTGACTCGCTGGCTCTCCTTCATAAAGCTATCCATCAGGCCCATCTTCAAGAGTGCGTTGTGAGTCCATCCGTCCCGCAGAATGGTTGTCGTGATTTCCTCACAGAGAGGCTCGACATACTCTGGATGGAGTGCAATCTGTAGCATGATTTGTGTCAACAGGTCTGCCGTGGAGTGATTTGACCCCACAGCCTGTTAATCATTTAGTCATAGTTAGTCGTGATTCTTTCAGATTAAGTTCATCCACCCTCTTAAAGGTAGCGACACTAAATAGGGGGAAAGAGACCCGCTCAAGTGCGTACCAAGAACAGCTGTGCGGCAACCGGATCATATTCAAGTTGACCATCCTTTGAAGCCTGCTCGTACCATTGCGCGCCGTCGTTGAACGATGTCGCTGACTTGCCCTCCGCAATTAACTCCTGTCGCTTCTCTAACACAGGCTGTATGATTTTGCGGGCTCGTTTCATGACGGAGCGGGTGTGTTGACAGGCTGGGATGAACCAGTGTACAATAGGTCGCAGGATTGGCGGCCATTTGCGGAGCTTATCGGCGGCAACAAATATAGCTCCAGCGTATTCACAGGTGGTTTTCACCCAGTCCATGTCCCGGCACACCCCTTCCCCAAGGAAGATTCGGGCGGTGGCGCGCGTAGTGACCAGCATGTTGAGGTCTCCCGGCGCGATCTCCCGCCAATCTGTCTTTCTAGTTAGATTCTCATTACATTGCCGCTAAGCCTATATTATCTTACCTGTGCTTTCTGTGTATAGCTCTCGTAAGGCGATGTTGACCTCCTCGGCCACTGGTTTAATGACCCTCGCTGAGGTAGTTGTCAATAATGTCGATTTCAAGGGTTTACCTAAGTAGGTCTGGATACAATACCTAGGCTTCGCGTCATGTACGTGTTCACTACTATAGCACTAATTGGACGGGTTCCCTCGCGAAACGCTTCGAACCCAGGTAGACCTCCATGGAATTTCTACCGACACGAGCAGTTAATTTTGAACTATAGTCATCAGCAAGAGCGGAGATGATACCTTATAATTGAGGGTGGCAAAGTTAAGCTCAGGCCTATCGCGGAGCTCGTGGGCATACTTGGATGGGAGAATGGTGAAAGGTCCCGCGTCCGACGTGACATTGACTGCCTGATCCCCGTTCTTCTTCAACCAGTTTCGCACCAAGTCGATGCCAGCAATGTCGAAGTCTTCTTTTTTCTTATTCAGCAACGGGAAATTGGCAGTTTTCGGAGTTTCAAATGAAAACCACAGGAACAGAGCAAGGAGTGCGGTGGACAGGTACGGAACGAGGCGAGGCACAAGGGTGATGATGTCGATTGGCCCAGACATTGTACCCCCCTGCGCAGTTTGTTCAACTGCCATTTCGAGTCGATGTAAGCAAGCGATGAGGTTGGATGGGCTTTTTTGTCAATAGTGTCAGGAGCCGACGCCCAGCTGGCTATTATCATCTTTGACCAACGATACCAAACAGGGTACCGGCAGAGCCATTGGGAAGTGTTTATGCAAGATCCGCGATCGACAGGTAGCACTGGAGACTGTATTCGACGACAAACCGAGCGAGTCATGGTCGGGCCGAGCCTGCCCTGTGCCCGCATATTTCGGACTGCTCGTATTGCTTCCCCGGGCCCCGAGGAAACAAGAACACGTAAAACAACAGTTGCCGGAAATGGCCAGCCAGGTAAAATGAACTCGGTCCGGGTATGCGTCTGTTTTTGGCAATTTTACTTTTGTTGCATTGGTGAAGGGGTCATTGGGTTTTCAGACAGAATATGTCGATGGCAACGACGGCTGGAACATTAAAGGCATTAAATCCACCCATGTCTCGGGCCATCTAGACTTACAGACGTCCTCCATATCTTTGTGATCTTTTTTTTTAAAAGAATTGCCAAGCTTATCTTGATAATTTGGTCTGTTGGACTTTGTTGACGAAGATGAAGCCAGGAACACCCAACAACGGTCAGCTCAACCGTGAAGCAGTACTGTTGCTTCAGGATGCGCTCACAGGCTTTGACGACATTTACGGGGAAGGATCGATGAGTTGTGCCGTTTACGATACTGCCTGGGTGTCCCTAGTCACCAAGTCTGATGCTGCAGGAAAACGGTGGCTCTTTCCGGAGAGTTTTGGGGTGCTGCTTGAAATGCAGAATGCTGACGGAAGCTGGGATTCTGACGCAACCCAAATCGACGGCATCCTGAACACAGCGGCGGGGTTGTTAAGCCTCAAACGACATGCCAAAGAGCCACTCCAGGATTCCATTGCTGAAGACAACCTGCAGCAACGACTTGCACTAGCTGCGACGTCTCTGAAAGCTCAGCTGGATGCTTGGGATGTATCTCTGACCCAGAACGTGGGATATGAGATCATCCTACCATCGCTACTCAAGCTCCTCAAGGCGGAAGGAATTCAAATTGGGCAGTGGCGCGGAGAAGACGAGTTGATGGCTGTCAACTCTGCTAAAATGTCGCGGTTCAAGCCTGAGTTTCTTTATCACACCACAAAATCGACCGCACTGCACTCGCTGGAATCATTTGTCGGCATGATTGATTTTGATAAGGTCGCTCACCATAAAGTTAACGGTGCTATAATGGCCTCACCGTCTGCAACGGCAGCTTATTTGACCTGCCTGTCAACGTGGGATGACGAAGCAGAACAGTATCTCAGAGACGTTGTGGCTCGTGGAGCTGGCCAGGGACGGGGCGGTATCCCAAGTGCTTTCCCCTCAACAAATTTTGAATTTTCATGGGTGAGAAAGACATCCTGCGTGTCCTATGACCAATTTAGCTTACTAAACCTGGCCGCAGATACTTTCCACCCTCATCCAAGCCGGATTCACGGAAGAGGACCTGGAATCTCCCGAGATGAGGAGGATGACTGCGATAATGTCCGAATCTTTTAAGGGGAATGGAACCATGGGCTTCGGTGAGGTCGGCGCCTGTCGGAAAAGTGTTGATCACGTAGTAGATGCTAACAGACTTATAGCGCCTGGCATCGAGGCCGACGTTGACGACACTGCTAAAGGCCTTATCTGCCTGAACTCTCTTGGCCATACGGTCCCAACAAACGACATGATCAATGCTTTCGAGCGAGATACTCACTTCCAGACGTTCCAAAACGAGAGAGACCCGAGTTTCAGCGCCAACTGCAATGCACTTCTTGCTTTATTATGCCAAGGAGACCTGTCAAGCTTCTCGGCCCAAATCCTCAAGGTGGTAAAATTCTTGTCTAAGATCTGGTGGGAAGCCGATGGTCCAATAAAAGACAAATGGGTGAGTAGCTGTACAATTCGTTGTGGCCATCTCAGCTAAATATGAGTCAGAACTTATCAAAGCTGTACCCGACAATGCTCATGGTCGAGGCATTTGTCAGAATGATCGGACTAGTCGACGAAGGGGAGTTGCCTTCGGATTTTCTCGATCAGGAGTTGAAGTCTAAAGTTGCCATCCCCGTGTTTCAGGCGGGTCTACGAACTATGATGGAACAAGAACCGGATGGTTCCTGGAACCATTCGGTTGAACAGACTTCATACGCTGTTTTGATTCTATCAGAGTCGCGAAGGTTACGGCACTTCGAAAGCGTACAATCCCGCATTGAGGAGTGTATTGATAAGGCGACTGCCTTTCTCCGACACGCAGTTGTTTCTCCAGACCCTATCTGGATCGAAAAGGTCACGTATTCATCCATTCTCTTGACCAGATCATACAGGCTGGCTGCTCTGAAGGCAGCAAGTTCCAACCATAAGAATGTTGGGTACAGTATCCCACTCGACATTTCAGAGCGGAAGATGTCGGCATACCGCCAATTATACAGCATGACGCCCATGTTCTCGGCGGTACCTCCATGGCAGATCTCCGCATCACTGGTTGAAGGCAGTCTCTTCCTGCCCTTACTCAAGGCGCATCATCTGGAGATATTTCCCCGGAGGGATATGGCGGAGGACAAATATCTTCACATTATACCTTTTACATGGACTGGCTGCAACAACCGTTTGTCTACCTTCGCCTCGCCTGCCTTCCTATATGACATGATGCGAATTGCCGTCCTGGACTACCAGGCCGACGAGTTCATGGAGGCGGTAGCTGGATCCTGGCTCTCGGACGACTTGCCTAAGCTGGGTGAGATTATTGACAAGGTCTTCGATGTGCCGGAGGCCACCAATGGAATGAATGGGACGACCAAAGTCAACAGAGCGAATGGGGTAGCCAAGCCTAGTCATACGAACGGATGCGACACGGATCGAGAGCCCGTAGAGCATATCGAAGTCCAGGAGTGCATTCGTCGATTCGTCGATCACGTTATGGAACATCCCTCGGTCGTGGCGGCGAGCATGCAGGACAGGGACAATCTGGCGCGCGAGTTCCGGCAGTACTTCCTAGCCCAGGTGGAACAGATCAAGCACAACCAGCGGTTCGGCGCGCAGGACAAGCAAGAGCGGTACCTCTCCCCGCAGGTGTCCTTCTTCCAGTGGCTGAAGGAGACGGCGGCGCGACACGTCGCCTGCCCCTTCACTTTTGCGTGGGCGCTGTGCGTAGTGCCGCATGCGATTGAGAACCAGGGCCGATCGAAGGATTGGCCGGCGGATTGCTTCGCCACGGCCGAGGAAAAGTACTACGCCACCGACATGTGCCTGCACCTGGCGACCATGTGTCGCATGTATAATGACCATGGCTCTGCGGTCCGTGACGGCCTGGAAAAAAACGTCAACTCGCTGCACTTTCCCGAGTTCGCCCAGACGCTGGGCGGCGCGCCGGCCAAGGATGCACTCTTCGCCGTAGCCGAGTACGAGAGGAGCTGCTGGCAGACGGCGCTGGCCCGGTTAGAGCAGGCGTCTGTTTCGGATTCTAACATGTTGTTTCAGAGGATCAAAGCACGGAGGATGGCTGTCTTGCGTACCTTCATGGATACTGTCGACCTATATGGGCAGATCTATGTTGTCAAGGATATCGCGAGCCGTATGGTCCCAGCTCAGAGATTACAGCAGGCATGAGTTACTTAGTGGGGTCCGCCTGGATAGAGCTGGACTTCACCAGTTAATTTAAAATTCATGGTACAGCAGGAGGCCTGATTTACTGTTTTACAAACATCAAATCCTCATTCTTGTTTTGGAAAACAGTCTCGATTAAGTAAACTGATGGACTTTCTAATAGTATTAGCTGTTAAGCTGGACATGTGGGGCTGCTTCAGCTTGCGAGGACGTATAAGCTTATGAGCTTGGGAATGGGGGAAGTGAATCGCATTCGGAGCAGCCCTGTTGGAAAGAACAGTGGGCGAAGTCCCCTCTGGTCAGTAGAAGGGAGTAGTCGGGTGGGCCATCTTCAAACGTCTGCTTGGGCAGAACAGTTGAGCATACGTGAATAAATACATGAGTACTTTGAAATTTCAATTCAATTGAGCATAGCGTGGATTCATGCAATTAAATCAACCTTTTCCACATCACTATGTACTCTTGAAACCCATGAGAACATTGTACGCGCCCTTTCAAATGGTAGTTGTAGACATGCTACGCCACATCTTAGGCACCGTCCTCAACCAATGCGAGTCTCTGTGATTCACGCTCCAATTCCCTCTCAATATCATTATAGTATTCCTCTTTACCAGGAAAGGCCGTGTTTTGCAGAAATTCGATGACATGGCCGTCTGGAGTATACATGTAGGCGAAGCCCGGCGTGACTCCCGATCCGAATTTCACGAGCCAAGAGCATCCTAGCTCCTCACATCTCCTTGTCGCAGCTTCTATGTCATCAACAGTCACGCCTACTGAAGATCAGATTTGTCACAAAGTGAAGACAAGTGGGGGAAATACAGATATGATCAACTCCTTGCCGCTCTGGTTTATCCAAGCCGCTTAACAGGTTGCCGCGCGCATCATTCCAGGTTATTCTGAGCAGGCCCTCAAGCAACTCTGGAACTTGATCAATGAGCAGAGCATCCGAGCCTCTATAAGCCAGGAAGCACTCATTGGTCTCAGTCGCCTTAGATCCTCTCGTCAATTTACACATGCCCATCACGTCTTGGAAGAAATTAGTCATGGCATGAGACTTGACGCGCAGTGATGTGTGGTTCTAGGACCCGTCAGTATAATCCAAAGTTTTCAATGGAATTACTCATACTAAGCGATATGTTGATGGATCCGTCATGCCGGCACGTGTCTCGGTTGTTGCTCTTTGCTCAATGAGCTTCACCTGGTATCCATCAGGATCGACAGCTAGGCCGTACGCGTTGGAGGAATCCTGCAGCAATTTGCATTGATATCCCGCAGACGTGATTCTAGGGCAAGCGGCTTGAAGGTTGTCAACACTGAAGCATAGATAACCATACGGCTTGTCGACGTCGTTGTCATCAACAGGGTACTGCACGTTCGGGTCGTTCTCGGTTCCGTGGAAGTACAATAACTCCACGACACCTTGCCTATCATAGAGTTTGGCACCATGCGACACCGCTTTGGAGGAGTCATAGCCCATCAGCCAGTATGCGAACTTGTACTCATCGTAGTTCCGAGTCATCAAGACCTTCATGCCCAGATGCTCATAGAATTGAACTTTGCTCCGTTAGCTGGTGGGATCTACTGGATTTGCAGCGGTAGTACGTACCTGAACTAGCTGGATCTTTCACTTTTATTCTACAATATGAATCAGCCATACGATCAACATATTACATCGGGAGAACACCGAACCCGCTATGATGGAACTTGTATTTCCTCGTGTCTGTCATTATGTCGACCATGATGCTGGGCTGCGATTTGGTTCTGTCTAAATCAGACAGTTGATTGTGTTTGAGGTCACGTCTAAGAACTGTCGAATGTCCATAGCGGCTTCTACTGTACGGCCTCTGCCAGTGGCTCATCGTCTACCTCTGCCGCCAAATGGGACAAGGTTCACACAGTGCAACTCTGATTGTACAGACACAGTGTCCGGTATAAGGTGGATCTCCCGGCCGGCCCAGCGCGGTTATGCCCGAGCAAGACCGGCCACGGACTTCCCTTTATGGCATCCCGACCGAAACAATGCCTCGCCAATGAGTCGACAGCCCGGCTCTCCCTTTCGCTCTGGTAAGACCGGAAAATGGACCAGGTCTAACACGAGAATGGTAGCAGGGACTATTCCACCCTGCCGTCGGCGGCTCGAGTGTCCTTCAATGTGCCAGATCGTTTCTAAGAGAAGCAGAAAAGGGGAAAAAGTCGTAATACCTATAGTGCTGCGTACGCCTTGGTCAGAGCTGTGCAACTGCATCAAGCGGCGCCACTGAATTTTGTTCCATCTCTATCCTCAGAAGTAACGTCGAATTACCCTGGCAAACCAACTACTCTAGGGTGCAGCGCTGTCGAGTAGACAATGTTGTCAGCTCGCAATGTCGCCGTAGCGGCCGCAGCCAGTGTATGTCATACCACCAACGTCTTCACGAAACCGCAATCACTGAAGCATGCGCAACTAGTACCTATCATATCTCTTTGGAAAGACCATTTACTTGATCTATTTCCATCCCCTGTCGAAGCACCCCGGGCCAAGGATTGCAGCTGTTTCAGATGTGAGCGAAACCACACCGGCGTAATCTTGCAATGCACGGGAAGCGAAAATTAACCGAAATTCAAGTTCTGGCGTGCATGGGCTTGGACGAGCGGCCGGTGGCCATTCATCGTCCAGGAGCTTCATAACAAGTATGGTTAGTAAGACATTTCGCGTCATGCAGACGGATGCGTCAATTGTGAGAATACTTTTGTTCACAATAACTCAAGGGCCTGTTGTGCGAATAGCGCCCGAAGAGCTCATATTCTTCAACGTCGAAGCATACAAGGACATATACGGCCATGCATATGGCGGGAAAAGGACGTTCATTAAAACAGACTTCTTCAATGCAGGCGAAGAGGAAGGGATTGCAACAGTCAAAGACCCCGTTGAGCATTCGAGGCAGAGAAAGCTGTTGTCTCATGGCTTTAGCCAGCAATCTCTCCGTCAACAAGAAGACCTGGTTCACCAATACGTTGATATGCTACTAGGGCAACTCCAGAAGATGGGTAGTCCCTCAGGATCTGGAATCGACCTGGCTGAAGCTTTCGTCTGGCTGACGTTTGACGTTATCTGTATGCAATTGCTTTCCTCCCGTGTGTAAATGAAGCTAACAGAACACATCTCAAAGCTGATCTTGCCTTTGGCAAATCGTTTAATTCTGTTGCTAGCGGGAAGACACACTTCTGGATTTCGCTTATCTTTGAAGCTTCGTTCGCAAGCCAATTTGCAGACTTGCGACGGCGACTCCCGATCTTGAACTTAATTTTGCCTTTTGTTCTCCCAAAGAATGGGATTGCCAAATTCAAACAGCATAACAAGCTGAGTCGCGAAATGGCTGTCAACCGGGTGAAGCAGGGCGACACGGGTCGGGCAGACTTCTTCTCGCATCTCCTTCGTCGTGGCGGTGGTGAAAGCATCTCGGAGCTGCAGCTTCAGAGCCAGGCGAGCATCTTGATCGTAGCTGGTTCCGAAACTACCTCGTCCTTTCTCGCTGCCACCTGCTACCTTCTGTTGAAGAACCCAGACACCCTGGCTCACCTTACGCGTGAGGTGCGATCAAAATTTCCCCTGGTGGAAAGCATCAGGGCAGATGCATTAGCTGAATTGCCCTACCTTAACAGCATCATTGAAGAGGGTCTGCGGATGGCGCCACCCGAAGCTTTCGGTCTCCCACGTTTCTCTCCAGGCGCAGTCGTTGATGGTCATTATGTGCCTGCAGGGGTCACCGTAAGCGTTGAATCGTACCCAATCACACGCGATCCCCGCTATTGGAAGGATCCGGACTCTTTCAAGCCTGAACGATGGATTGGAGATGGGTTTGGAGACGTGAAGGAGGCATCGCGCCCGTTTTCTTTGGGGCCACGCGCCTGCTTGGGCATCAACCTAGCGTATATGGAAATGCGGCTCACTCTCGCCAAGATGGCCTGGACATACGATTGGGAGCTCGTGGACAGGGATATGGACTGGTTCGAGGGTTCTCGCCTGTATCTTTTCTGGAAGAGGCCCCAACTCCAGGTAAGGTTTCATCCCAGAGCCTAGTACCAACCAGGATATTGAATAAGGCCCTTACTTTATGTTTTATATTTTAAACCCAAGCTTCAAGAGTTAACAATCCTGGGTAAATTAATATTCAAAATATTATTTCTTAACCTCTTCTGCTGCCACTCGAATGCGATTCTATATTGCAACCCCGGGCCGCTCTATTGTGAATGGTTAGGAACTTGAACCTGTGTTAACATACCTATTGCCAACTCAACACCGCACAAGTATGACGCTTGAACCTCCACAACACCAAACTTCAGCAATCTGCGGGTAAGGGGGCGGGAACATCTTGGTTCTATGACGAGAACCATACTTAGTGAGCGCTTAGCGGGTGGCTGTTAAATCACTGCTCAAAATATCTTGACTAATCACACCAGCATGTTTACACAACGGACAGACAGCGAGTGTCGGTGGCTCAACGCAAACTGATGGCCCATTACCCGGAAATACAAAGGGTCACAAGATAAGCAGCAATCACCTTTAATCAGCAGCCGGGGCCTAAAAAAAAGCCTGTAAGTCCGAAGTCGTATTGAACACACGAAAGACCTTGACTGCTTTACATTGGAAACCCAGAAAAGTATCCGCAACTATATAAGAGTTAAATTATCCCCACCAACATATCACCATTCAGTGCGAGCTGTCAGAAAAGGCTTCACGTATTCCTCCCAACCTTCACCGTGCGAGCCACCATTTTTGTTTGCGATAACATTCATCGGGAGCTGTTGCGTCCAGCTTCGGAGCCGTTCATACACATTGCCGTCTTTCATACCAATGACGCTTCCCAGAGAAGCATCACTTAGGTCCCACGCATCTGTTAGACCGACTGCATCAGTTGAGAGTTCCCCCAATAAGCCATGGGCTAGTTCACGTATGTCATCTAACTGGGTCCCGGATAGAAAGCCGTCCTCGATGAAGGTGATGGCATCGACAGATGTGGGGCTTGTGATGGTTGATAGAGCAAACAAGGAGCAGAGGCGCGTCAATGCCTTTTTTAAAGCTGGATCCTCAATCTCTATCACCCCATTGACGTACTCCGCAAGGACCAAATACTCAGTATGGGCGCGGGCAGCGGATATCAACAACATCATGTGCTTATTCCACGCCTCTGCTCTGGTCATGCCAGTAGTCTCAGCAGCTTGAAGGGCGACGGCCGCCTTGAGCACCAAGCGCTGCGCTCGATGCTGGAAGACCAGCAGTTGGGTTGTCGGACTCAGGAAGTCTTCGCAAGTCGCAGTGCATCTGTCAACAGGCGGAACAGCCATGTATCGCAGTTCTTGTGGGACTTCAAGACCCGGAGCTGAGGCCTTGGCATGGAGAGCCCACTTGCACAGGTATCTAGCCTGCTGCTGCCAGAGGACAAAATTGTCGCCCTCCCCGGTGAATAGAACACCGGCGGAGCCAACGAGCTCCGGCAGGGCCGACATTGCCATCGACCCAACTGCGCCGCAGCACTTCCTCGCGTCCTCGGCACCGGACATTGCCGCGGTAGACGACCAGGCCTTCATCCCAGCAGTCAAGGCGTGTAGGCTGGCCATGGTGCTGAAGTCGCCTTTGGCCTGTCGGTCCTCAAAGTCCTTCTGCGCAGTCTTGCAGCATCTCGAGGCGAATAGCATGGCGTAGGACTGCGACAGCAATGTGAAAAGTCTGTAGCTCTGAGTCTGATACTCTAGCAGCCCCGTCTCCGAGGTACGCGTGGCCGGGAATTGTCCTGGGTCATCGGGCAGGAAGCCTTGTCGACGCACGGTTGAGTAACGGGTAGCAATGGTGACAGCGGCTGCGAGTTGAACGGCTGCAACAAATGTCATGTTGGCACGGGTAATGCTCATCGTCCCATAGGCAGCCTTGGAATGAGTTCCTTGCTTCTTGGTGTACTCTCCGTCCCTAGAGACCTCAGCCTGACCCATAAGCATGTTTTCCCTCGGTACGATGACTTTGTGAAATCGGGCGTAGCCGTTGTCGTTGGTGTTCTGGGACATCTTAGGACCGATATCGCCCAACTCGATGCCCTCAATGGGCTTCCCTGTGTCCATATTGCGCAGCTGGACTAGGAACGGATGAATGCCGTAATCCTCATCGCGGGTGATCAACCGAGCCATGACAAGCCCATGCGTTGCCGAATAGCCCAAACCGCCAGGCCAAAACTTGGTGCTTGTGGGGGTGGGCGAGGAAATGACAAAGCTGTCATTCTCTATATTGAATGTAGCTGTTGTCTCTAAACCCCTGACAAAGGACCCATGTCCTAACTCCGTCTGGACATAAGCGCCATTGATGCGCCCATCCTTGGCTGGCTGAAGCCACTTCTGTCGTTGGACCTCGGACGCCATGAGCTCGAGCATCTTGTTGAACATAATCCTTAGGCCGAAGGGACTGTTGGTGAAAAGGCTGTACTGGGGAGCCAAGTAGTCCCAGATATTGTGGTTGTGATCCAGGCTGTCCTTGAGTGCAGCCGCCCCCCACCGCAGACCTTCAAGATACAACTGCTCTCGTCCGGTCTCCGCATATCTCTTGGGTAATTTCCACGTGTCGGTCACCCCCAAATACGCCTCCAGGCGTGCCCAGGCGTCGCGTCGTTGCTGCGCGACCTCAGTGCCCCCATAAATGACACACGTCAGCTTTTCTGTATTGAAGCTGGTCCCACGGCGCGCCTGGGCCATAATGTCCACTGGCGCGACACATGTCTCGGCTTGGTCCAGCATCCTTGACTGATAGAGCATCGACAGCAGTCTGCTCTGACAGTAAGGTAAGTTGCTGATGAAGAATGGGATTGAGTAGATTAACTTATGATACATGGACGGGGTGCACATGTGATAATTTAAGAAGGACTGCTCTCGGTCCCCGACATTCCTGGTAGACTGGTTCCGGGCCAATACGACCTGGGGGGCAGTGTCTCCCAGCCCGACCGACATTCGTTGTTCCCGAAGAAGAAAAAGACCGCCCGCTGTATGAGCTGATGCCGTTACGGGTCGTGCTGTTCGAAATCAGGTTCTCGAACGCAGAGGCGGCTGGTAGAATCCAGGGCGGCCACGGAAGCTAGAGGTTAATCTCGGAAGACTAGGAGGTGGCCGGGCCGTGCCGGCCTTCCCAAAAGCGGTCTGGGTTCGGTCACGAAAGTTAATAAACAGGATGCTAATTCTATAAGAACTTTATTTCCAGCTTCACCTCGATACTGTTTATTTGACTAGTCATGACCCTTTCATTCAGTGTTCTGAATTTCAAAGCTTTTTCATCATCCTTGCATCATTCTCCATGGACCGAACGGCTACAAGCACGGCTGGCGGTGGCCAAGTCCTTGCTTTTCTGTTTGTGGCTTACTACATCATTTTCTGCATCTCCATCCTTTGGCTTCCGGCAACTAGCAAAGCCCGTTATGCTAGCGTATTTGTCCTTGGCGCTACGACGCTCGCTTTGCAAAAGACATTCATGGAATGGTCTCCGTCACCCTACTGGTCCGCGACCGCCGTGCCGTATCTGTCGATGCAATTCTTGAGCAGTTCAGAGCTCATTATCATATCCCGAGCCATGGGGGCCGACTTCGATACCGGAAAGCGTGGCTTCGGCCTGGCCATCAAGCTCTTCCGGATCCCCCTTATGGTGTGGAACCTGCGACGGATTGGCACTAAGTGGCAAATCCCAAACATACCTCCTTACAGCGTGCCTCGGTCTCGCATTGCCTTCGCTGTTAGGACTCTGGGGCAGATGGTCTTTGTATATCTTCTATTAGACGTTATACTTTGCGCACCGCCTGTCGATCCTGTCTTCTACTCTCTCCCCAAACAAGCCTTGGGCCTCGGCATACTAAAACTCTCATGGCACGATCTCGCCTTCCGCTTGGCTTCGACTGTGTCCTTCTACGGCACCACCTACTGTGTTGTCACTTTCCAGTATGACTTAATGTCATTGTTCTTCGTCTTGACGGGACTCAGTAGCCCGGCTGCTTGGCCGCCTTTCTTTGGCTCGCCTTTTCAGGGCTATTCATTGCGCCGATTTTGGAGGTCAGTCCGCCAATCTCCCCAACTAACCACCGCTTTCAACTGAAATTATGTAGTTTTTACTGGCATCAAGCTCTGCGGAAGTCTTTGACAGGTCACGCGGATGTCATCTCTGACAAAGTTCTCGCCTTGCCCCGGCGTACCAAGATATCTACATACACTCGGCTATGGCTCACTTTCCTAATCTCTGGGATATACCATCTCTCCTCGGACTTGGGCATGGGAATTCCGTTTTCAGATGCCGGCTCATTCACAACATTTATCCTTCAGCCTATGGGCATCATCCTGGAAGACCTGTTCCAGGGAAGCGTGGGAAAGGTAGTCCCGTTGCCAAGCACTCTGAGAAGACTTTTCGGTTTTTTGTGGGTCTGGACTTTTCTATCTTACTCTAATGCCTCCTGGATCTATGCGCAGCAGCGTCTAGCAGGAAGCCCAGATGACTTGCTGCCGGTCAGCGTGGTTCCTAGGTTGATCTCTTACTTTTCGTGATTGCACTAAGCGCTGTAATTTTGCAACTGTACTTTGTCATCAACAAATTTTGTTTGAAAACAAATATGTATATACTATTAGTATCGTAACAATTTCTCTATATTACCGATGTGATGGGGGTACTGGAGTGTTGAGCACAGAAACTGTTGGATAATTTCGCCGCACCCATGCCAAACAGAAATTACAGAAGGCTGCCTAACAACCCAAATCCATCTGGAGTCGAAACATCATGTTGCTTTAGAGCCCAGGCCCTGATAGCTGATGCGTTGACAGTCGAACGAATGACAATCCGCGCAATGGCTACACATGCAGTGGAATCATTCAAAGTTTCCGTCTTGGCTTGGTACAGTACCTGACTAATAAAGCTTCGCAAATGGCCCACTTGCTTGTTTCATCCGGTCCGAAGACTATCCCCGGGCACCCCGATAAGAGTCGGAGACACTTAACTGGTGCACCGGACGGAAAGCGGCCGTTGGTAGAATCGTACTAACATAACATTTATCAATGGGTAAAAACCCTTCGCTGAAATTCCAAGTGTCCTCCTAATATAGAAAAGTGACGATCAGCTGTAACGGTCTGGTACTCCAACCAAAAGTCATCATGTCCTCTTTTTTTCTCTTGATTCCAAGATCCATTGATCCTCGTCGACATCAGAGGAAGGATAGGGACCAATCTGCACCCAAGTGGCGATTGACCGACACCGTCTTGCCGGTCCATGCGATCGATAACATTCCCACTCTGAGGGGTATTGTGACCAGTCAAGCCTTACGTTTCGACGATGTTCTTGATGGGGACCTGCTATACAATTCCTTGACGGAGCTCTTGAGCATGGGAGACTGGAAAAAGTTCGGCGGTCGTTTTCGACTTGATGTGAGTTCCCAATGAGTGTTATGCACTCTACATGTTGTTACGCATAATGAACACTGACAGCTTCATAAAGGCTGCCGGGAAGCTTGAACTCCATGTTCCCGATCATTTCTCGCAGGATGTACCGGCCGTCTCTTACACGCACACAACTTACCCTACGACTATCGATGAGGCTACGGATGCAGAAATCATACAACCTCGTGCGGGAAAAGCCCGCGTTATTGACATACCGGATGGCGTACGGCGTTTCTTGGTTGGTCCCCATACACCAATGTCTATTGACGAGTATGTGAAGAATGACATACCTTTGATATCTCTACATGTCATCAACTACGCAGATGCCACATTAGTTGTACTCACCTTCCCGCACGCCTTGACCGACGGCATGGGTTGGATCGGTATGATAAAAAACTGGTGCAAGGTCCTGGCTGGGGCAAAGAACTGGGATGAGATCGAGGTCCTAGGTGGACTACACGAAGACGCGCTTTCTAGGTTGGACACGGACAATGTCCAAGACGACGAGCCATTTGCCCTTGACCAAAAGCGATTACGGGGTTTCAGGCTCTTCATTTTCTCCATCCGCTCATTGACAGCCTGGATCTTCACACCAAAAATTCACCACAGAGGCATATTCATTCCGGCCCGCCTATTAGCTCACGTCAAGCAACAGACTCAACGAGAACAAGAGGCCATGTTCAAAGACCATCCCGAACAGAAACAATTCATTAGCAATGGAGACATTCTATCCGCCTGGTTAATACGATTGGCATGTTCGAAAATGTTCAGGCAGTCCAACCGGTCAGTTGTTATCATGGGGGCGATTGACCTAAGATCAAGACTCCAGAAACTACTGGAACCTCGCACCGTCTATGCCCAGAATCTCCTGTCTTGGAGTTTCACATTTGTGACCTTGGGGGACGTACTGGTGGCACCCTTGACTCGCTTTGCGTCCCAAATTCGAGAAGGCATCAAGCGCCAGATCTCGGAGTCGCAGATTTATGCGGCAGTCCGACGTAATCTTCAATCTATCTCAGCAACTGGCACAGTGCCCCTATATTCCGACTCAGACAGCATCCTCGTGGTCCTGTCCAATCTCTCGAGGCTTAATTGGCACGACGTGTTCGACTTCAAGCCAGCGGTGGTCACAAAAGGACCAGACCGAAATCTAGCCACGGCTGGACTGCCTGTCTGGCAGTTTGGCTGCTCTGTGTCGGCGGACAGCTTCGCGACTTCTATTCTGATCAACGGAGTAGACTTGGACGGTAACCACTGGGTCGAGGCAACTCTCCCGGGGTATGTTTGGGACGACATAGGAAACGAACTCGCTCAGTGGGAAGATTCGGAATCGTTCTAAAGAACTGTGTATTAAGTATTTACGCTTATAAAACTTTATCTTTATTTAAAATAATAGTAGTATTACTATCTTAAAATAACTTCATTATATAATTATATTTTATATATTATTTAAATTTTAAATATTTAGTCTTTTATTATTCTTTATTATAAACTTATTAACTCTTTTTATTTAACTTATTTCTTATTATATTATACCGTTTATATAAATTATTACTATTAATATTATATAATCTTTAAATCTTTTAATATTTTTAAATTTATTTTTATACTTTTCTTTAATAAATATATTTATTAAATAAATAATATTAATAAATTTATTATTTAATTAATAAAAACAGTTCCCCTTCTTTAATCATTAAAAGAACTTATTAAATCGTCTTTATAGACTTATTTCCTTACTGCTAGCAGACACACTCCTTGAGGATTTCTCATTAGTATGGTCGTGGATTACCTCATTTTCCACGGCATTAACATCAGCCACGTTGGAATGCTTAACTCCGTCAAAAAGTTCGTCAATCTCCTCCAATGTTTTGTTCTTGATCTCGACCCAGTACCAGGCAATGAAAGAAAACATGACGAGATTCCATGAGCCATTAATCATGTAAGTTTTCCAGCCAATACTGTCGAGAGCAATTGGGAAAGCAAACACTGCCCAGAGCCCAGTCGAACATCCAATCAGTTGGAACAGACTTAGACCAACAGCACGCATTCGGAAACTCAGCACTTGGGCAGGGACCAGGTACAAAACCGGAGTCCAGCCCACACTGTACGTTCCCATGAAGATGAATATCATGGCCACCGTAGCATACACTCCCGGGGAATATGTCGATGTGCCGTAAAGTTTTGTCAACGCCCCAACAATGAATAAGGCAGCGCCTGACAGACCCGTGCTCATCAGAACTGAAAACTTCATGCCGAGCTTGTCAGTGATGGCTACTCCGACCAACGAGACGACAAGACACCAAGCGCTGAGGACAATATTCTCGTAGCAAAGTTAGTCAAATTGACACGGCAAGCGAGGGTCCATAGTACATACAATCTGCAGCTGAGTTGTGGAGTCTGTGATGCCGGCATTGTAGAGCATCTGCCCAAGGTAGTAAGAGACGATGAGGTTGCCCCCTAGGTAGGACATGAAGGCGCAAGAGCACGTGACGATCAGTTGCTTTTTCGCCCCTTTGTTGTGCATGATCTGTCTGAGCGACATTTTTGCTTCGGGCGTTTGTTCGTACTCCAGCGTGTCGCAGATCTCGCGGAACTGGGTCTCGACGAGCTCGGCAATCTGTGGATTTGCGGATCCTCCGTTGGTGAGATTCAAAACAGCCAATGCCTGATCGTGCAGGCCCTTGCTGACAAGCCACCGAGGACTCTCGGGTAGGAACGCCATGATTCCAATGCACACCAGCGAGAACACACCTTGTAACGCACTGGGGAGTCGCCATGCCCATGTGGAAGGTTCCAAGCGTCCCGATCCATACGTCACTCCAGCTGCAATCAAAGCACCCACAAAATAACAGTCGCTCAATATACCGAGGCCAATGACTCTTCTATTCCAAGGAAGGGTCTCGGCCAGGTAGTTTGGGGCGGTAATGATGGAAGATACATTGCCAAAGCCGACAATGACACGGGCGACGATGAACATGGCGACATGCTGAGCCGCCGTCTGAAGAGCAACCCCGGCCAGTGTCAGAACTGCCGCCCAGAAGAGGGCCGGACGACGCCCCACTTTGTCCACAACGGGCCCCCAGACCATGCCTGCAAGGCAACCGCCGATGTAGAGGCTGGCGGTGTTCAGTGCTCTGGTTACACTGCTTAGTTGAAAGTAATTATTGTACGACGGAAGTATGTTAAGCCCATTCCTAATGGAATGTTAGCACACGGTGAGTTCAAATATCTCCCGGATGGTTGGAGTGGCATCGGTTCTTGCCCAAGCCTTGGGATGACATACATCATGGCGGTGTCGAAGCCATTTGTCTGTTACACGATTATTTTAGCAATCTACCCAGATTTCGGGATGTCTGTTAGATACTTACCGCCGATGACACCACCGAACAGGTTATGAGAAGAATAGTTATAATTCTGCTTGATCTGGGAATCGACACAGGGAGGCTAAAAGGCAGTATATCTCCCGGCGCCATGTTTTCAGTGGAACATTCTTGTTGACAACCGCAGTCAAAAGATGGGATGAACTGTTGTTTCAACACAAAGTCACCGCCTATAAATATACCACCAGGTCGGATGCTTCCTCGAATGCATTTGAGGTAATTACTTGACTCGCAGCAGAGTAGTTCATGCGTACTCCGGCGTGGGGTGTTTCGGCTGTACGCTACAAATTTGGCGAGTGAATGACTTGCTTTGATTAGACAGAGCATGGCATCGATCTTGGGCTCACAATGACACGGCTCTCGGACTTAGGCCAGTTATCTTTCAACTTGATAGGAGGAGGACACTGTATTCAACAAGGCAAGAACTGTTCGGAGACCGAATATAGAATCCCGAGGTCACTACGGCCGGATAGTTTAGTTATGCCCCACACCCCGAGATTAAAAGAGTATTAAAGTAGTTTTACTTCTATTATATAAATAGATTAAAAGTTTATAAACTTATATATAAATTATTTAAAAGTTAACTTTATTATATTCTTTTATTATTTAATAATTTATTTATTTTAATATTAATTTTAAGTTTAAATAAAACTTTTAATAACTTTAAATATATTTAAATAATTATTTTATTAAAGTTTTTAATAAATATTTATAGTATATAATAAAAGAATAAATTCTAAGAGTTTTAATACTAATAGAATAAATAGAGAAGTACTTTTTTAAGTATAGTAGAACTTTATATATTAAAATTAAACCTAAAATTAACCTAAAGTTAACCTAATCTAATTTTAATATATATTAAATACCTACTTAATATATAAAAACTACTATCCTTAATAGTATAATAGTTAAAATCTTTATAATTAAATTAAAGATTATTAATTTAACTTTAAGTATTATTATATCTTTTTTTATTTATTATTATAATTAATCTTAAAGCTTTTATTATAATAATTATCCTTTACTTTATTATTTTCTACCCTTTAATATTAACTTTATTAAACTTTGTTTTATAATAGGCTCTATTTTTATCTAACTAATAAAAGATATAAAATCTATTAATCTTTAAAGGTTTTAATATTATTTTAAATTCTATTTAATCTTTTAATTAATTAAAAAAGGGTTATAAACCTATATAAATAGGGTTAGAGTTAAAATATTCTAAATTTAATAAATCCTTCTAATTAAACTATTTATTAAATAATAAAAAATAAACCTTTTTAAGTATTCTCTTTCCTTAAAGGTTATTACTACTCTAATTATATAGTAAAGTATTATAAAAAAAGTCTTATTAGAAAATAGTTAAAAAAGTAGGTTAGGCTTTAACTTAAAGCTTTTAATAATAGGGAGATATTAAATAGAGTAGGTTTTTAAAACTTTAAAAATATTAATTATTTAAGTATTATAAAACTTTAATAAATAAAGTTTATAAATATAAAAATATATATTATAAGTTTATTATAACTTTTAAAGGAATAATAATAGTTTTAATAGTTTACTTTTTAATAAAAAGTACTTTAATATTTATAAAAGAGGAAGACTAGCTATTTTAAGGTATAAAGGGTATTAATTCTTATTTAATTTTAATAAATATATTATAAATATCTTAATATACTTAATTTTAAAAATAACTTACCTTTTAAACTATAAATAAATATATTTTAAAAATTTATTAAAAATAAATATTATTACTATATTATAGCTACTATTTAATAACTACTTATAATATATAATAAAAAAGAAATTCTAAAAGTTTTAATATTAATAAATTAAGTAGAAAAGTACTTTTTTAAGTATAGTAAAGCTTTATATACTAAAATTGAGCTTAAAATTAACCTAAAGTTAGCTTAGTTTAATTTTAATATATATTAGTTTTTAAACTTTATAAATTTTATATATTTTATTTATTATTTTAAAATACTTTATATTTAATAAAATAATTTTTATAATTTATTATAAAAAAGACTTAATTTATTTTTAATTTTAATTATTAAGAAAAATAATAATAAAATATTTATTTTATAAACAATATAATTATTTTTATATAAATATAATATATAATATATAAAATTTATAAACCTTTTAATATAAAATTAAAAGATTTATAATTATAATTTTTAATTAATTTTTATTTAATTATTTTATTATATTATAACTTAATTTAAATTTTAATTTAATTAAAACTTCATAAATATTTTTATTTTTATAAATATAAACTTTAAATTAAAATCTTTAAGTTTAAGTTTTAAAGTTTTATAACTTTTAATATATATTAAATTAAATTTATAATCTTTTACTTTTTTAAAAATATAGTAGTTATTTTAAATATTAATAATTTCTTTTAAAGTAATAATATTTTTAATTTTATTATAAATTTAATTATTAATAATTTTTTTTATAAAAATATTAAAATTATAAATTTAAATATTATATATATTAAAATATAATTACTTTACTTAAAAGTTATAATATAATTAAATAGTATAATAAGTTAAGTAATTATTTTTAAGTAATTTTACTTAATAAATATTTATTTAAATAAAATTAAAACTTTAATTAAAAGAATAATAACTTTATTTTTATTTATTTAAATTAATTTATTTAAGTTATATAATAATTTTATATTTAAAACTTAATAATATTAAAATTAAATAATTTATAATTTATAATAATATTAATTTTTAATAAATTAATAAATTAAATATAATTTAATAAGTTAATATAAAAGTTCATCATATTTTATTTATTTAAAACTCTAATTATTTACTTTTAACTTAATAATAAAGTTTAAAAAATATAAATAATTTATATAAAATTAATAATTTATTTAAGAATAATTAAAACAATATATAATATATTTTAATATAATATATATATATATATATATAAAAACTAATATTTACTTACTTAATAATTATATTCACTTACTTAATTTCTTTTAACTACTTACGTAATATAAGAATTTATATATTAAACTTATATAAAATTATATACTTAATTAAAATTCTTCAAATTTTTAATACTTTTTTAAAACTTTTTTAATTTTTAAGCTTTTAACTTATATATATTTAAGTATTAATTAAATATTTAAATATTAATTTAATATTATAAAGTTAGAAATTTAAAGAGTTAAAAGTTAAAAAAGTTAAAAGTTAGAAATAATATAATTTTATTTTAACTTTTTTATCTTTTAACTTTTAATAATTAATTAATATTTAAATATTTAACTAATATTTAAATTTATATAAATTAAAAAGTATATTAAAAGGTGTGTTAAAAAGTGTATTAAAAGGTATATTAAATGGTATATTAAAAGTTATATTAAAAGTATTTTTAAAAATATTAAAAACTTTATATTTAAAGTATTAAAAATTAAAAAAGTAAATTATATTATAAAGTCTTTTAATATTAATTTAAAAGTATTTATAAATATAAAAGAGTTATTTTAAAAATAAATATTAAATAAACGATTAATAAAAATTAAATAAATAAATATAACTATAAAATAAATAAATATTAATATTATATATATATAAATAATAATATAAATAAACTAATAATAAAAATTTAACTTAGTATACTTACTTTATTTATAATAAAGGTTGCTCTATTTACTCTAGTGTATTTAATACTAGTAAGTCTATTAACTTAAGGCTAAGTATTACTGTCCCGACCGCCTCCGCATTATAATCTTAGCGGCTCCGTCCGCATTTAACAGGATCCCGCTCTGTTGCACCCTGGCCGTCTCCCCTGGCGCCATTTTCAGATCGTACTCTAGCAAAATGTGACAAAGGATAATCTTAAGCTCCTGGGCGGCGAAGAACCGACCGGGGCAAGCATGTTTGCCATACCCAAACGCCAAATGACCCTGGCTCGGGGTGGCCAGCTGCCACTGATTTTCACCGCCTGACATCTCCCGCATGCGCAAAAAGCGATACCCATCAAAGCGATCTGCATTCTTCCAATTCTCCTCGTCCCACAATCCATTGGTCGAAATGCCCACGAATGCTCCTTTCGGCAGTAAAGTACCATCAGAGAGCGTGAACTCGGACAAGACCTCACGGCACATGGTCACTTAAGGCAGACCTCTATTAGTAACTGAGTCTCTTGCTGGTGTGGAAAATTTAATACAGAATACTTACTGGCAATGGCGGGTTTTAACCGCTGGCTTTCTTTCAAGACACTGTCCATGAGCCGCAGCTTGAACATGGCAGTTTTCTTCCAGCCGGTCTCTCTGATAACCGAAACGATTTCCCTGCGCAGGTCGTCTACTAGATCCGGATGTACGATTAGATCAAATAATACCTGGGTGAGCAAATCGGCCGATGAATGTACGGCAGCGGTCGAAAGAGCAAGCTGGAAGGATGCCGCGTTGTAGTCGTCCCCATCGAACACTTGTTCAAACCACTCGATTGCATCATTAAACTCCGGAGCGCTACCACCAGCCACGGCCGCCTTTTGGCGTCGCCGATTCTCCACGACTGGTGTGATTAATCCGATCGCCTCTTCCCTCAAGGCTCGAAGCTGGCGACAGCTGGGTAGGAACCAGTGGGCAACGCGTCTCAGAGGCTTCGGGAGCATTCTCAATTCCATGCCGGCAATAAAACCCTGGACAGAGAAGTCCTTGGTAGTTCGCAGCCAGTCTGCGTTCCTACATAGTTCTTTGCCAAGAAAAGCCCGCGCCGAGACCTGAGCAACCAAATCAAGGACTGTGTCCTTGAGGACCAGTTCTTGCCACTCTAATTTCGGGTTAGTCATATGATAGGGGTCGGAGGGGTCTAATTTAGTACCTTTGCTTTCAGTGAACAACTTGCGTAGAACAATTTCGGCTTCTTCTGAAAGCGCTTCTATCACCGTGGCTGGTGCGAGTCAGCAGGGCGGACAACAAACGACTCAGGAGATGGCACTCACATAAACTTGGTGTCAATTTATTTTGAATCATCTGAACAAGCCTGGGGTCCAGGGCGCTATCGCTCATGGACTCAAAGCCAGGAATTCCTTGATGGTTGTACTAAATGGAATAGACTCAGCGATCTTATCAAAGAAAAGGGCGGGTTTATGATTCAATTGTATGCCCGAATGAGGTAATTACCTTGCTGATAAAATGTGCGAAGCTAAGCCTTTCGTCATTGCGGATGTCGTAGGCCAGCCGGGAGGGGAGGATGATCATTTCGCCCGCATCGGACAATACGCGGAATGGCTTAGATTTGCCAAACTAATCTAATTTGTCAATATTGGCAATGTGAGAAGAGAGGAGACTGGACGCCTAACTTTTTTGAAACCTGCTTCAATGATTTGGCCGCCATTGATCGCATAGCCGGTTTTCGCCACCACGCCTATGACATCAAGGAATGATTTAGGATTAATTAGAGGAAATGCAGATAATTTGGACCCTCTGGAGGAAAAGAGGCAAATCCCCAAAACCAGTGCTGCCAGTATGAGAGCAACATTTGGTCGTGAACGTAGCTGCTCTGCCTCGGGCAGGATGTCATTGAGTCGAGGCGCCATGATCGATAAAGAGACGTATCACTGATTGAATGATGATGAGACAACTTCAGGAGGCCTATGGGGAACCATACAACACTCGTCCTTGACACGAACCACTGTGGCACATGTCCGTGCAGGATATCGCAGGGCCAGTCCACTGCCCGGAGTGAATTCGGGCTTCCGAATTGGGATCCCCGAATCAGTGAATTCAAAGTGCACACGCACACATGCCCAGCCAGACGTGTGACAATGGCTTAGCATCGCAGTTGCAGGCGTCAGCGACTTGGACAAACATATACATTATTCGACATGCATGATCGTGCGCCACCATACGACCCGGAGCTCGCGGCCATCTTGGCCGTGAGGCTCGGCTCCCACCCGACAGCACTTAGTGCAGACACCCTGCCGGAGGGCCGCAAAGGTGCCAGCGAGGCATCAGAAGCCACATCGGAACGGCTGCGGGCCGACCCGGAGCTTCAAATCTCGGGGCACATGTGTCGCGCTGGAAGAACCTCGGACCATGTCCCAATTGTGGTGGTGGAGCCCACGAGCGGGCCGAGACTTTCCAGGCCATGCCTCGTCTACTATCATCCCGGAGCCAGGATCATGGGGGATGCCTATACAATGATTCATCCACTAGTCGAGTGGACCAAGGCCTTCAACGCCGTCACCATTAGCGTGGGCTACCGGCTGGCGCCCGAGCATCCCGGATCGACAGCCACTGAGGATGCGTACGCGGCTCTGCAGTGGGTCTGGGCCCACACAGAAGACCTCGCAATCGACAGGGGCCGGATCGTGCTCGTCGGGTTTTCTGCAGGAGGTGGTCTTGCCGCCGGCGTGGCTCTGATGGCAAGGGACCGCAACAGCGGACCACGGTTATGTGGTCAGGTTCTAGTGTGTCCCATGTTGGACGACCGGAGCACGACGATTTCGGCCCGCCAGTACCCCACGGGAGGGTCCTTCAGCTCCGACGACAACAAGTTCGCGTGGGGCTTGGTGCTGGCTGCTAGGGCCGGCACAGACGATGTGAGTGTCTACGACGCCCCAGCCCGCGCCCAAGACCTTACAACCCTGCCGCCTGCCTACATCGAGGCAGGTTCGGCTGAGCCGTTCAGGGACGAGGCGGTGCAGTATGCCTCCCGCATGTGGGAGTGTGGCGGTCAGGCTGAGTTGCACATTTGGCCTGGTGCGCCGCACAGCTTCAACCTGATAGCCCCTGAGGCAGCCATCTCGAAAGCAGCAAATGAAACACGACTGTCATGGCTCAAGCGGGCTCTATTGGGATAAGGTAGTGCAGAATAGTGTCTCGCAAAAGAATTTAGAATTCCGTAGTCCGGTTTAGGCGCTGTTAGCTAAGAGTTGTGTGCGTCGCCCGCCGGCAAAGGAGTGGATTGATAAGTTGTGTGTGTCGTCAGGGAGAAAAGCTCACCCAAAACTGGCTAGAGAAGGCCTCCTACTTGACAACCCGCCGTTGGTCTATCGCTCCTTCCTGCCACAGCCCACAGCGCCTATTCTCTACCATAGCTGTGTTTTACTACATTAAATTAGGCTACTCGAGCTACACCGTCCAAGGTAGGTCCATAATGAATGCCTCGCTAAATTCATATAGATTAACGGTGTTATTATTTTAAGTATACTATATATTAATATAAAGATATTTTATAAATCTTGTTTCATTATTAAAATAATTAAATATATTAAATAAGTTTTATTATTTAAAATTATAATATAATATATAAAACTTATATTTAATTTAATTAAATTTATTATAAAATATTAAATAATAAAATTTAAATTATAATAATAATTTATTTTTTAATTATAAAAAGTTATAAAATATTATATATTAAATTAAATTAAAGTTTTATTTTAAATTTAATTATTTATAATAAAAGTTTAAATAATAAAATTTAAAATTATTAAATAAACTTAATATTTAAAATAATTATTATTAATAATAATAAATTAAATATAAAATATTTATAAAATTATTATTTTAAAAAGAAATTAATATATTAAGTTCAAAAAATTATATATAATAATAAAACTTTAAAAATATAAAATTTAATAAAAAGAAAAAGTTATATTAAAAAGTAATATAAAAATAAGTAAGTTACTTTATAATAATATAAACTAGTAAATGTATTTTATTTTTAAAACTACTTTTTATAGTTTCGATAAAGCAATAGTTATTATTAGAGTATGGAGCTATAGAGATATCAAGATATCTCACCCGCTTCCCCGCGAAACGCTTTGCTTCCCTTGGCAATGCTTTCAGCCAATTGCGCAATTGGGACCTGAGCGAGGATATCAAAGAGCGAGACATCACTCTTGAACTCCTTGATAACCCAGTTTCTCATCTCTATCGCCACTAGTGAATCGACGCCGTAGAAATAAAGGGGACGACTGACGTCGACATCCTCGCTGGGCATCTGCAGCGACTTTGACAGTGTGGCAGTTATACCTGAGACGACGATGTGGACTGCTTCAGCCATCGACTCGGCCTGCGCCAATTTAGCACCAGGCGAGTCTGCAGATGCGAGAGCACGGTCGCCCTGCTGGCCACTGTGCTGCGCGATCAGTGAGAACTTGGGTTCGTCCAGATACTGGGGCCACACGCCAGCCTGGCTTGCAGCTTCCCCTGTCGCGAGGCCAGTCACCAGCTGCGGGTTCTCAGCGGCCCAGTCGCCGCTGGCCTGTCTCGCGATGGAGAGCACCAGGATCGTGTGGAGCTCTTCTTCGCGTATCCCAAAGTGCTCGATCCAAGACGCGATGTCGCCTGCCGCGCCCTTCTCGGCCAGGACCCCGACATCGGCCATGGCCCCGAGATCTATGCTCGCTGCCTTGAGGCCCTGCCGGTGGCGGAAGCGTGCGAGCTCGTCCTGGAAGGTACATCCAGCAGCGTAGTTGGCTTGCCCTCGGTTGCCGAAGATGCCGCTGAAGGAGCTAAGCATGACGAAGAAGTCAATGTCTTGCGGGAGGACCTTGTGCAGGTTCCACGAGCCTCGGACCTTGGGACGAAGGGACTGCTCCCACTGGGTGTGCGTCATTCCCTCGAAGACGGCATCTCGCAGCACCATTGCGGCCTGGATCACGCCCTTGATAGGGGGCATGTCTCTGGCGCATTCCTTCATTGCTGCCTCGAGTTCGGCCTCATCCGCGACATTGCATCTAATGACCTTTGTCCGTACCGCCCCCGATTTGAGTCGCTCGACTAACGACTTTGCCTCCGGTGATGCAGCCCCCGACCTTGACAAGAAACAGAGATTTCGGGCACCCTGCGATACCAAAAGAGTCGAGAGGCTTCTCCCCAGCCCACCCAGCCCACCAACAAGCACATAGGTTGCTTCCGGCGACAGTCTGGCCACGGCGTGGATCGACTTGGCCATGGGGATCGTCTCGTTGCTGCTACGCTTCTCGAAATCCAGCACGATCTTGCCCCGGTGCTTGCCGGCTTGCATCAGCCGGAACGCGCCCTCAACTTGGGAAACAGGATAGCGCATAACTGGCGTCACTGGCTTCAATGACCCCTGGCGGATGAGAGCGCAGACGTCGCCGAGGATGCCCGCAAGCATGTCCGGCGCAATCCTCTCCATGAGCTCGAGGTTAAAGAAGCAGAAGGTGGCATTGTTGCCGAACGGCCGCATGTCCAGAGCGCTATTGCTCAGGATGTCCTTCATGCCGATCTCAACAAAGGTGCCGAAAGGCGCCAGGCAGTGCCAGCTCTCAGCCAGAGCCTCTCCCGCCAGCGAGTTCAGCACGCAGTCGACGCCGCGGCCGCCCGTCACCGCCATGACTCCGGCTCGGAAGGTCAAATCTCTGGAGCTGAAGACGTGGTCGTCAGAAACTCCGTAGTGCGTCGTCACTAGTTCCCGCTTCTCGGCCGATCCCACGGTGGCAAAGATCTCAAGTTGGAGGTGTCGTGCGACCTGCAGGGCCGCCTGGCCCACGCCGCCGGCCGCGGCATGAATGAGGACCGACTGCCCTGGCCGCAGGCGTGCGAGATTGACCAGGGCGTGGTATGCGGTACAGAACACGAGGGGTAGCGAAGCAGCATCCTGATGGGACATCTGGCCCATGTCCTGGCATAGTTTCTCGCTGACTCGGAGACGCGTCCTGTGCGCGCCGGGCGCAAGACAGCATACGCGATCGCCCAGCTTAAATCTTGCCACTGTGGCGCCCTTGCGCAGCACCACACCTGCTGCCTCCCGTCCAACGTGGTCGTCTGGAATCTCGCCAATGACTGTCAAGACGTCTCGGAAACTACATCATGCATTGGTTAGCAGCTCGACCTTGCGGCGGCGGTTGCCCTCCAACTTACTTCAGACCCGTGGCTTTAACCTCGATCTCAACCTCGTCATCGGCCAACGCGACCCCTGACTCACGAACTGCCTCGAAGCGGAGTCCATCTAGACTTCCGATGGCCTGGGGGCCAAGCATCAGATCGGTAGTGACATCCTTGATTGCGACCGGCGCGACCCTGCCGCTCGCCATGTCGTGAATCTCGTCGTTAAGTTCCACAGACTCCCGGACCCGACATACCTCGAGCCTCCCCCCTCGAAGTCGAAACTCACTATCGGCATGCTCATCTTCGCTGGGATCCTGCTCGGTTACGAATTGGGATATGATGTTCAAGGCTGCCTCTGTTGTGTCAGACACCGTGTCCTCGGTACAATTCAGGGCTCGGAACGTCAGATCGGGCATCTCGTTCCGGAGGGTTCTCGCAAACCCAGTGACGAGCCCGGCTCCTGGCCCGTCATGGACCGTAATCCAGTGGATGTCCAAAGAGTCTAGAATGTATCGCTTGAGCGCCGCAAACTCACTTGAGTCTGGTGTTTCAAGGAAAGGCTTGCTAAGCTCTAGGAAGATGCATCGCTTGTTCCTGAGGTCACTGGTACAAGGGACCCGCCCAAAAGTGAGTCTCTGCACGCGGCAACCGAAATTCTTGCTCAGATGGCCTGATAGGTTGGTTATGAAATGCTCCGAGGCCGGCTCCAGGTCCTCAGGTCCGATGAGAAAAATGTCTCGGCCATTCCCATGTGGCGGTCCCTTCAGGACGGTACCATTGGGTGCAGAACGAATAGCCCCGTTGACAACCACGTTATTGGTGCCATCGGAGTCTCCAAGCGATGGCTCGACTGGAAACAGAGGCTGCCATGACATATTGTAGCAAAGACTCTTCCTTGCCGGCGCAGCCGCGAGATCCTGGATGGGTGTCCAGTAAAGGCCCTGAATCGTCATCACGGGCTCCTCTGTAGCCTCATTGAGCGCCACAGCATCAGAGCGCATTTGTTGTAACCCGTGTCTGTATGCGGCAGCGCACGCGCGGAACCGCGTCCCCGCTTGATATGGAAGCTTGGCGTCGACTGTGACCTCGTTCATCCGTCGCGGGACCATGCCAGCCTTGAGACTTCCATTCCTGCCAATGGTGGCAGCGAAAAAGCATTGGACCAGCCCGTCTAGGGCCACGGGATGGACGATATGAGGCCTTTCTTCAGGAGCCTTCGATGTGAAATTTGAGCCCGATGTAGGAATTGTGATGGTGCACAAGGACACATCCTTCCCTCTTCGAATCTCGGACAAAGTTCTGAATTTGGGACCAAAGTTAAGTCCCTTCCCGTGTAAATCCTTATAAAGATACTGCTCGTCCTGCACTTCGCTGCATTGTTGCTCTATCCGTCTGAATTCTCGCTCAAAGTGGCCCTGCTGTGCGTCCGTAACTCTGGGAACGGCTACTGAGCCTGGCTTGCCGTATTCGATCTTGACGAGGCCGTGGCAATTCTGGCGAAAGTCCTGGTCGGCCCTTCGAGACGAGACGGAGAAATGGAGCCAGCCCGTGGCGCCGAGCAGTGCGTCGCTCGCCTTTGGTTTCATTGTGAGCGTGGTCTCCAGCTCATCATTCTCAGGAATCAGACCGGCATTCTTAAGCTCAAAATCTCGGATTCTAAACTGCTTGACCGTAAGGCCAGGGTCAGCAAGCTGCCGCGCGCCCTCGATAGCCATGGCAAGGAACCCAGCGGCTGGGTAAATAATGGCCGACTGGACTCGGTGGTGCTCAATCCAAGGCTCGTCGCTGATGCGCAGAAAACCCCTCCATACCCTCTCGGATGCAGACAAAGGAGAAACAGGTGCCCCTATCAGATCACGTCGTGGCTGACTTCTCAGGCGATGATCGCGGTTCAAGGGTGGCTCAGCCCAGTAGGTTCGTGTGTGGTTCCAGGCGTACGGGTGCAGGTTGGTGATAGGGCGACGGAACCCGGCTGTGAGTGTTCTTTGGTTGCCGTTGAGTGCCTCAATATTGACAGGAACTGACTGGGCAACAAGTGAACCAGCGCACTGCAAGGCGCTATCGGCGGCGTCCATTCCGCGATACAGAACCGACCGGTAATCGATATCGCTCAGCCCACAAGACTTCAAGATTTGCGCAATCGGGCTCTTCAGAGCGCAATGGGGACCGACCTCGAGGAGGATATCCACTCCAACATTCGCCAGTTTGCTCGCAGCTTGTGAGAAGCGCACGGGTGAAACGACATTTGCGACCCAGTAATCCGGGCTGGCTAGGTGACTTGGATCCGCAAGTTCTCCCGTGAGGCTGGAATACATGGGGATTGTGGTGGCATCACCCCCAGAAACGATTTGGATGTCCTCAATGCCTTGGTAAAACTCCCCGGCAATTAATTCCATATGATGAGAGTGGTAGGCGAATCCAACCAACAACCGTCGCTGGAACAGACCCTCCGCCTTGAGTTGCTCCTGGATCTCATTGATGGCCGCAGTATCTCCTGAGAGCGTGACGCTTGATGGCGAGTTAATGCAGGCTGCAGCTACCCGCCCCTTTGACGCAGCCTTGTCAATGTAGGCCTGGGCCTCTTCTTCCGACAGGCTCACCGCCATCATGGCGCCAGGAGGCCCGGTCAGGTTTTTGAGTACCTCGCCCTTTGAATATGCAATCTTCCAAGCGTCTTCTCTCGATATGGCACCAGCGCAAAAGGCCCCGGCAATCTCTCCACTTGAATGCCCAACTATCGAGGACGGTGTGATGTTCCATGAAGCCAGTAGTTCTACCAGAGCTACTTGTAACACGGTGGCGAGTGGTTGCGCATAGACGGGGTCGTTGATGTTGGATGAGCTCCCCTGGCAGAGCAGCTCCTTCAGTGCGGACCACGGACACCCCAGCTCCTGGGTGAAGTAGCGGTCGGCGGCCTTAATGCTGTTGGAAAACACGTCGTACATCAGCAGCTCCGCTCCCATCCTCGCCCATTGTGCACCTTGCCCAGTGAACACGAATCCTATCCTTGGACGTTGGCTGCGGTTAGGCCGGAATGATAGGCATTTTGGGTCTTGGAGAGATTCCGCCAGTTGCTCTGTCGACGTGCCAATAGCGTATGACATCCAGGTTAGTTGGGATCGATGGTGGTTCAGGGTAAAGGCCAGGCGACTCAGGTAGCTCTCGTCCTTTCCAAGTTCCTCTGGAAGGTTTTGGACATGTTGGCGAAGAAGTTCCTTCTGTCGTTGGATGCCTTCCTTATCCTGTGATGCTACCATGAAGAGATGTGGCCGGCTCAGAGAGTATACGGAGTGTCCGGATTGTGTCAGTATGTGGTTTCCATTAAAATCCTGGGAACACACATTCTTCAAGCCGGGTCGCCTGAGATAGCTCTCAATACTCTCCAGGATTATGTGGGCATTGGTACCTCCAGCACCGAACCCATTGACACTCAGAACCCGCGTCGCTTTGGTCGATGGCCATGGCCGCGAGGTTCGAGGGACTTCTAGCCGCCATTTCTGAAACGGAATTGCCGGATTTAACTTGCTGAAGGCGATGGTCGGTGGTATTATATCCTTCTCCAACATTAAAACGCACTTAATGACTGCCGACAGACCCGCCACGGCCTCCCCATGTCCGATCTAATTATGGTCAGCATCACGCACACGCAGTATTGAAAACCCACAGTACTAGTAAAGGGTGATGAACTCACGTTAGGTTTCACGGCACCGAGGTAGAGGGGATCTCCTTCTTGTCGCAGAATTCCCATTGTCGCATAGACTGCACCTAGTTCAAGAGGGTCGCCAGCTTTCGTGCCCGTTCCCTTTGCGAATTAGCCCATGTGCGTTGAAAATATACATAAACTGGGTAGACATGAGATGCCGAGCCCCTGTGGTGAGGAGCAGGCGGGCTCGCTTACATGGGTCTCAAAGTAGGACGCCTCCCCGGGTTCCAGCCCAGCAAGCTTATATGTTGACCGAATCAACGACGCCTGTGCATCCTGACTCGGGAGTGTTATCGACTTGGTCTTCCCGTCCTGGTTCACACCAGTGGCTCGAACGATTGCCCGAATCGAGCAGCCGTCACGGATTGCATCACTGGCACGCTTGAGAACCAACGCGGCGCATCCCTCGCCTCTCCCGTATCCATCAGCTGTCGCGTCAAAAGTCTTGCACCTTCCATCACCGGCTAGGAACTTCTGCCCGGACAGGTGACAAGAAAGATCCGGGTTGATCATCAAATTGACTCCGCCCACGAGTGCAGACTCGCACTCGCCGGTGCGGAGACTTTGACACGCCAGATGCAGGGCCACCAGGCTGGACGAACAAGCTGTGTTGATAGTCATACACGGGCCAGTGAGGTTGTAAAACCATGAGACACGGCTTGATACGAACTCGGTACCGGAGCCTGTGTATGCATACTTGGGGACGGCCTCGGGGTCTCGAGAAAAGCTTTCCCTCCAGTCGGTGCCCATAACACCGACGTAACAGCCGGTTGAACTCCCAGATAAATGGTCCATCTTGATTCCAGCATTTTCGAAAGCCTCGTAGCTAAGTTCGAGCATGAGCCTTTGCTGGGGGTCCATCGCCGCCGCCTCTTGCTGGCTGATATGAAAGAAGGTAGCATCAAACGCCGAAGGGTCTTGATCGAGGAAATGGCCACCCTGAGCCACGCAAGCGTTGGGGCGGTCGTCGGCTGCATCATGAAACCCGGAGGTGTTCCATCGCTTGGAAGTCTCTGAGTAGGCGGCTGGATACCCGCCGCGTTAGTCCCTGTATCGTGGTACTTGTGCCGCAGGCGTGGGGAGGTAGAGGCTTACATCGAGCGTTGACCATTAACTCCCAAAACTTTTCGGGATTTGACGCCTCGCCGGGCAGCCGACATGATAAACCGACGATTGCGATTGCATCATGTTCTAGCTTCCCTCTGGTGGGATTGGTTCCCGTCATGGTGCAAGCAAGTGTTCACGGGTATCTGGGAGATAGCGAGGCTGATGTCACTGAAGCTTGGCTGGAGAACAGGTATCGTGCATTTATTAGGAAGACGGGTAGGGAGTGTTTCGGTTGTGTTCAATAACATGCTTCAGAACCAGACCGCATGGCTCAAGTCTTAAGAAAAGGGCTATTGCAGGGCTCGCCATTGCATCTCCGTAAATATTTCAACGCCACAAGCGAAGTCACTTCTTTCGGGCCGGTCTAATGCCGCGTACGTGACTTGGATGAGGCCCCCATGAAACGAGGCTGCCCCGAAGCGCCCGGAGCGCCGGAGCGAGCTGCCGGAGGACCCGGTCATGACGAATGAGGAAACCCGACAGCTGTTCCTTACTGCCAGCTTGTCGCGTATAGAACTTCAGAACTACAATAATGTGTACCTAATACGGAACTATACATAGTTCGGAACCGCCCCGAGCACCTTTGGATACTTCTCTGATAATTCCCCGGACTTTACACTTTGATTCGGTGTACTCACACTGTGACTCCAAATTACCCCCAATTGTTCATTTCATCCATGGGCCGACATGAATTGATATATCAATTGCTTTTGCATGCAGCCTTGTTAACTCTGTACTCTGGAGTTGCCACCTTGATACGCTACGGGACCATCAAATCCTTGTCCTAAATCTACCTAGGTACCATGCCCTCAACCGGGCTCGATTTTCGCTCCCCGGGCAGCTCTCACCAACATCCCGGTAACAAAATGTTACTACCTCAAACACTCAAATCTGGTGTCACGGATCTGGGTACGTTTTGATTTGCATTGTAGCGACTTCTTGGTACCGTGCGTTTGCTATATTGACCCTTTACTGATATTCGCAGACGGTCAAGAGGCTTTGGCGAATTCCTCACCAATTGACGACTCCGCTGGTTCCTCCGAAAGTTGGTCAAGTGGTGGGGATTGTACCAGCGACAGTACCAACGCGTCCACTCTTATTAGCACAACTGCTAGTAATAATGGAGAACACAAAGGCAGCGCAAACTATGTTCGTCCAGATAGCCTACTGCTCAAGGATGTACTGCATGTCGACTTCACTCGATGTTTACTCATGGTATGCTAGATGGCTGTGAACTAACGGAGAACGGTGAGAGCGCAGTCGCTAACAGCAATGTCTCCATTAAGCAGCCGGTGATGGCTCCGTTTCAATACGTGAGTTCTTTGGCGTCCAAGGGGGTACGTGAACAAGCTATCGTGGCCTTGAACGACTGGGTGGGCGCAGATCCGGAGGACCTGGAGATAGTTACCGAAGTTGTGTCCGATGTACACAACCTGTCATTGATGTAAGCTGCAGCTGACCTTCCCATTGTAGTGCAGGTTACTAACTAGAACTCAAAGGCTTGACGACGTGGAGGACAATTCTCCACTCCGACGCTCTGCACCATCGACCCACACTGTCTTCGGAATACCTCAGACGGTAAATTCGGCCAATTTTATGATAATTGACGTTATAGATCGCGTCTCAAGGCTTGAGAATCCTGTCTTCTTGGTTGCGGTTCTTGGTATGGAATAATGCCATTTTGCCTGCACCAAAATTCCAACTGATTGTGGTCCGAGTAGACGAGATGAAGAACTTGGTGGCTGGTCAAGGTCTTGACCTTTTTTGGACCTATGACATGTCTCCACCTACCGTCGATGAGTACCTCCAGATGGTCGATGGGAGTAAGTCATCCGTCGCACTCTGAAACAGCAATTGCACTGAGCTGATGCGGGAATAAGAAACCGGCGGCCTGTTCAGAATGATCTTTAGATTGCTGGTAGCGAGCAACACAGCCACAAAGGGGGTTCCCGATTTGAGCAACCTTATGACGCTGCTAGGGCGATATTTTCAGATCCGCGACGACTATATGAACCTAGTGTCACACCAGGTAAGAGGTTTGCCTTCTGAAGTTGCTTTAGGTGTCTGGGCTGATTTGTGGCGTTGCAAGTACACCGACTCAAAGGGCAGTTGTGAGGACCTCGATGAAGGTAAATATAGTTATATCATGATCCATACCTTACAGAACTCTCGGCCGAAAAGCCGAAATATTCTCAAAGGTCTACTTCAACAGCGGAAGATGACAGGGCACGCCGGCCCTCGCCACAAAGATCTATTCCTCGAGTTATTTGAGGAGACTGGATCATTTGAGCATACTGCCAAGACCCTCAAGGCTCTGAGAACGACGATAATGACCGAGTTAGAGCTGATCGAGGAGGCTACGGGCAAAGTCAACAAGGGTCTAAGAATGCTTCTGGACAAACTCAAAATTTGAGCGCCCGGGCGGTTAGGACACATTGCAGGTGTGGGTTGCACGTGCAGATGGGGGTACGTCACCATGGAGTCTCGGAGTTTGTACATTTAGATTGAGACTCGTTCCTTTTGCAACGTGTCCACATTTATACAACGTCCACACTCATCTTGGTCAAATAGTTAGACGGATGATTAGTCTATCTAGGTACCTACCTAGCGTTTTGGGTCTGCCAAATATGGGGGAAGGCATCAATGATTCCTTCCGAATCACTTTATCTCCATTGGACAAACTCCTTACAATTTTACATAAGATCATCTCATAGATCCGAGCAGACCGTATCGAACAGCAAATTGACTAGTTTCCGAGATATGAAGCAAAAGAAACCCGTATTTATATACAATAGAGTTACACAATGATGGAGACCCGTGCTCTCGATAGACCAGGCCTTATGATCAACCCTCCTGTCGGTTTGTAGAGACTATCGCGAGTCTGTTCCGGATAATATCATTCATGGCCTCATAGACGGGCCATTGCCTGACGACAGTGATCTCTCTTACCCTGGTCAACACGGTACCAAATCGTGTGAGTCTCGACTTGAGCAAACTCTGTACTATGTGTAGATCGTCGTCGTCGAGATTCCACCGGATCCTGGATTGTCGACGTGTTTTTGACGGATGATTTCTCGTGCTTTTCCTTCCAGAGGTTCCCATTACCGCCCCACCAAACAGCCTGCTGAAGGGATTGCTACCAAGATTTTGCTCTGACGTACTTGAATTATTTCCTCCCAACTGGTTACCTTTTAACTGCATGTGCACATCCTCGATACTTTGCATAACCATTTCGCACATTGTTATCACGAGGATGACTAGTTCGGATCGGGACGAGCAAGAGTCGCAGCCCAGCAATGCCTCACAGCTCCCCATCGAGCCTTTCTGACACCGCCAAATTTCCTCAGCAAAGATGCTAGCCGATTGTTCGCTCTCGCTCGACCTCGAAAACAAAGTGGCGTTGAGGATTGCATTGTGGAGCAATAATTGATCGATACAGTCGCATGAGCGCGTAATTGGCTCCGAGACCCCGGTCAGTGGCTGGCTATTGCGCTGTGTATGCTCAGGTCTGGTGGAATTCTTGTTTGTGGTCTTAGCTGTGTCAGTCTCCGATGCTACGGATGATGACGCTTCAGTGGCCGTTGGAGTCCCGGTTCCGTCCATGAACTCACAGCTCCCATCTGTATTATTATGGATGAGTGTCGGTTCCATGACAAAACGGACCACAATGTTCCCTCTAGTATTATGACATACCTGTGATATCAAACGCTGCGGCGCCGCTTACTTTCTCTAGATCCGGCAAAAAGACATCGTCTGTGTAGTTCCACAGATCTTTGTCAGTCCACATTAACAGCTCAGCCTCTGGTGGTCCCTCGGCCATGGGCGATGCCGAAGATGGAGCATGTGCCAGATCACTCTGGGTAGGTGTGGAGGTCTGAGAAAGTCGAGAGTTCACGGTCGGGCTGGCTGATGGACTGTGATATAAGCATTGCATATTCCTGGCCAGGCATCGTTGACAGCCTTCTGGTTCACCTGAGCATTTCAGCTGTAAGCTGTCAGCGTCCTGCACGTGCAGCTGGACTGGGACTTGAACTAGGCATACTTTTTTGCCACGACAGTAGGCACATGCCACCCGCGCGAGTGTTCTCTGGCGCTTGTTGTTGAACGGGGGAGCGGAAGGCTCAAGGATATATCCGCTTGCGTCATTTGCATATTTAAGTGTATTGAACATTTTTGACTGCGTGAAACCACCTAACATCATACCATTAGAATATGTTGCTAGGCTGAAGTTTTGGAGGAAGATACCTACTATATGCCTGCTTAAATGGCCCTACTAATTCGTTATAATGATTGAAGGAATGAATGCACTTGGCTCGCCTAACTAACTTCAAAGCTCGCTCAAGTAGCGAAGACGATGACTATAAATCACCGATGCCAGACCGATGAATCCGCCATGCATTACAGTGGAGCTTGACGAATGCGCATTAACACCCCTCTGCAGGCATCCCAATTGTTCATTCGTCTCCAGAGAGACACCAGATTATAATTTGTCTGAGCTCTAATAAAAGTGGTTTCACGGTGGAGAGGTAAAAACTTTGATTGTTGGATGCCTTGGTGCAACGATAATCAACTTCAAAGCGGAAACGTCGGTGAACAACGGCATCCACCCATGGACGAGCAGCCCAACATCTTTAGGTTCCGTGCGCTCCCCCTGCAGCTTAGAATCTCTACGATGCATGTGTTGACTTTTCAGATACAAATCAGGTTCCAGTCCGGTGTTGGACGCACAGCTTTTTGTGGCAAAACGTTACCTACGGTGTAATTTTATTCATCACGTCGAAGAGGCATTACGGATAACATTTGAACCAATACAGGACTGGGGAAAGGCCGTATTTTCTATTAACCCGAGATGCATGAGATCTGCGAACCTTCTTGTTGGCTATAATGTATTGCGCAGTTTGTTTCGACTCATGGTATGATGTGATAACTGGCATATCTAGCTGGAATGACTCAGATGGTGGGATTCCCGACCACGGCACAGAATTGTTGTGTCATGAACCAGCACGTCACTTCTGGGCAGAGGACACGTTTTAGACGGGCGAGTTGCAGAGTAATATAAGTAGTATGAATATTAAGTAGTAGTATAAGGTTATATTAAAGAATTATATACTTTATATCTTTAACTTTATTATATTAATTATTTTAACTATTTATATATTTAAATAAATAAATATAAAAAGTAAGAAAATAATCTTTATTATTTTTATATTTATATAAATAATAACTTTTTTTATATTTATTTTATATATATTAAAGGATATACAATATTTTAATAAATTTATAATTATATTTAAATTTTATAAATTAATATAAATTAAATTAAATTCTATATTAATTATAAGAAGCTTTAAAGTTTAATAATATTTAAAGTATATTAAGATAGATCTATAAAAATTCTATTAACTACTAGCGTAATAGACCGCTCGGCTAAAAGACTATAATAATTAATTCGAAGAATTAGCTATTCTAGTAATCTATAAGCCCGTACCGTTATATATTATAAGTAAATTTTATTTTTTATTTAAGATATAATTTAATATATTATTTATAACTTATAATTATAATTAAAACCTAATTATACTAATTAAGAATACGATATACCTAAGGCCTTAAAACTAGTTAACATCTAAAAGGATGTCTAAGATCTAAATTTGTGGCTGGTACGTCGAACACTGCTCGAGTGCATACACCGTCTCGAAGTCCCTCTCCGGAGCAACATTCTAATCTAGAGACAACCAAAGTTTCAGCATTCGAGGGTAGTTCGGTGTACCCAACCCGGTCTGTATTTAAGTGAATTATGATTAGTTCAAAGAGAAGAACGACAAGTATTACAGGTTTCAGTGTTACTCACCACTGGATCCCAGCCTGGTGTAGCTGAGAAGCCCTGGGTACCACACCCCTGGTTGGTGCCTTCAGTTATGTCATTGAATACCTCTGGATTGGCATAAGCGACAGGATTGATGAAACCAATGCTACTCTTTCCGAACTTTAGGCGCTCCTGGTTGATAAGAGTGAGGATGGAGCCGAGAGTCGGTGAGCTAGCCGAGGTTCCGTATATAAGAGAGAAGTCGCCATCGATCGCGATTACATAGTTGGCACTAGGATGGGTAGCAGGATCCTATCAGCTCGCATATCACGAAATTGAATGAAGGGGCCAAATGCGGACGGGTGAAAGCAATTTCAAGACATTGAATCACTCACCCATTTGCGCTGATATCTGGGAAGGCGCGCGTTTGCTGGCTGTTGTTGAATCGGTCCGCACCATAAGGAGGTGGATAATTAGCAAACCATCCGTGAACCGCGTCAGCCTGATAGTCCGGAAGGGGAAAGACGTTGGAGAAGCCTCCACCAGAATATATGACAGTCTCACACGCCTCCTCAGGTTGAACACCTGCTGCCAAGTCGGTTGTGATGGAGGCATTCGGCTTGACCTGCGTAGCGCCGACGCTCGTAATGTATGGACATGTTCCAGGGAATCCAGGATTGAAGCGTCCGCTAGTACCGTTGTTGTATGTTGCGTTGATACCCGGGCCGTTGATACATTGACCACCGTTTCCGGCTACACCATAGTCCCCGGAGCTATACAGGACGCTGATGCCCATCATACCAAGCTTGGCGTATTCGTTACATTGGCGTGTCTCGTAGAAGGGGGTGAGGTCGTGCTCGTTATATCCGTACGAGGTCGAGATCACCTTAGTCGCCGCGAAGCCACCGCAGTTCTGGGGGCCTTTATACCCCATTGGCATAACATCGGGATAAATGCCGTCTTGGGTAGGATCATCCCCACCTTCGTATGTACAGTAAGACCCGTCGATAGCATCGAGAAAATTGTTGAAAGAAGCACCTTCCACAAGGTCCCCAACTTGGTAAAGGGTTACCTTCTGTGGGAATACCAGTGAGATCGCGTACTCTAGATCGAGGTCGCTTTCGCCGTTGAAGCCGAAGCTCATATTTGTCTGCTGGACCACACCACCATCAATGCTGTTCAGTATAGGTCGGACGCCGACGGCCTTAGGGCTGAAGTTCGCAAAAAACAAGTCCAGGTCAGAGGGCACGTATGCTTGTGGCGTGTATTCGACGATACCATAGCTATTTCCAGGAGCAGCCTTGCGATTGACAGGGAATTGGTACAATGCACGCAGGCAGTTTGGAGTGATGAACTCGTCGCACGTTGAGAGGTCAGACGTGCTCTTGTGGTGGCTGCTGATGCGGTAGCCCCCTTTTGGGAGAGATGCGGACCCAGGTGCACCGAGGCCCTTGTACACGCCAGGGGTGTTCTCACGCTTCGAAATGTCTGCATTTACTGCTGTAGCATGGCGCGATTGAGGTCGAGGCTTGACATCAAAGTGGACAGTGGGGTAGACCATATCGATATGTTCTTTGAGAGAAGATGGGATGCTGTACTCTGTGCAGGCCACATGCGGCTGCCCACTCTCATGCTCATAAACATAATATTTCGTATTCAGCAGCTGTTCGGCCTCATCAGCTGTGGCATTGAATTCGAGCCAGGCCAAGCTTTGCGATTGCTTGATGCGGTCTGCCGCTACACCAGCAGAAGTGAGCCAAGACTTGACGGCGGTGGTCGTCTCGACGCTATTCAACCGACAAGAATCAGTCCCAAGACAATCTAGAGCTATTAGAGGTTGATTCATGGCTTAACGTTACCTCGGAGCAAATGCTTCTGCAACCTCCTTTGCCGACCAATGCTGACCGTACTTCATGGATTGCGGATGTGATACCTCTGATAGCCATACTGACAGCATGTCCAGATTTCGTTGCTTCAAGCCGATGCGCATTGGAAGCACTGCTCGTCGGTCCAGAGCACCATGTCTTGTCCATCCGTCAGGAATGTCGGACCTTCTCTCGTGTAGTGAGGGAGAAGCACTGTCAACGGCATACCCTGCCGCCGAAGCAGCGTAGGTTGCGAGCAGCAGCTTGTGATAGAGCATCTTCGCGGGTAAGCGGTTGGGACGGAGGGTTTATTATAGGCTGACCGTCGACAAGGGAAAGCTCAGGCTGTCTCCAAGTCCAAGAATTTCGGCGGGAACGGAGCAGTAGATATAAATCCTGCAGGCCGATATCTCCCCCCTGCGTTGTCTTACTTCACGGTGGTATTTGCCCCCCTCGTTTTCCTGCAAGGCACCAAGTCTCGTATTCCCTCTCCCGTGAGTTATGCTCGGATAAGAACATTCGCGTTTCCTATAATGGACCCGTCCCCACAATGTCTCCATTGAGACGCTGACACGCTGAACAGACATGCCGATAGCGACGTAGCATCAGCCAAACATTTAGCACTGCGCCCTGGTCACTTTAGCGTTCAATTCTGTCGAGCCTTAGGACGTATACGGCAGGTGAAATGTGTGATGAACCTGTGGTCTATGTCATATATTGGTTTTTCGCAGTAGCGTCCCCTGCGCTTCTGCGGCTTTCCCCCGAAATTGGCAACTCTTGGCAAAAAAGCTTGACCTGACAACCTTATTTTGGCCCTAACGATCCTCCTTTAGACGAGCAAGGTCCAGTCTCTCACGGTCCCCTCCCTTGAACATTTGAAGTTGTCTCTAAATCAAGCGGTCATCTCATCGGAACAGCGGTTTAGCAACCAGCAAGGATTCGACAAAGCGCCCTACGCGATGGGAGTGTTGAAAAGGCTATAGATCAGATTGTTCTTGCCGATTAAATCGTAGATCCACGCATCAGGGCAGCATTCCTGCTGACGAGAGATGAGATTTGGATGTGGCTATCAGCGGCCGGGGTGATCATCTCGTCATGAAGCTCTCTGTTTCAGTTATCGGTTAGGTGCACTGGCCTGTGTGCTTTTACAACAAAAGAAATCGTGGAGTACCCTTACGGGCTTCCGGATCTCGACCTCCAAAGTGCCCCTCCCTCTTGTGTCCGCTTCAACGTCGACAGGTTCGCCGCCGGTGTTCTGCTGCGAACTGGTAAAGATACAGCATTGGAGGTTATAACGCTGGAGGGCCGCGAAGTCACAGTCTTGACGATGCAGCAGCAGCATTGAGGCAATTGTTGGGACAGAAGATCGGAATGCAGGTTTCGCCTCGAGAGCAGTAGAATAATAAAAGATTGGAGCATGTTGTGGACGCCAGCCTTTCCGAGCTATTGACCAAAGCCAACGATGCACTAAACAAGGGTGGTCTCATTGACATCAAAGATTATCCATGCCACGATATATTTATTCCGTGGACTCCGTCCACTGCGTCCACATTCGTGAATGTTCTCTCGGCTCGGAGCGGCATGCTCTACGAATACGCATACAATATAGTGCCAATGTTCTCGAACAAGTGCCGATGACATGTGTTTTCGTTCATCCCAAAATTTGCCTATCCCCGTGGAGGACTGACTAGCGCTATTAACTTGAAGGTAATATCAACAAAAGCCTGACAAAGAATAGATCCCAATAGAAGCGAGTGCCTATTGTCGCATGAAGTGCGATGGCCATGATATCCTTGAGGAGGAGGCGGGACGTTGGACGAACCTCGCTGGACAGCGAAAAACACCTCGACATTCCGAGTCTTTGCTGAACCCTTCGGTGACTGTGCGCGATATTGAAACGACATGCTTGAAGCAGCGACGGGAGATCTCTACGGAGAGATCCGCTTGTGCATTGGGAGCTCGCGGGAGCGGGAACGGATGCATTTCGCTGTCATGTGCTGATCAAAACGTGATGGTGGATTCCAGATGTCACTGGTCCACTCCTATTCAAAAGCTGACGATGGCCCTTGCTATAAAAACGCGAGCAAACTAATTAGCGTACCGTAGCAGCCCAATGTATCAGTCTCAATGGATGGATGCATGTTGATATTGAGCAGCGCTTGCCTCGATATTTGTTGTGCATGCTTCAGCTACGCGCAGCTCAACAGCGGCAAAAGGAATAGAAAAGAACTATGTTTGTACCTAAATGAGTCAACTTGCTCCCGAATATTCACGACCGGGCCCAGAGCACCCACGGCAATGACTATGAATAGGCGGGCGATGGACTGCAAGATTTGAGACCTCACGATTAGATGTCCGGTCGTGCTTGTGGAAAGCGCAATGATGTGGCCTATACCTAGGTACTCTAGCGGTTGTCCTTCTGAGTGAAAATGAGGACGTCGATCTAGCAAACCGTCCATCAGCTTCGGACTGTGAGTTGGGCCTGCGTCATGCCCTAGTTCTCATCCTTGTCAAAGACCTTTCTCCCTGCGAACCAAGTTTGTGTAACCTGCGCCCTGAGCAATTCCATCTTGTCCCATTGCATATCAAGCACAGCAAGATCTGCCATCATTCCCTTCTCGAGCTTCCCCGTCACGTGGTCCATGAAGCAACTCCGCGCTGAGCCTTGCGTCCCAGCAACGACGCTCTCACATAAGCCTAGTGCGAAATGTCCGTTGACGACTGTCTCTAGTTCTGGCTCTCTCGCCGACCGGCGATTCGTAGCCACGTAGCAGTTAGCCGTCACGCTGTGCGGCGCGGTTGGGGCGTCACTTCCTATAGCCAAGACGGCACCGCCGTCGGCGAACTCCCGGTACGCAAATGCTCTTCCGCATCGATGTTCGCCGATGAGTTTAGGCCATGCCTTCAAGATGGCGGGGTCGGAGTGTACCGGCTGTACTGAAGCGGTGATCCCCAACTTTCCCAGCCTGGCCGCGTCTTCTGGCGAGGTTAATTCCAGGTGCTCGATCCGCGGCCTCCGTTCGGGAGCAGCGCAGGCCTCGATGGTGTCGATGGCATTGCGGGCGGTCAAATCGCCAATCGCATGCAGGGCAACCTGCAGCCCTGCCTCGTCTGCCCTGCGGACAACTGGGAGGAGCATTGGCTTTGTCCAGACAGGTTCAGTCATGCTGCCAGTGTGCGTGTACGGCTCGCTGAGTGCAGCCGTGCAGGCATCGACAATTCCATCACAGACAAGCTTGATCCCCACCACCTTCAGGTCTGGAGACGTGGTGGCGTTGTATTTGGAAGCCATCTCGGCGACGTAATCCACCTGCCTCAGGCAGTCCTCCTCGTCAGCAGGGCGGATCAGCCAGTAGGCAGCGATGCGCATTGGAAGGTCTGGGCGTCGGGACTTCAGTGCCAGCAGCGAGTCCCAGCTGCTCTGGTCCATGGCCATATCGACAAGGCCAACGTAGCCGCTTGCATTGTAGGCTTCGATTGCCGTTTCCATCGCCGTGGCGCGCTCTTCAACCGTCAATATCCGTGACATGAAGGGCCAGATCATGGTGAAAACCACTGCCTCTTCGAAAAAACCTGTCGACTTGCCCTCCTGGTTGCGATGAATCGTGCCCCCCGGGGGATCTGCCATGGCTCCGATGCCCAACCCACGGTCCAACTCGTCAATGGCTGCCTGGTTGCACCAGCATCCATGCAGATCCTTGGTATCCACGAAAATAGGCCTGGGATCAAGATCATCCAGCATGCTATGATCGACGCCACCCGGAGTCTGTGTGTGCATCCATGACTTGCACATGATCCGCGGGACGTCGGGGTGAGACTTCGCGTAGTCCTTGATGGTCCGCCGGATATCTTCCAGATCCTTGCAGGGGTCTAGGTCGACCTTGTTCAAGGACATACCCAGGAGGAGGAGGTGTATGTGGCCGTCGAAGAAGCCTGGAAGCACGGTCTTGCCTTGGAGGTCGTGGACCTTTGCGCCATTTGCAAGGGCTGAGGCAATAATTCCCTCTTCATCGTCATTTTCGGAGCTGCCAATGTGGCGGATGGTACCGTCAGCGCCGATGATGAGGCTCGTTGCAAAAGTGGCATCCTGGTCTTTCCTGGATGACGAGTTGGTGGAGGCTTGAAAGATCCTGCCGTTGGTGAGGAGGGTTTCAGCCCCCGGTTCGATCGCCATCCTTGCTGCGGGTTGGTCGCCTGCACCACGGTTTCGTAGCTCACGCGGCCTGTCGGTTGTGGTGGTACAATCGACCAGAAAGTGACACAGAGGCGTGTTCGGTGCCGGCAGAGAAATTGAGAGGTCTGACCTGTATGCTAAGTGATGAATCGCGCGTTCTTGCTTTCTGCCACTCCGTGATTCGGGCAGGTTAATTACCTCTTCCCATGCGATAGCGGAGCGCCGAGCCGCCGAAGGACCGGAAGCAAGGTGGAGACGCTTCCAAGGTTCCTCCGGGCCTCGGTTGTCGGCAGTGGACGCGAATGCTGAGACGAATCAAGCAAGCTTCACACGGAAGAGCAACTTGCAAGATATGAGTGAGAGAGAAAGAAAAACACAATTAGCAATCGACTCTGCTCCCCAAACTGTGGTAGGAATTGGACCCGGGCCAGATAAGAGAGGGTTACACGAAACCTCCAGATCATGCAGAGCTCGAACTAGAAGTCACACTCACAACCCCAACAAGCTTCGCAGGATCGCCTGATCTGCATTTCTGCCACCCTAGGACGAACTCAGCTTTGCAGACGTGCGCCGCATTGAGAATAGCTCACAAAAGAGCCAGGTGTGTGCAGCAGTGGATCCTTGTGTGTCATTTGATCAAGCTTGGATGGGACCTGTAGACTGGTCTGGCGTCTGGGCAACTTGAGACAACCGAGCCTCATCGGGTTGCTCCTGTTTCATGATTCGCAGGACATCTCCCGAAGGCTCCATACATATATACTGGCCACGACGTTCGGTCGGTCTGGGCTGTAAGAGGGCGTGCCGGGACGCCAGGAGAAAACTGCTAGTTGTGTACGTCTAAGCTTCACCGGATTAAATCACTTCACGTTCAATCTTTATTTCGCCCTTGCCCGTCACCATTTCAACACCTTCGCTCTCCCCAGGCGACCGCGGCTTCGAATAACTCATCGTTTGCAAGCCCACAATGCTGTCCACGGGCGTCTTCCAACTCACCCTCGTCGCCCTTCTTCCGCTTGCCCTCTCGAGCCCAGTCCAACTATTTCAGCGGGATACAGCCGCAACAAATGTCCAGTGCACTGATAAAGCAGCGTGAGTTCAGCTCATGGTTATACAATCTAATATGTCAAGCACGCCGCGCAGATGCTAACGGGAAGCAAGCAATATCAACGAACACAACAAGAATGTAGCCCTGCTACAAATCTGCGGGGGCATCGCGGGATCAATCCAAAAGTGCGGTGGCAACCCGACCAGTACCACTGGCCAGTCCGGCGACGCCAAATTCACCCTCACTCCTACCGACAGTGGAGCTACTATAAACATCTCCAAGGGCAGATGGGAGCAGTGCATCAAATCAGCCGAGGCAATATGCACAAATGGATCAGCCTACACTGCTACTTGCCCGGGTGGCGCATCAACCGGAAACATTGACTTCCAGCTAACAAAACAATAACGAGTTCTTGTTCCTTGAGCCGGGGGTGATTTGAAGCCTTCAGTCCTAGCTATCTGTTCATTGCCATCGACGTATGTGTACATTATAATCTAGCATAATCTCATTATACATATTGACTAGTAGTACGATACGACGCTAGCCGCACTTGCAAAGATGAACTTATCATGGGCGAATCTTTGTAACAAAACTCCTTTCTATTCACACACTTAGCTTCTATAAAAGTATTTATACAGAACATCAATCGAGTCTGGGGGGAGGGGTTACTGTGAGGGACCATCCGTAGCATACACTCGAGCGGAGCTCGTAATGCTCTTCCCTGTTACTATGATTGACGGATCCGGGGGCTCTAACTCATACATGACCGCTCGACTATCGATCCGCCCGCTCCTTTAATACCTGTAGCACGGAACGATTTACATTATCCAACGGAAGGTTCTTCTACGTAGGCAACCCACGCTCGGTCGCCTTCGACATAAGATCGAGTATATAGCATTCCCGTCTCGTTGAAGCGCATGGCCGTCACGCGGAGGCTCTGTTCATCGATGCTGCCGGGCACTACACAGCCTTTATCTGCGTCGTCATAACAAGCCTTTGCGTCTAGTATGGTCGCATTTCCCCAGTCTGGGAAGACATGACGTGTGCCGTTCAAAAAAGTGCCAGCCTCGATGATCCTATTTGCGCAGAGCAGTGTGGATCATGTCAGTACTAGTTCTAAGCTAAAAAGTAGCCATCGTTCCGTAAATTTCACGAGGAGTCTTACCACTCTGCTGACGTGCCTGGAGATGGCCACGTCGGCCCGCGCCAGGTGGTGGGGGCTTCCTGGCCAAAAGAAAAGGTTTGGCTGGTGTTGACGTTGGTAAAGGTGACATTTCCATAATATCCTCCCTGTGACGTTGTGACAGATATTTGCAGGTGATCACCTTCTGACGTTGCCAGCTCAGATGGTGTCAGGCTGATTGGGTCGTTTGGGACCCTGCCACCGCAACAAGCAATGTTAGACAACGTAATTACAGGGTTATTATATTTAATGCGGGAATTACGGGGAATATACTGTCTCACCATTCATAAAAGCCGGTGTAGTCCGTAGTTCCGTTTTCCCATATCGACATAAAGACGCCAGCTTGCCACAGACCACGCACAGTATTCGCGGGCACTCCGGTCTCTTCGTCTCCGGACATGACAAAACCATCGAGCCCAATCCAAAAAGCTGCGGTGTATTGATCAACGCGCATCGTCGGATTCTTCGGTACGGAAAGCCGCGGCATCACCAGAGTGGCCTCAACTGTGTTGAAACCGGTCCATGTTGTCGCATTCGAAGACGAATTGTTCGGGGAAGTAGACGCAGACTCAGCAAGAGCGAGACGCACTGGCCCTGCCCAGGTCTCGTCGTAGAAGATTTCAATTGCAGAACTCGCTGGCAGCCACGCACAGAGGCTGGCTGAGAGGATCCAGCATATTTCCAAACCCTTCATCGTGATCTCGCCCTGTGGTCTTCGTTTGCAATGCGAGGGGTGTAAGGAGGAGAGAGCCAACGAAGGGTGACTGACAAAGTCAACACCGGGGCTTGCTCCTATTATAGTACTAGTTCTCCACAACCCGCCCGTGGTCTGCGAATACGAGATCCACCCCCTGTTCAATACGACCCCGGGGGCTTATATAAGCCTACTTGGTAGGGGATACATGTCTAGTTCACACGTACCTACTTCCACGAAAGTCGTGGGGCTTTGCGGACCGGAGCAGTACAACTGCTGAAAAGAGCACGTTCATGAAGAAATAGAAGGTTATTCAATTTTTTTTTTCTTTATACGTTATCCAAGTGTTTCCCCACCTCTTTGTACCCTCCTTTGCTCGTATATTCGTGTTCCTTCACATATGTCCACCAGATCATCGTACCACACATGGATGTCACGAAGACGATAAGGAGCGCGTATACTATAAGCGTATTCAATGTTGTGCCAAATCTGCTCCAACGTGGCACCTCCGAGAAGGATGATGCATCCAATATCCGACCCTCGGCATCCAACGCCACAACGCGAACCAGCGAATTGGCTGCAGTGGTTGGGAGAGGAATCAGCGTCTCAAACCCGTCCTTGAAAACCTGCGCGAGGACATGCACAGTTTGTGAATTGTCATTCTTGACTTCCAATTGCCACTTCGTCACTTCGGTCGCACCATTCCAGCTGACGTAGGCTGTCCCGCTGTCAAGAGCGAGGCTGGGTGGGTATCGTGGTCTACCGGTCCACTGGCCACGGAAAACGCGGTAAGAACTCACTGGACTAAAGTCGAAGAAGGCCTCGGCACCATAACGGGCGTCACACAGCACCTCTCCGTCGGCTGCGAATTCGGTGAAAGCACCTGAGCTCCCCCAGCCGACCATGAAGTTGCCGTTATCGAGGTGTTGAATGTTGCCCTGTGACTCTGATCTGATGTGGTGAGGATGGGTGTACGCCTTCCTCAGCTGGACGGTGCGGTTCGGGATGTCAAGATCGACCACGCGGCCACCGCTGTCCCCATCAGGGTCACCGAGTCGGTGATAGTGGTTGTCGAAGAAAGACAGCGTTCTGCCCTCTTCAATCCACCTCGCGAAGTGCTGCCATGAGAAGTCCAGCCCAGCACCATCTGAGAGGTCTTTGAAGTCGTTCACCTCTCCGCCGCCTAGAGTCCAGAGAACATCGCCACTCTGCCCATCGATGTAGCTGATGCCCCAGATGTTACGGGCAGAGATCAGGAAGTTGCCCTTGGAGTCCTTTTCAACGCTGTTCAGGTGGAAGTAGTCGAAGGCAGAGTCCTTGTCATCGCCGCAGCCAGCGAATCTGGCCCGAGGGTCGGTGACACAGTTGTCCTGAGGTTCCATCGTTGTGTTCGGCGCGAAGTGGTCAATTGACGACCACTCGAAGAGAAGCTCCCCAGTCTCCAAGTCAAGTTCTTGAAAGTAACAGTTCTCGAGCCATCCATGTTCTGGACCACCGACGCTGCGGAGGTCGTATGGGATAGGAATGGTCGTGATGATGACAGCTGTGTCATCGCTCGTGATCTGGAACTCGTGCATATCGGCATGGGGAAACCCGTGCGGTCGCACCCGATGCCTGATAGTATAAGACTGGTCCATCATATACCAGTATCCTTGGGTCTTGTTTCCATTGGGTCCGTCCATCTGAAAGGCGAGGAACCTCTCGCCACGATACATCTGAGGCCTCACATCATTCTGATCGATCTCGGACCCGGTCTGCCGCCATACCAGCTCGCCCCTGCTGTCCAGGATAACAGCACCCGGCTCGTCGACTTCATGGCCCCTCCAACCGAGGAATATGTTCTCCTGGCTGCATCGCGCGTCCCAACGGGGGAACTCAAACGAGGGCGTCCGGGCCTTTAAAGACACGAGCTTCTTTGATGGCGCAAGGCCACGGAGCCCAAGCCCATACCATGAGAGGTCACGGTGGAGATGGATGCGGCAAAGCACGTTTGTCCACAACGCCGAGAGGCCAAGCCCGAGGACGACCACCGCGGCGAGGAAGAATATCACCCGCGCAATGGTCGAATGATATAATCGGCGAGCCCTGTCTCGAATGGCGGCAGGCACACTGAGCGAGTCCTGCCATGTGCCAGCCAGCATGGCCGTCGAGGTGTAGGCTTGAGGCTTGGCCATCCCAGTCACTGTGGCGGGACGAGGGTTTGAAGAAACATGGAGTTTGCAACTTCTCGGTGGATAAGGGCAAGAGGGAGGACAGAAGGGAGACGCGTAATTAATCGAATTCCCTGCCTCGCTCCTTCCATGCACGAGATCCGCCCGTCGACCCACCACATCGTCTGCCAATGTGGGTTTGCAGGTGGCCAAGAACACGGCAGGAAAACATGGCTTAGCAGACTCGTGCTCACCGGGCAGCGCGGCTCTGTTAGTGAACTGTTGGTGTCCCCAGTGTCCCCACCCACCACCACCAAAAGGGGTGTGACATACCCACAACGGCTCGAAAAGGGGCTCTTCAGGCTGGACTGCTCATTTGCACGCATTGCTTCGAGAGAGTGGGAGAGGAAGAACGGGTTCCACGCCCGGAAGAAACCATTGACTACTAAATACCTAGGTATGTACTACTGTGGTAGGAGGAGTATGTGTCACTATTTCCAAGATGTGTGAGCTCGATGTCTGACGTCGAAATCTTGCGGGGCAACATGGAAGTGCGTACACAGTATGTGTCGCTGCTCTTCACGGGCTCACTCAAGAAGTACGGTCTGACGTCCCGGTCGGGCTCTCCGATGCACCCCACATCAGAGATCCCTCCTTGCCCGAATCGACGTCTATGCATTTCCCGTGCACACTGCCGCTCCACGACTCGCTCGCGAGGAACAAAATGCTCCTTGCAACGTCTTCCGTCGGCACAGGCCGAGCCAACGCCGTTGTGGCCTGGCACTCCGCCCACCATTCATTGGTACCCGGCCCCTTCGTCTCTTCGCGGAAACGATCCGTGTCGACAGGGCCAGGCGCAACGGCGTTCACCCTGGCGCGTGGAAACACTCGCGGTGCATCGGCCCGGAGCGACTGCAGGAGCCCGTACTGCACGGCAGATTTGGCTGCCGCATATGCGGCACAGGTGCGGACGCCAAAGTGGCCTGCTTCACTCCCCACCAGGATCAACGCCGTGTTCCTCAGCTTGACCTCAGGTTTCTGCGCCAGGTGATCACGGATGCCACGAAGCCACAGCTGAGATGTTAACATCGTGCCTCCGACGTTGATTTTTAGCACACGCGACCACGTATCAGGACTTGCATCCATGATCGAATCCGTCTGCGGGAGGACGGACAGGTCAAGGGATGCCAACGCCACACAGACCTCGACTGTTCCAAAGATGGACGTCGCCTTGGCCCATGCTGTGGTCAAAGACGTTGAATCGGAGATGTCGGCCTTGAGCGCAAGGAGCTGACGGCCGTCTCGCTCGAGACCGGGATACGCTGGAGGGGCCTGGTCTGGGACGTAGCTGATGTCGAGGCTTGATACGTTGGCGCCGGCGGACAGGAAGGCGCCAACAACTGCTGATCCGATGAGACCAGCCCCGCCTGTGACCAGAACATGCGTCCCTTCCAGCTTGAGCCCCAGGTCGAATGATGACTCTGCCGGCATGATGTTCATGTTGCCCGTGCCGGAGATCCCTGTTCGGGAGACAAGTATAAGATGAAGTGCGGGGGCGGGCATGCTGGATAAGGATCCCTACTACCAGGGCCCTCAGGTAATGACTAATAAGTGTCGGATCAGGTACACTTTGGGCCATCCTCCCACAGTACAAGGAAAGATGGTATCCGCCTGTTCCAATTGATACTGCAAAACTACATAGATATTGTGTTGTTGGATATCTTGATTTTAGGGGCCCATTCAACAGACTTTGAGCTCGAGTGGATGGATTCTTTCCAAACACTCCGAGTACACTTTTCCGAACAGCTAATAAGGTATTTATTAAGTATGTTTGTGCCTAAGATCGTCGGCACGACTTATGAAGTAGTCCTCATGTCAGCGGGGGATATTCACGGCGTACCTATTAGAGTCAAAAAGGCGTATCCCCGCAGGTGGGATACCTACGGAGTAGATAGACGCCACATGCCCAGGTGCTAGTACATTACTGTGTCAATAAGTTCAACCAAATACTCTTACAGGGCTGTTCTCCATTAGTTAATAACACCATTGCATCTTGGAAATTGCATACTTCCCGACCACTTGCACCTGCAGCTTTGGTAGCATCAGCCTAGTCCCGTGCAATAGGGTAGGGTATTCAAGAAGTCCCTTTCACGACTTTCCGCAGTGGAGAATGAGAATGCTTGTACGGTTTATTATTATAAGTTATACCACTTTTAGTCTTTCTGCGTACGGGCACCAGCAATCATTTCTTGAGAGCACAAAGTTGGGGAACCTGGCATCTGCATCAGACTTGATTGTCGATCGCTGGAGATTGCCCCGTCAGGGTACTGAAGTACGCTTGCGATAATTCTTTTCCTCATGCCACCGGGACCCTCGTTGCCTCGTTCCCCTCGCTGAATGCCATCTTCCCCAAAATCTTGGCAAACCCCACAAGCCCGGGGCTCAGTCTAATCGGCCCTTTCCTAAAATGCGAGTTGAAGAGATCACGTCACAGCGGATAGACCGCACGTGCGCGCCGGGTCGGGCGAATCAGGTCGAATCTCTTGAGTTCATCCCGGCAGCACCGTCACCGGAGGCAAGCCATCTTGACGACGTCGATGCCGGAAATAATGGATCGCTCTGGTACTGTAGCATCTGTTTACTTAGGTACGAACGCCGAGCAGATGCAACCTGTCAATTCCAAGTTCAATTCCTGCTGTCGTGTTCGGCACTGGGCTGTCCTAAAATGGTGCGGGAAGCACTCGAGCGGGTCGATATTTATTTCCAGCTCGGGACCTTGGATAATTCAAAAATACACCTCAACCCGTTTTCACTTTGCTCATGCCTTCGGGTCTGTCACTCCTCCCGGGCGATTGCTACAACTTGCCAAGCATCCGCCGTGCCCCGACTTTCTAGGCTTGCCGAAGCGACCGGTCTCTTTTCACCATGAGGAGACTCCGCCCCTTGGTCGGAAGCATACTGCTTGCCTCTGCTTTGTTTACGGGAGTTGCGGCACGTAAATCCAATATTGTCTTCATCTTCACTGACGACCAAGACTATCATCACGGCTCCCTGGACTACATGCCGGCCCTGCAGAAGCACCTTGCCGCCGAGGGGACAAGCTTCACAAATCACTACGCCACCATCGCCATATGCTGTCCAAGTCGGGTCTCTCTCATGCGCGGCCAAGCCGCGCATAACACCAACAACACAGCTGTCAATGGACCGGGGTCAGCAACACTGGATCATGTTTCTACTACGTGCATTCATGAATGTCCGCTAACAAACACCCAAACAGCGGCGGCTATGGCAAGTTCACCGCCGCAGGCGAAGATGACGACTATCTTCCGCACTGGCTGGTGCGAGCTGGATATCAAGCCGAGTGTAAGTGGCTCCCGAATCTGTGATAATGTCTGCATTCCTTGCTCGGTCTTGAAGGCTGATTAGAACCGTGATTGGTCGTAGACGTTGGGAAGCTCTACAACGGGAATTCGCTGTTGAATTACTCACCGGCACCCAAAGGATGGAGCCATATCGATGTGCTGGTAAGCCCAAATCCAGTCTTTCACTTCCAAGATGGTATATATTCTGACGTTGGATCAAGCTCGATCCTTATATCAATGTGCATAACAGCGTGGTCATGTCACAGAACGGCCAGACGCCCGTGTTTTACGAGGGCTGGCAACAAAGTGACGTCGTGCGTGTCAAAGCCCTGTCCCGGCTAGAGCATCTGGTCGAGCAAGAGGACCCTTTCTTCCTCATGATAGCTCCAACCGCGCCTCACGTCGAGAACCTGACAGCCCCCCCGACACCACCATCGCGCTACAGCAACAAATTTGCCAACTTGACAATACCTCACCGCCCAAACTTCAATCCACCTGACGAGATGCACAAGAATAGGCCGAGTTGGTGGGCTGGACTTCCACGTCTTAACGAGACCCAGCTAAACGAAACGCAGCGCCTGTACCAACGGCGCCTGGAGGCGCTCCAAGGCGTGGACGACATTATTGAGGACGTGGTCAACCTGCTGGAAAGTCGAGGTGAATTAGACAACACATATGTCATATTCTCGACCGACCAGGGCTACCACCTAGGCACTCACCGCGATGTGGGCAAATCCTCTCCGTACATCGAGGACGCCAACATCCCCCTGGTAGTGCGGGGGCCGGGCATTAAGCAAGGCCGGGTTTCTCGCATTCCCAGCACCGTCACCGACTTTGCCCCCACTTTCCTCGACATTGCTGGCCTAGCCGGCGAAGATCGCCCGTCGTTCCTCGATGGCACTAGCATGCTCCAAGCTTGGGAGAACCCCGATGATCTGTCCATCGGAAAGGCTCAGGAGGCCATCAATGTTGAGTTCTGGGGACGAGCGTTCACTGAGATCCCCACCTGGACGGGCGGTGACACTCGAACCGGTATGTACTGGAACAATACCTACAAGACGATGCGTATCGTCAACGAGGACTACGCATGGGTCTACTCGCGCTGGTGCACCGGCGACACGGAGCTGTACGACTCTCTCAACGACCCGTACGAAATGACGAACCTCGCAGGTTCGGCTGATCCGGAACTTGTGCGCCTCATGTCACGCCTCAACGCCCTTCTGATGGTTATGAAGTCGTGCGAGACTGATGTATGCCGCGATCCCTGGAGTGTCATTCAGCCCCCACGCCCATGGTTGTCAGGGAACGCCACCACCGTGAGCAGCCTTGCCCAGGCGTTGGATCCCGCATACGACGAGTTCTTCGCCAGCATACCCGCAGTAACCATTGCGGAGTGCATGCACTACCAGTTTGCCGCTAATGAGGTCCCCTACTACCCGGCTGAGGCTCAATACGGTCTGGGCCTGAAGCATCGCAACGAGCCAGAATACTACGAGTACCCAGATGTTCAGCCATTGAAAAGGGTGCCTTATGTACCCGGTGGTGGGTGGGAACAACGACACGCCACGATTGAGCAGCTCTTGTCTGATTCTAGGACCCTAACAGCCGAAGAGCTGCAGCAGGATTGGGATCATACTACTTGCAATGAGAGATACGCGTGCACTTCTGTAGGTCTGGGCGTGATACCTCATTGATTCACTAACAATGACACGTGCCTCAGCGGTGGGGTGTATGAAACCTGGGCAGGTCAGCCTCAACATAGCTGAAATCCAAACACATCTGATCGTATAGCAAGTGCATCGCCCTATACATGCTGGAACCTGTAAAGACGCATATCATCCTTTTAGCACTGCACGTGGCCTAGGTACTGGATGCAAGGCATTGTTCACAAAATCTTTGAAAGCACTGACAGGTCCGGTCCCGTCGCGGCGTGAGAGACCGTCAACCGGCAGACTCACTGGCGTTGGCCTGTGGCACTGATTAGCCTACACTCGGCGGAATTGTATACACACTAGGTATCTGGCTGCTTCTCAGTGGTTGCACCTTAGACATATAAATTCTACTACAACTAGACCCCATCACTGTCTTTTTTTTTCTTGTACAACAGCATCAATAAAGGCTGTCCTCTCCAAAAAGCACCAAATACTTGCTCTCTATTATTGCCCCCCATGCTTTTACACTTATGGTCACTTGCCATGATGGCGCTTGGCATGAACATGGAAGTTTCAAGGGCACACGTCGTCCATCCACCTTTGACAATGTCCAATATCGCTGGCTTGGACGACACAGAGGTAGCTGGCCTCAACATCACCGAATCCGGACTTCACGCAAGGGACTCGGTACCTCACGACGTTCCAGACTTCCCCCACTGCACTTTTAAGGGAAAAGACAGCCTTTTCTTCATGGTGTTCTCCAAGGACTTCGGCAGGCACGACGAAACATCAAAGGCCGGCTGTGGTTCTGACATGCTGCACCACCTCCGACAAGGTACGTCAGGGCATCATCGCACGATCTCTAGAGCTTCTACCACAACTGTTTTTTTACCTGCCGATTCCCGTGCCCCCAACATGCGTGTCTAATAAGGATGAATGAGCAGATTGTAGTAGCTTGATTGTGAACTGGAAATGTATCGAGACGCCTAAAGGCGAACACTCGAGTTTCATGGAGTTCAAGGTACCTATCCAAACCCGACACGATGGCCCGGAGTGTGTGGAGAGGTCACACCGCAGTGCCTCGGGTTCTCAGAGGCAGCAGGTGCTACATTGTTGCCCGCGAGGAGACCTCGACTGCCGCAAACGCAACTGCGAAGAGTACCAGAAGACTCATCCCAATTTGAAGTGTTGATACGGTGTGGCCTCGCACTGAAAACGAGCACGCATGGCGAATGGGACTGGATCTGTGGAAGCTCCAAACTTTAGAAGGCGCTGTCGCCTTGAGTCGACAAAAGGCCTCGGAATATACCAACAATACACAAATTCGACTCGTAGAATCGAGTCTTCCTGTCAAGAGGCAGTCCTATTGCGTATTGTGATCCGATTTGCGGGTGATAACAGCCAGCGGTGAGTTAATCTGCGTTTCAATTCCAAATTATCCAGAACCCCTGCGGTCGCCACCATGCCTTTTCACCTGCACGCAAAGAGGCGAACGATTGAGGTAACTAATTTGTTCTTATTCCACACGAATCCTGACGGCGTACAATCCCTTAACAAAGTGGTGAGTGGTTTGGTTCGTAGTCCGTATACAACCCGAAGGCATACAGCACCTGGGCCGCTTCACACAGTCAAGTGGTAAACACTCAAAGACCCAGCCTCTTGAAAAATAACCAACAAACCAGTAAGCACTGCCGGAGGTACAGCGTGGTAACCTGAAGTTAGTGGATGTAAGAAGCCGTTTCAAGTCCAGTTGCAGTAGGATCGGTTCCAAGGAATCTCCATCACCTATACTCTGTTCTGATCTACCCCGTAGCCGCAAGATTCCTCTTTACGTGGCAGGTCAGAGCAGATATGGCCCATTCCTGCAACGACAGCATCGAAGCGAACCGGTTTGCAGTCATGCTGCAACGACCCCCAAACTCAACGAGGCCGCAGCTCCAGCACCAGGGGGGCAAAAAGGGTCGGATATCAATCAAGTTCAAGAGCCCCGCGAGACCCAATCCATTAAACACAGTGGGTATTATTCGACCGCATAGAACTGACGCGGCCAGATATTCATGGCAGTCTTGACACCGTCCCCGACAGGAAGACCAGCATGCACCGTCTTCTCGTGGCCCCTCCCGTCAGCGTGTAGGTTCACCCAGAAGAGCGCGTTGCCCCTAATCGGCCTAAAAGCCAGCCCGCCGCTCTCGTGCTCCCTCCAGATCGGGTCATCCCGATCCCATCGCCTCGGCCCGTGAGGTGGCCGACTGCCGTCGCCCGCCGCGCCGTCCATGTCGGCGGGTGGCCCGACTTGTGGGAAATATGTCTCCCCGTCAGTGCAGTTGTCCTGCAGGATGGCGAAGAAGCTGGCGACCCTGTTGAACTTTCTGTTTGACCCGTCGTATGCCCACTGCGGCGTGTCGTACCAGTCATGGTGGATGTTGAACTTTTGCCCAGCGGTATAGCGCACGAGTTGTGGGGGCCCCATCTCGTCCACGCCTTCTCGCATCAGTTCCCCCATGAACCGAGAGGCTCGGCTGAGAACACACTGCACGGCAGGGTCCCCCAGGGGTAGGCCTGCCGTGCTCGAAGTTCGTTCGTCAGAGCCCACCCTGCGGCCGTTCTTGGTTACCGTAGAGGGGTTGAAGAGGGGCTCAGCGGTGTCAAGGAGTGATTCAATCTCGGCAGGCCGCAGGAAGGAATGGATGTAGACCAGTAGCGGGTCGAGGGAAACGATTTGCGTACGATAAGCTCCCGGCTCGCAGACAAACGTGGCTTCTTGGACTGAGGGGCACATGGCAGTTATGAATGGGACGGGAATCTTGCAAAGAGGAAGGCTATAGGCGGGACCAAAAGACCACTGGCAGAGGTATGAAAACATACTGAGGCTGGAGAAATAAGCTAATACGCAGGCGACAAGCACAACCCCGAAGCCTCGACTGGCAAGGCTCGTAGGAGACCTCGGGGAAGCGGGAGGTGACGAAGGGGCTCCAGCCATGCCGGCCATGGGGCTGCGCACGAGGATGAAGTGTGTCTCAAAGGTTGTGACTGGGAGACGGAGTCAGGTGATACACGAGCATCTAGTTGGGCATGAGGCATCATCTGAGGTCGGCGATGCATATTCACGAATGGGACAGGGTGGGACTGGGCATGTGGGCTAACTATAATGCACGAACGCGCAGGTCGTCAAGTCAGCAAAACTGAATATGGCACGCCGGAGCAGCTAGAGCTGGCTCTAAGGTTGCTGTCCATGGCAACTGTTCAAGTTGGGGGAGCTCCAGGGCTGTTTATTAGCCATCTCGAGGTATGGGTGGTGGGACGGTGACGGCGGGTCCGTGGAGCCATGTCTGGCCATGGTGCACAAAGGGGATAAGAGGGTGAACCTCGCTGATCAGGCCAATCAGGTCGAAACGACTTGGAAGCGAAACCGAATCTGGAAATATTTCGGATCGTAACGTGCGGGGATGGGGGAATGGTGTTGTGTTGACTGTCACACTGACAACGGGGTACCGGTAAAGCGTAATGCTAGTGCGAGGCGGTGGTTAGCGACAATGTCGTTCCACCAGTGACTGGTAAGCTGGAATCCTGAGTCGTGAAGGCCGGCCGCGGGCCAGTAACCCCGAAGACGAATACTGTCAACTTTGGAATGCAGCGAATATCATGGCCTACATTGAAAGTCTACTACGTCTAGTAAATTAAGGAAACCATTCTGTGAGAAGACGGAATTCGGGTTGAACCCATCTCTTGCCTGTAGCATCTCGCTTCTCAGTCCCCAAAGCACTGACCGGGACAGACGCCAGTGGATAGATGAACCACCTGGGCAAGGGCTAAAAAGGTGGGTTGTAAATGTTGACACCACCACGCAGGTAGTACGACCAAGCTGTCATACCCATCTAGTCTCGTAGACTCGTCTAGCCAGCACTTGAGGCCGTGTGGGGAGGGGGACCTGTTTTTGGGTGACTTTTTTGTAAGCAAGTTGTTGTTACTTGGCCGTCGGTCACGCAACGTACACTCTGCCCGCATATGATAAATCCAGTTGTACCACCCAACCATGTCTACTCAAGTCTGTACAACCTGACCTGCCATTCTATATATAATGTTACTGTTAGGCATGAAGAAATAAACTTATTCATACCGGGCTGTAGACTATCAGCCAGCTCGAGCAGGGAGGCCAGCCACCAGCTTCAAAGGCACCTGAACGAGACGCAGACACGCAAGTACTTTGGATTCCGCGCCATCTATGCCATGGTTTCGCCTGCATAGAAGCGAATAACACATTGCATTTGTACGGAAACCACCCTGGGCATGAACCTAGCGCAGCTTATGTCTCAGACAACTATTTGCCCCAGGGATGATGACGTCATCCCACACCTGGACGGGACTATTGTAGCCGTATGTTACGCTGTAGCCTATCTACCAAATCTACCCATGAGCAATGGAAGATGGAGGTAAATGTTATCCAGGCCTAGAGGCTTTGTGGTTCCGAGGACTAGTAGTGTGTGCCTCACAGGCCTGGAGTTGGTGCTAATGGGAGGCCGTTGTGTGCTCCGAGTCCATCTGAGCACATGAGTCTTGATCTGCTTCTGCGTCTAAAGTTGGGAGTGGCGCAGGGGGAGTGCAACACACGTCGGTGATGTCTTGTAACCCGTGGACTGCAATACTTTACATCCAAGCCCCGTCCAGGCCATCATCAGCTGCCCGGGCACGAGTGCGGTCCTTCCTCGGCAGGTGCACAAAATTCAGAACCAAGTGCGGTCTGCGACGACGAGTGGTCCGTCTGACTTGAACCCTAGCGAGGCAGAATCAAGCACCAGCAGGAGTTGCGTTAATGAGACTCCCGGGCCTTCATAGCTTGAGTTGGCCGGGTACAAATGTAGCCCAGCATTGATAAACTGCAGGTGTACCACAGCATAATTTTCATGCTCCGTACTTCCAGACATGCAACGACATGTCAGGCAAGACTTCAGGATCAGATTAGAGGACACACGGGGGCTCGGAGGATCATGAAATGAAACCCATGCCGAAGCTGGCACAATCACACCCTGAAGGTTTCGGGATCCAACTTTTTTCTTTGGCCCACGGAGATCGGAAGACGGCATCAAAGCCTCGGGGCAATTGGGCAGCCACGAGGGGACGACGTGGAGGCCCTGGAATGGGTCCCCAAGTTGGCCAAGTTGGGGTCGACTGCCAGTCTGTCGGAGAGAGGACCCCGGGAGGCCGGTTTGGCCGGGGTCGTCGCCACGGCGGGAGGGGGGTTTCTCCAGACTTTTGAGCCCCGGCCCCGGCGGGTGTGGGACCCTGCACTTGTGCCCTGCATGCATTTGCACCCTGCCCTATTGCTGTGGGAGGAGCAACGGGATTTGTCTGTATATACTTGGTAGTACTAGTAGTTGTACATACTTCAGCATACACAGCACACATCCAGATGTCAGCATAGACAGGCGCCCTGCCTGACCTCGTCCCGCCGTGCTCCTTTGAATACCACGCAATCAATAGGATGCATGGATCCGGTGGCTTGGGCATTCATTGGGAGATCCCAGTGCAGTCCTTTGCCGAGAGTGTGCCCAAGTGGACGGGGCCCCCGTGAGCGGAGCAGCGGAGGAACGGAGCCACGGAGAGGCGGAGGAGGCGGTCTGAGAAAGGCCCTCAGGCCCAATTGCAAAAGGTGTTTTGACCCTGGCCGAGGCTGCATGGTCGAGCAAGGTACAAGGGTGAAGGTGTTGCGGGTGGTCACCAGTTGACCCTGGGGCACTTGCAGTCTCTCGGTGGATCTATATTGCGGTTTGGGGATTGTGTATATTACTGGAAAACGCTGGCAGCGCGGACGGGGCGGGTTCGTGTCTTCAGACAGGCAATTTCAGACATCGGAAAGCTGGTGCATGATGGAATGAAATGGTTAATCTACACAGTACCAATCCTGGAAAATCAATCAGTCCATAGGCACCTGGGCAAGGAAATGAGGCCGCCTGTCAGGCAGACATCATGTGACTGGCAGATTCGGATGAGAAAGAGGCTGCATGGCTGGCAGTATTGGCAATAGATGGGCAAGAAGCAATGCATGTAGGCGCCTGGATATACAGACACACACACAATCATCAATACTGCACCAGAGCTGTATGGTAAAGCACCCTGCTGTGGAATTACCTATCTGGGTAGATTCTGTTTACTTACAAGTCAACTCTTGCATCTCGTCTTTTTGTCAAGGTGGGCTGTCGTGGTCCGTGCAGAATGACGCTCTTGGCTACGTCATCGGGCCGGCCCCCACCCCGTATCCTCGCACCCATGCCCCTACCTGGGTACCCTCGCTCAGTCACTCTACCCCCGTCCACCCCGCCTAGGTGCGTGCCCAGAGCCCCGGCCGGCCAGCCAGCCAGCCCAGCCAGCCCAGCCCAGCTTGAGCCCTCACTGAGTGGATCCCTCGCCGGAACCGCACCAAGGGCAGCGGCGCATCAGCACATGTGCACTCACTCCAACAAGGATTGATGCGACCCCAGAGCAGTCCCAAAAATCCAAAAATCCAGAAACCCCCCCCCCCAAAGAAAACAGACTGGCTGACAGACTGGCAGGGAAGGATGCCGGCGACGAGACCGCGTGCAGTATGCGATACTGCATCATGCCCAGTATTGACTAACCTTGAGAAAAAAGGCCCAAAGGAAATAGGAAGAAAGAAAGAAAGAAAGAAGAAAAAAAGAGCTCAAGCCTGGGACGCCAAAAAACGGCGACAGCAAATGACAGACAAGGCCCAGCCCGAGTCCACTTTTCGCAACCGTCCAGCGTTTCGCCGTCTCGACCCGACCTCTTGTCTGCGTCGCCCGAGCAGCCCGAATGAAGGAACCCGCCTCCCACTGGCCAGCCCTGCAGCTGATGCTGTGGCTGGCCGACTGACTGACTGACTACGGATGCAGTAGACACCATTGATATACCTGGGTATGCCTGGCATGTCTACAAATGTCTGCATCTAACTTCAAGAAACAGTTCCATTCTCATTTCACTCCCACGTCGATCCCTCAACTTACGACTGCTGCCGACCCGACCAACCCGCGACAGGACGACAGGAAGACAGACAGACAGACAAGCACCCCGCCGGTGCATACGCTCCGACACGACTTGAAGAACCGGCGGCTCACCAGTCTTGGTTTGGCAGCACGGCATCGTCAACGCCAGCGCCAACGCCAGCACCAGCGCCACCACAACACCCGTGCGGCATCGTACCGCATTAGAGCAGCTAGAGCAGCAGCCAGGACAGCCAGCTAGACAGCCAGACAGGACAGGACAATGGCTTAGGACCAGCTCGAGCTGCCCGAACTGCCCGAGCAAGCGCGGCCCCATCCGGGCTAGGCTAGAACAGACAGGCTGGGCTGGGCTGCTACTGATCGACAGGCAGCTGGCAGAGCAAGGTGTGGTTCATCAGCCTCCCCAAGGATGCCCCAAACCGGGCCAATCGTCCGACGCCATCCGACCCCCAGCTTCGATTGGGACTGCTGCTGTGATGCCCCGGCACTCGTCGTCAGACGGGGCCGTCACAGCAGCAGTGGGGAGACAAGACGTAGGGTAGGTAGCACGGGGGTGGGGTGTGCAGTCAGCCAGATAACAGAACACCGTGACAGGCTCAGCTCCAGGTAATACGCATATCCACACACGCACATACACACATACACACATACACGCATACACACAAACGTAAATTGTCAGTGGGAGCCGGGGAGCCGGGGAGACGGGCGGCCGAGGCATTGGAGCAAGACAAGAAGGGGGGACAAGGAGAATATATCCGGCACCCCAGCCTGGCCCAGCCCAGCACCAGGAAATGATGCCCGTCTGACGCTGGCAGGCTGGTGACGATGCCATGGTCCAGAATGTCCTGGTCCAGCCCAGCCCAGCCCGGCTGCCCGGCCAGCTCCAGAGCTGTGATGCAATGCGTCAATTGGCCCGCCGTGCGTGCATCCATGGATCTGTCAGTTCCGAGGGACGGGGATTAAAACCACATACAGGCTGACATGTCCTGCCAGTCGGCCTGTGCCGTTGATGTTGTCTTGTCAAGAGGCGTACGTAGAGAAGTGAGACGTAGTGGAGACGTAGAGACGAGACCAGCCTTCGTCATAGCTGGGCTTGCTCGCCTGCTCGCCCGCCAGTGTCGCCACCCAACCACCACCACCACCACCCTAAGCCTTACCTTAACTTAGCTGCCAGGTACCGGCCTGACCTTGCACCCTGCGACCCGCAGCTGCAATTGCACCTACCTGGACCTGCTGCACCTGGGGCTGCCTGGCCAGCCTGGCATGCCTGGCAACCTGGGTGCTGCTTGGGTGGTGATTTGGGCTGTTGGGGCCTGCCCGCTTGCGACACTGTAATCTGCTAGACCCTGCTTTTTTGCCTGCCAGCCCAGCCCAGCCAGGCCCCAAACCTGCCCACCAAGCCTGCCCACCAAGCCTGTCCATCCAGCCATCTACCTCACCTGTCTCCCTGACGTAGTAGTCCACGGTACCTTTTGTGCTGTGTGTGTACTCCGTACCTACCTTGAACTGACTGACTACCTGACTGACCACCCCCCTCCTGGCCACTTACCTCATACCTCTTGATGCTGCCGAAAACGTGGTCCTCAACCCTTGCAGCTCTTCCTGCCTGCTCTCTTTCCTCTCTCTCTTGCCTTGTCTTGCCTGCCTGCCTCTTTTTCTTGTCTCTCGGCCTCTGCCCCATGTACTGTCGTGGTCTTTCTTTGCCTTGCACTCGATCGCCTTGGCCGTGACTTTTTTCCTTCTCCCTCCCATCTCTGCCTTCGAGTTTCTCTCGGTCAGTCAGTCAGTCAGCCCGTCAGTCACAGGATCGATACCCCTCCACGGCCCCGAAATCGCCCTTTTCATCACCATCCTCTCGAATCCTATCCTCTCATCTCCCACACCCACGCTGCAGCATCATCATCAACAACGTCGTTACTCTGCAGCCCGTCCACGGCCAGTGCACGACCCAGTTTTCCCGGTCAAACTTCCTCGGATAGACAGACAGACAGAGCACCACCAGAAGTCATATAGACTACTACCAAGGCTACCTACCTGCCTTGCCTACTTATCTATACCCTATACCCCCCCCTTACCCTTTCCCCTCCCCCCCTCCAGGTGTACATCTGCATCTATTCCCGCCCTCGTCCTCGTCGCCAGTGACGTCTCTCCCCTAGCCTGTCTTGCTACAAATTGTGTCGCCTGTCGCCTGTCGCCTGTTGCCAGCCGCCCATCACCGACCATCCTCCCTATCAACCTTTGCTTTGGCCTCGTGGACCCTGCGGCTCAACAACAAGGTCGAGACTGCAAATATACCTGGAACCTGGAACGACTGGCAACCCCTCGTCGTCACCAAATCCACCCCACCACCCAGGCCTCCAGGGCTAATAAGCCCCTGCTGCAACAGCAAGCAGTCAACGTCACCACTAGACTGAGACTTGGATCGGCCGTCAGAAGCTGCATCCGACACGACACCGAATAATAACCCAGGCTTGTGCCTCGCTCCCGCCTTCCGCCTCCCTTGCGACATTCCTCGCCCTCCATCTTTACTTGTTCCAGGCATTCTCCAGACTACCACCCTACGGCCTGCTCACCTGATCGTCTGACCTTGAACCCTGACCTGCCTGGCTGGCTGGCCTGCATTGGAGAAACAAAGCACGAGCGCAGTTACTCGCAACCACCACCACCACCTCAGATCCGATCCGCCGATTTCTAAGCAAACCCCCCACGGTTGCAGCCATCCAGCCCGTCCGTCCGCCAACACCGGGCCCGGACCAGGCACTCTGTGTCGTTAGTTCCGATTTGCATCCTGCTTTTGCAGTTCATCAACCCCTGGAAATTAATCCCGTTCGGTAAGCATGAACTTTATTCTTCTGCCATTTGCAGCGTGGGGGAACAGCCTGTCTGGTCTGTCTGGTCTGTCTGGTCTGTCTGGTCTGTCTGGTCTGTCTGCCCGGCTGTCTGGCTGTCTCTACAACGTTGGCGTTGCATATCTGGGGGGGACAGCCTGTGTATGAGATTATATGTTTCTCTGTGTGTGTGTATGAGAGAGAGTGACCAGAGAGAGAGAAAGAGAGAAAGAGAGTGTTGTTTGTGTGTGCTGCTTGTGTGTGCTTGCAACCCCCGATCTGGACTGATCCGATCTCGTCTGCCATCTAGAGCCCTTCCGAGACGGGGTTACATCATCGGTCAACATGTCGACAATACAGCAACTCAAGAACTTTATCCGCCATGGTATGTTATGCTCCTTCCTCTCATTCCTCGGCACTGCACTGCACTGCACTGCCCTGCCCTGCCTTGCCCTATGTGCAGCTGCTGCTTTTGTCCCACCGACATCAACCTCCTACTTCTCTCCCATCACAACCCCTCCCACCAATGGACCCAACACCAAGCAAGACCAACACCCCCCGATCGCGTCATCTTCAGCCCGCAGTCACTTTCAAAAACACCAGCGTCGCTCTCTTGTTGTCACCTCGACAAATGACCCAGACCCACCCGCTGATCCCCTCCCGCAGGCAAGCAAGCTCGGACGTCAAACGCCGACGAGGCCCAGAGGAAAAACGACCCGTCGCCGCCTCAATCCCAGCCTCTGCCAGTCCCCAACAAGGCCATGCCCCAGTCAGAACCCGGTTTCGGCGCCATGGCCCCCGGCCACGCCCAGCCAGTCCCCGACGCCTACTCAACCGCCCCCGGCGATGAGACACACCGCGCCGCCCGCGCAGACGGCGTCGCCGCTGCCCACGAGCAGGAGAAGCAGGCCCTGCACCAGGGCGCCGGCGGCAAGGGCAAGCGCATCGACGACGTGGCCAAGCTGGTCGCCGAGGAGAACGCCAGCCGCAGCAAGTTCCCCAGATACTCGGGCCTGGAGCGCTGGGAGCTGCTCGAGAAGATGGGCGACGGCGCCTTCAGCAATGTCTACCGCGCCAGGGACCTCGAGGGTGACGCCGGCGAGGTCGCCATCAAGGTCGTGCGGAAATACGAGATGAACAGCATGCAGGTAAGATGACGCCTCGCGTTGCGCGGTTGGCAGGACACCCTGCCTGTTTCCTCTGTGCACATCCCCTCCCCTCTCTCCCTTTTCCTCTCCGTGATTTGATATGCCATGCCATACCATGCCATCCATGAATTTCTCCCCCTTGATGTTGTTGTTCCTTTGGCCAACGCGGGGGATCTTAGGGAAACAAACACCTCCATCCGGACTTCAAACCAAAGGCTCCAAAAGCCGCAGAGGTGCGAGAAGCTTTCTACTATTTTCTTTCTCCTCTCCGTTCACCATCCATCTATTTATCTCTCTCTCTCTCGGATGCGCGCATCTCGTTCAATGCACGGCGCCTCTAAACGGCTTCTTGCCCACACGAGTGTGTTGCGGACCATTGACAACCGTCTGGTGAACTTTCTTGCCAGACGGGTAAAAAGACAATACACAGCAGCAGCAGCAGCAGCAGCAGCAGCAGCAGCAGCAGCAGCAGCCAGCACACCGCAGTCACGCGTTTACGAGCAGTCACACTGACAAACGGCCGCAGAGAGCAAACATCCTGAAAGAGGTGCAGATCATGCGCCAGCTCGAGCACCCCAACATCATCAACCTCATAGACTTCTCCGAATCGAAACAGTACTACTACATCATCCTCGAGCTGGCACCGGGGGGCGAGCTCTTCCACCAGATCGTGCGGCTCACCTACTTCAGCGAGGACCTGTCCAGGCACGTTATTGTCCAGGTCGCCAAGGCATTGGAGTACCTCCACGAGGTCAGAGGCGTGGTCCACCGGTCAGTAACTAAAAAAAAAACATTTTTCCTTAATTCTTTTAGCCCCAACTTTTTCTTTGTCTCACTGTCATCTCCCCTGCCGGCTCATGTCATCGTCATGGATGCGTTTGCGGTGTCGACCCTCGCCCTGCGTGGTGTTGATGTCATTGATGCGCACGCGTCAATTCCAGCCCGTGAGACCCCCGTGAGACCACTGACGTCATCTCGCCGTTTTCAACCCGAGCCACCTTCAACACTTCACTACGTGCACCTGACGCAGCCGCGCAGCACTAGCGCGTGCTGGCCTGGACTGGTCTGGAACACTGATGAGCGAGCTAAGGAGCTGTTGTTTGTTTGCTGACGCCTGGCCGACCAAATAGTGACATCAAGCCCGAGAACATCCTCTTCAGCCCGATCCCCTTCATCCCATCCAAGCACCCGAAACCAAAACAGCCCGGCGATGAGGACAAGGTCGACGAGGGTGAGTTTGTCAGGGGTGTCGGTGCCGGCGGCATCGGCCAGATCAAGATCGCCGACTTTGGCCTGTCCAAGATCGTCTGGGACAACCAGACCATGACGCCCTGTGGCACCGTCGGCTACACGGCCCCCGAGATCGTCAAGGATGAGAGGTACTCCAAGTCCGTCGACATGTGGGCCCTGGGCTGTGTTCTCTACACACTGCTGTGCGGCTTCCCGCCTTTCTACGACGAGAGCATAGAGGTTCTTACCGAGAAGGTGGCGAAGGGCCAGTACACATTCCTCTCGCCGTGGTGGGACGACATTTCGTCGTCTGCCAAGGACCTGATCACCCACCTGTTGACCGTTGACCCCGAGAAGCGATATACCATCACGGAGTTCCTCGCACACCCCTGGATCAGGCAGAGCGAGACGCCCGGCATCCAGAAGAAACCCCAGGTCACCTCGGACGGCCAGCTGCGTGCCTTTGACGCCTCCAAGTTCAAGGACGGCGACAAGCGCTACGACTTCCGCTCGCCCGGCGCTGTCAACCTCCGCGAGGTCTTTGACGTCACATATGCCGTGCACCGGCAAGAGGAGGAGAACAACCGCCGGAAGCAGATAGGCGCCAAGGCTGCCGGTGTGTCGCGCCTGGCCGGGCTCAACGAGTCTGACGAGGACGACGACATGCCCGACGTCGACGACACGGCCAATGCACCACCACCCAATGCCGGCCAGGGCACCCAGGCCCTTGAGCAGAGCATGCGCAACGCCCAGATAAGCGCGAGCGAGCAGCGCGGCAGGGAGCGTGAGAGACGGGCGCCGGATCAAAAGGGCTACGGACAACACTCGGCAGCCGTGACCGCCGCAGCGAGGCAGCAGGTCAAGGACCGCAACCGACAGAAGGGCGCGTTTGAGCTGAGCCTCGACGGTGCCACCCTGCTCGGCCGGCGGGGGAGGAAACAGCCTGCTGCCCAGGCGGCCTAGGGTGCTACCCGGGGGCAGAGCAGCTCCTACTCCGACCAGTCGACGGCGCAGAGGCATCCGGTGCCGGAACCTGCGAACCAAGCTGGAGGGGAAGCTGGTGGAGACGAGCAGGCGCGGGAGGGAGCAGGAGGACAGGCAGAGAAGTGACGCGGTTGTCTGTTCTGGTTGTCCGTTTTGAGGATATACCCTTGAGCCAGTGGTTTATTACACGTGTTAAGGTACATGCATGGCCTATTCGGCTGGGGTGTGACGCTCGCGGGGGCGATAGCGGTCGACGTCGGCCTCTCGGTCGGTCGGTCCGGCTTGGCTACCCATGCTGGTGCACAATGAGCGTTCCCCTGGGATGACTGGTTATAGTTGTTGATTTGTTTGATGCCGTCTCGTACACAAGCACTCATACGCACGGAGTTAGTGGTAAATGTTAATAATTGACACCCATCTTGCGACTCGCATACATGCCAGCTGAACGTGTTTGGCGTCGTAGACAAGGACAATGCCATTTGCCGTGTCAGATAAATGGTCGGCAACGAAGCTGTTGCATGTTAAAAGGTACGAGGAAGATCTGTAGTAGGGGTTTGGCCCACTCGGATATTTACACCCCCCAGGTCACCACTGAGATGCCCAATCAACTCTTGCGTGTCCCACGACACAACAAGAAGGGGAAATCCATCTTGGCCAGGTCAGCCCCGCCTTGCGGCCTCTCGGACCCCCACTCCCCAGGGAACCTCTCGACCTCCTTCTCCATGGTCCACGCGACGCCAACGTCGACATCCTCAAACCCGGCCTCCCGCATCAGGCCCGCGAACCACTCCGCCCGGATCCCATGCCTCTCGACGCCGACCATCTTGGCCTCCGGGTGGAACCTGCGCGCCTCGGGCCCAAAGTCCTCAAAGTCGGTCAGGGCGATCTGCCCGCCGGGCCTGAGGCAGCCGTGCATCGTGGCGAGGAGGGGCCTCAGGTCGGCGTCGGGGATGTGGTGAAGCGTGAGGTGGCTGATGACGAGGTCGAACTTGAGGCGTTGTTGTTGTCCGTCATCCCGCCCTGGAGGCAGCCGGGGGTCCTCGGGGTCTGTGAGGAGGATGTTCAGGGGGTGTATGGCACCCCTCAGGCTGCTCGCCCCGGCCCCGGCCTCGCCGTCGAGCTTCAGCTTCAGGGCATCGATCATGCCCCCCGCGGCGTCGATGGCCACGATGCGCCGCGCGTGTGGGGCTACCAAGAGGGTGAGCAGGCCCGTGCCGCAGCCGATCTCGAGGACGTCCGGGCCGGGGCCGGGGCTTTTGTCCCCGTCTCCCTTGTCGGACTGCAGGACAGGAGGTTGCGCCGCCAGCAGGGCCTGCAGCGCCGAGGCGGATGCGGCGCGGACGTCGGGGTTTGAGTCCCAGGCCGCGGCCTCGGCGTTGAAGCGGTCGTTGTTGGGGGTGGAGGTGGCCATGATCAATGTATGTATGGATGGCTCCCGAGGTCCAGGGATGGATGGATATCTAGGTGTGGGGCCTCCGGTCACGGTGCCGACTAACTATCCAAGGTGACTAGATCCCGGACGCCGGGTGTATGAGCTATGGAGACGGCCCCTTTTTCCTCAAGCAGGAATCCCACGAGCCCTAACCCTCTCTATCTTGCCGTTGTGCTTGCGTGCTTGTCTGGGCTTGCCGGGTTGTTACAATTTCCCTGCCATTACAACCTTGGAAGTGTTCTACCAAATACTTAAGCAATATGTCGAGGTCGTTATGCCTGTATTGGGGCAATTAGGACAAGACATTGATACGTGTGAATAATAGCTATGGTATCTTGGAGCAATATCTTCTTTCCAAGGCTGCTACCGAGGTACCCTAGGGACTTCGGAAGGGTCTTGTCAACTTGCAACAAAAAAGTAGAGATCACCGCTCCATTTCTAGTAATACTCAACTCCTATAGAATGATCTTTTGCAGGATGGCTATCCATGGAATGGGTCGGACCTCTCACTCCCTACTCCCTGGTGGAAGCCTTATTTGTGGGCCTCCTAAAGTCCATGGTAACAGCTTAGATTTTCTGAGAACGGAAATTCGCGTACCCTCAATTGGAAGGTACATACCCTCCCTACTATTCAACCAATCAGAGTACAGAACCTTAAAGTCTTTACAACTTTAATAAATAAGTCTTCTTTACGATAAGGGACTATAAATAGGGCGGGTTGGTCCTCTAGGAACTCGGGTTGTGCCTACCGGCCCTACTCACAGCCCTCCGCTATGCTTCACACTCCAGGGCTCACCCCCTTCACCCCAGCCGGCCCTTTCAAGAAGTCATCTTATATAGAATACTTCTTAGTCAGCAGATAGGTACACACCTTCCGATTAAGGGTACGCAAATTTCCGTTCTCGAGTTTCTAAGCCTGTCCCATCATCATAGGTTGCGCGGGTTGCATATCGCAATAGGTACCCCGTCCATTAAGGGTAGGCGTTACCCAGACATCATCGATGCCCATTGCTTCACCTCGTCTGCCCAGCATTCACATCCAGGGTTCATAAGACAATCCAGACGAGCTCGCATCTACCTGGTCTCTGACCAGCCTGTTTCCAGCGAACTGACCCTGCCGGGACGCTGAAAGACTGGCAATGTAGAAAGGGCTGTCAACTCCGACGGCGTCTTGTTCGACCCGTAGACCTTTCGCACCCAGATCGGACGCCTCCTTGGTGTGTCCCAGCTCGGTAGCCAGGCCGGCGGCGGCAAAGTAGAGCGAAGCCAGCTCCCTGCCCGCCAGGCCCTCCTGCTCGTATGTGTCAATGACAGCCTTTGTCGCTTCCAACTCGCGGGAGATGCCATCAGCGGTGGAGCCCCGGCCAGAAAAGTCAGACAGCATCTGCTGGATCTTCAGGCGGCGCTGGTGGCTCTGCTCGTGCCTTTCTCCCGGGGGATGGTGGTTGTTGATACTGCATATTTCACACGCACACTCGAAGCCATAGCCCTCGTGGAGCCATTTCTGGCGCTCTTGGCGCACTTCCAACTCGTTGTGGAGGTACGAAATGGTGATCTCCTCCCCTTCGGCGATTTCCCTGAGGGCGTGGATGGTGAATTGGCTGCCGGGCAGGGCAGCGTTGAGGTTGCCTTGGGCATTGGGGACACAAGAATGATTGAGCCGTGCGACGGTCTGGAACACGGCTCGCTTGCCATTTGGTCCCGATAGAGCAAAGTTATTGTTGTAAAAGATGTTGAGGAGATCCCTTCTTTGTCTGATGGACCCGAGGGAGGGGAAGGACCCCGAGACCGCGGTGGCGAGGTAGCTCAATGACTGCCGCTTGGCATTGTTCATCGAAAGACTCAGCAGCCCTTGGAGGTCATCGGGACTGAGCCGTGCTGCCGCGCGGAGGACGCTCGTGTCTCTGTTGTCAACCGAGAGCAGAATCCTGTCAGCAATGATGCGAGTCCCGCGGGCAATCGGCTGCGTCGCAAAGACGCCAAAGCCCTTGGCCCCAGCCTGACTAATCCTGAACATCGACATTGGGTGAATACATGGTCTGCTGAGTCGTTGACTTTGGTATCGTCGAATTGGGATGAAGTCTGTGGCTGAACTGGCATGGAGGTTTCCAGGGGCTCTGCCTAGGGGGTTGTCAGAAAAAAAAGCCAGTTTACCGCTAGCCGCATCAAGCCATCACGGGCTGTGTTAAATGGCTTCAAGCTGACCGGGCGGCTCCGTTGCGGAATCAGTCCGCCGAGCCACAACATTACTCGGCGTTAACACCGGTTTGGCAGCCATTATTTGCAACAACATCCCTCTACCCCTACACAAACTTGAACGCCACTTGAGTACATGTTCCAGATCTAAAATATCAACCAGTGGCTGGGTTCCAGCGTTGTCGTCATGAGTCCCTGAGCACAGTCCAGTGGTCGGCGGGGCCCTCGGGGATATTGGCTTACACTCTGGCCTATATATAGTAAATGTCACCATCATGCTTTGAGCTCGTTCTCGCACAATCCTCTATCAGGTCTCTCAAATACTCGCTCTATATGACAAGATCGGAAAATCGTTCTCCATCCCCAATCCCATTTTTCCATCTCAACTCAGTCATCTTCAAGCAATGGCGGGCTCCTTATTCCGGTCCTTCCTCGTAGCGGCGCTGGCGATCTCCCCCTTTGCCCAGGCCATCCGCTTCACCTATCCTACGCCGGCCGAAACTGCCTATAGCGTAAACCTCTCCTTTGTAAAGGGCGATACAGTAAACGTCACTTGGTCCTCAGTTTCCTCGGACCCGGCCAAGTTCAGTCTTTACCTCTGGGAGTTTGTCAACTACCCGCCCACTTACGAATTGGTTGCCTACAATGTCGAAACAAAGGCCGGAAAGGCATCATTCAAACTGCCCTGCAACATCGAGCCATCCTCCAACTGGCAACTGTACGAACACCATTTCTCTCCCAAACTGGTTGAGGCTCGCGAGCCAATCTCAGGGCTCACCCATCATCAAGTACTTGCTAACCATTGGTCTTGTTCTGATAGGACCATGATTGAGGGAATCAACGTCTACGTCCTCTACGCCCAGACTGCTCGCTTCAAAATCAAGAGCAGTAAGCGTGTTTGTGATGTCCCGGAGCCCTACCCCGAAATATGCTCCAGTTCATCGACCTATGACGATGAGTAGAACTCGAGCAGTCGGTGAGCCACACCTCTCTCGAACAGCTGGAAATTTGATGTTAACTAGCAGCAATATGACAGAGACCTCGGGATACGACTCGAAAGGCGTCGAGGGTCTGGTGGATACTACAAACACGACTGTTCAACCCGTGGATGGAAATTGAGGCCTTGGCTGTTCGGAAGGCGTCTTCCTCATTTGGTTGGTTTGAGGAAAATCAAAGCAGTCTTTGGATGTGTTTGGCGGGTCATCGTATTTGGGCAGAAGGGATAGACTAGCGGGCCATAAAGCCCCATTCAGGCCAAAGAACCGGTGGCTTCTTGTGCTACACACGCTGCAAGTCATTGAGAAATGAAACTCTTTCTTTTATTTCTCGGGAATATATGTGACTGTTTATAGATAGATTATAACGTTAATATTACCTAAGTACCTAACCTCCTAATAATAATCTAACATAAAATAATACTATATATATAGTTCTAACCTTAAAGCTCTTACTTAACTTAGAAATTTAAATATAAATTAAAGGGAGAATAGTAGTTAGTTATAAAGTTATAAAATATATAGTTAGAATATTAAATTATATATATATAAAGTAAAAGTTATAGCTTATTTTATACATTGAGCGGTTTTAAGGGCCTTAGTATAATTTTCTCAAACAATTATATACACATTTCTAAATGCTAACTGCTTCTAAAAATTTAATTTGAGTAATTAATTGTATTTAATAATGCTTGTATTTGCGCATAATGGAGATGTTACACAAGTAGTACACCAGAGGCAGGCTTGGTAAAACATGATTCTGCCAGCACTCGGGAGGAAGGTCAGCCGGATTCAATGGTATAATTACCACAGAGTAGATAGAATAAAATGTTGTCGGCGTCGACCAATCGGATTTCTTGACGCCTTTACTATATATGATGAAACTCAGCCTCGTCTTCCGGGCTCGGGGTCGAATGGCCCTGTGCTCTGGCTCCAGGGGGCCATGCAATCTCGCTCCTTCCTTTGAGGCAGCGTACCAGCGTCTCGAAAGCTCCTTTCAATTGCCAAAAAGCTTTCTGTCTCGTCATTACAGCTGCCTTGGCATGTAGACCCCCAAATTTGAGTGGGGGCTGACAGAGAATGAATAGTCTGGCCTCACATGCCCGTCCGGTTTGGCGCAGATTTGGCCTCAGCCCGCCGACTGCATGACCACCTGGGGCGGAAACCCCCCTTTGCTGCCTATATGAAAGGGGGTTTGAATTATTGGTCCCCCTCGGATTTTTGTTCCTGAAACTCACCACGTGCAACGCCTCGAGTCCAGTATTTCGTCGCAAGAGGTTTGTCCGCGAGTGGAATAAAGTTTGCGACTCTGGAAGTCGAGGCTGCGATGTCGATACTATGGGCCATTTCTCTGTGGGCCGCCGCCGTTGCTAGCCAGTCGACAACTGATGCCCGCCACATCGGCTGGTATATACAACCAGACGAGAGTACGTCTCTAGAAACATTCCGAACATAAGATGGCATGCTGATCAAAGCCCACCATAAGCCCAGAGGTTCACTGCCGCAGAAGGGTGGACCACATCTGGGACAGTTGCCGGAGACTGTCCCCTCTCCAGCAGCTGTGCCCTCAACACCGCTTGCACCAACAGTATCCTATACGGAAACGACGGAGAATCGAGGACATGGTCAGTAAATCCATATACTTTAAACAACCAGAAGAAATGGATCAAGACAGTAGAGCTCATCTTTGGCCTTGCTAGTACCGGCGACGCAAAATGCGCAGCCTGGACCATTTTCGAGAACTCCCCTTTCGGCAGTCCTTCTGCCACTAATTGGAATTGCAGGCCCTCACTTGAGGCTGCCAAGAACATATTTTATAAATATATACCAGGAGTACCAGCGCGGGAAACGACCGTGTGTAAGTTGAATTATCACATTTCCGTCTACTGCAAAGCCACTAGGCCGCGTTGGTAGCGATAACAACACCTCATGTCTTTAACATAAATCGCTTCATTTAACAGACAAAACCGTTACTCCTTCGACAGTTACCAGTCCTTCCGACGCAACATCGTCGACCTCCGCTACAGGTTCGACCTCATCTGCGAGTCCCAGATTGGCCCCAAGTCCAACCTTGACCCCTAGTCCCCAGCCAGCACGCCGGTCACTGGCGACGCTCCCAAAAGCAGAACTTGGATGACGGGAGCTATAATTGGCTCCATTGCTGGTCTCACATTGTGTATAGCGGCATACGGGTTGTGGATGCGGTATCGAAAGCATCCCAATCGACGACGCTTGGGCACCAAAAGTGAACCACAGTGGCATAGTCACAATCTTGATGCGCAGCAAGTTGATTCCGGCTTTGACGCATTAGCGAGACCTATATGTCCCCCTGTGATGCTTCATGCGGATTCTACCCGAAGGACTCTTGAGCTTCCTTGATAACATTGGGATCTATGGATGGCAAGAGACTTGGCCTACACTAAATTTCAAGCTCACTTGGAGCTGGCAAAAGCCTGTGAACCAATGTGGGTGAGAAAATAGAATAAGTATCTATTATTCTCCTTCATATGTACTGGATCAGCAAGTAATAATATATATAGAACTTTCAATCTCATGAATATCTTAAGATCAAAATGATAGTATTGAAGAATCCGGTTATAGGTAAGGCCCGGCTGTCATCGTGGCAAAGAGAGTGAGTGTATGCCTGCCCTCGGCGGAAAAGAATTCACCAGGCCGGCAGCATGCTGACCATGTATTGAAATTGGTCCGAATCCGGAATCTCACTACCTTCATTATCAGCTTCTTTGATGTTTAGCTTATTTAAAATCAATAAAAGGTAAATCTTATATGGAGTCACCTGTGAAAGTGGGCTGGAGTGGTGGTGTGAGAAACTTTTTGTAAGTCTTTTCCGTACATAATTCAAATATTGTGTTGTTGTAATCATACGCAGAATGATAACAATCTAACAGTACCAGCCAATGCAACAACACGGTATTTAGAGTTCTTCTAGAAGTCCATTGTACCATTGTAAGCCGTAATGTCATTTGTAGACAGGTCTGGCTTTGTAAGAAGGACAAGCTTCTCAGGCCTAAGAGTCATCACAAGAAGGAAAACTACAAAGAGGTCTTGATAACTCATTATTGTGCTCTTTGTCTGATTACCGGGGTAGTGGAAATTTTAAGCATGCAATCTGATTCCGACTAATTATTTTAATGGGGTAAAGTCTCCTAGACCCTGGTGCCTTGAAATGCTCATAATTCTCATCAACACTTCCACCAATGACGCAAAAGCCTGCATCTTCAGTCTGAGGGTTCCTCGTCATTACTAAAGTAGTCTCTCCAATCATTCAATGGTGAGAGCGGAGACTTCTCAGTACCAAGACATATTTAACAAAGACACAATGTCGGACAAATCTAGTGCCGACGAGGTCCTGTCCGCTACCTGGTCCATACAAAATCTAATTCAGTCGGTCAGTTTCATGATGGACGAAGTGGAATGTAATGTTCTGCTTACGAAATCACTACCAGACGAGGTCCTCAAAGGCTTATGCAAAACTATCAACGATATCGAGACAAAGGTCCTTCGTCGTAGAGCAGCACTGTCACTGGCCCAGAACCATACCACAGCATGTTACACGGAGGCCGATACTTCACAAAGGGAGTTGGACGAAATACTCTTGATTGGAAGTACTCCATCACATACCAGCTTTCAGAGCCAGTCGGCGGCCGACGAGGGTTCCATTCGATCCGAGGATCTCGACACAGAGTACGAAAACAAAGATAGCCGGGCCCCTGCGGGAGAGATACAGGGTACAATTGATTCCCTCCACGAGAGCATCAAAGCCATCCAATCCGCCGTACTGTCCCGTATGAATGCTTCCATGCCCTCGAAGGAAAGCACAACGAGCAGCATGGTCTCATTCTCGATACTGGAAGAGGAAATGGAAATACTAGACGGCCTTCTGAAACATGTTGTTGGTTCTTATAAGGCGTCTGACGATGAGAGTAGTGATTGGTTGGAGATAAAACTCGTTGGTCTTCCAACTCTTCTTAGCGCACTCTTCAACATGGAGATTCGAGAAGCTGTGGAGGACGGCAGTGATATTGATGATAATGTCATGATGGAGATGGTTGTGGCAAATCAGACAAGAACCAATATTCTGCGCAACATAGAAGCGATTGCCAAGCGGGTGAAAGACCTTGCGCTGAAGTCTAAGACAATGCTAGAGGAGTCTGGTAGGTAATAGATTATACTCGAGTTACCTCGGAGAATCTACAATTAAGGGTTAGACGCAGGCTGCTCGGCATCTTGGCGCCAAAACACTTGGACACAATAAATTACATAGTCGGACAGATTCAATGTCAAGTAACTTTGTATCTCAAAATTCAGACGTTCTGAGACGAAAGGCCTGAATATGTAGCACCTCTATAATGCGTCCAGATATGTGAGAATAGCCCAGTTCCAAGGATGCCTGGAACAGCGTTATGAACAATAAATAGTTAGCAGATAACTGCCAGTGAGTGGTGAGCCTGACACTACTCAACTTCCCCTCCCCATCCACACATTTGTATCCCCAGTGATTCACTAAGAGCAATTGCCGAAGCTCATGATCTAAGCACCGTTTCCGTTGTAGGCAAGGAGGTTGACGGTGCTGCTAGGCACACCGGTGATGATACCAGACGACCCTAGAGCCTTAATGCGGGAGGCAACTGCGGCAGGAGACGCCAGACCCTCGAGAGCCTTGAGGTAGAGAACGAGGCCAGTGACGTGGGGGGTTGCCATGGAGGTGCCAGAGATGCTGTTGGTCGCGGAGTTGGAGCCGATCCAGGCGGAGGTGATGCTGGTGCCAGGGGCAAGGATGTCGACACCGCTACCAAAGTTCGAGTACGTGGCCCATCGGTTCGCGTTGGTGGTAGCACCGACAGTGATGGCGTTGGGAGCTGAAGCGGGGGAGACCTAAGCCGTCTTTGTTAGTATTTTCGTGGATGGCGCAACCCAGCCGGGAGGATTCAGCTTACATTGGCAACGTTCTGGGCCTCGTTACCAGCAGCAACGACGCTGATGACACCGGAGGTGTACGCAGACTGGACAGCGTTATTGAAAGCCGTGGAGACGCCACCACCTGCGTGATGGTGTGTCAGCAAAACCTCTCGCCCCGAAAATCATCTGCTCACTCCGTGCAGACTTACCGAGTGACAAGCTGACGGCTGCGACGCCGGCACGGCCCTTGGAGGTGATGTCGTTAACAGCCCAGGAATAGCCGTCCAGCACGTCAGCAGTTGTTCCCGAATCGCCCTGGAACACTTTTACAGCGATGATGGTGGCCGCCTTGGCCACACCGTAGGTTGTCCCACCGATGGTGCCTGCAACGTGTGTGCCGTGGCCAACAGTGTCGGCGGTAGAGCCAGTGACTGCACTGTAGCCCAGGCTGGCCCGGCCGCCGAAGTCGTTGTGGGCGGCGTTGATGCCGGTGTCAATGATGTAGGCATATGTGCCTGTGCCAGCGGAGCTGTCGTAGACGTAGCTGGTCGAGCCAGCCCCGGCCTTGTGGGATACGGCTCCCAGACCCCACGAAGGCGCGTTCGACTGGGTTGTCAGGGCATAGAGGCTCCAGATCTGATCAGCCTCGACGGCAGCGACCTGAAAGCGTGTTAGAACATCCCATAGAAGCAGGCATTTGCAGCTGCCCATGTCGAGCCGCAGGTCAAAGAGGCACTTACGGCATCACTGGCCTTAATCTCCTCGATGGTAGCATCGTCGAAGGATCCCGAGTAGCCGTTGAAGTCGCTGATGTTGAATGTCTTCTCGACTCCAGAGAGATCGCGACGTCCGATGCTCCGAGCATGCACATTCTTGGCCCACGCAAGATGAGACTCGACATCTGCACTCGCCTTCAGGGTGACGATGTACTTGTTGGGAATGGCCCGGGCCTCAGGCTGGGAGGCGACGGGAGCGGCGTTGACGAAGGGCAGCAGAGCCCCTGCGACGAGGGCAAGCTTCTTAAGGCCGTACATGATGAGGACACGGGCAGGTGATCTGACGAGGCGAGCTGAGCTGACGAGGAGGGCTGAAGAGCTGAGACCGAGTATGGGTTGGCAGTGACGGTTCGAGAGTTGAGATCCGGGCTGAGGGGCTCTTTATATCTCTTGAAAGGTCCTCACGGCGGCTTAGTGAATCCATAGCCACCTCATATAAGGCAATGCGACACCATCACCGGATACGAGGTATCGTCTTCCAATCTCTCGTCCTCCCGAGGGCTCACATGACTGCTCTCAGACACCAACCGCGCGCATTGCGATGCCATCAGACCCGCAGCAGACTTGCGCCAGATATGCACGTCTTGCTTGATCGAGCGCAAGAGACTTCTGGTATGTCGCGAGGTTACGGTGCGTCGTAGCACGACAGCCGCTTCAGGAAGGAGGGAGGGCATTGGACATCTGTCTAGCATGCTGACATTCCATTTGGACATAAGCCTGAATGGCGACGAGTCTCGGCGAAAGGGATTCAGCCAACAAGAAGAGTGCGAAAATTAATTAGAAGAAGCTTGGCTACTTGGCAATGTGACAGGTCTATCAGAAGGCCAGCAGGGCCAGATTTTGTATGAACCATGGAACTTCTCTATCAACGGCTGAGCACGTCGAAGAAGTGCTCATAGTTGCCATACCCTCCTAACCAGGCCCCCCTACCTGGCGGTGTGCCGTGATTCGTCCTCGTCCCCGGGAGCCAGTGTACCTAGCCATGCATGGCACTCTAGCGCCTGACCCTTTCCTGTCAGGCCTGTCCGAGAGCTGGGCCCTGCGGTTGGTCCCTGCCGAGATACAAAGCTTATCTTCAAAAGGTGTGTCTTGTGGCAACTTGGCGGCACAAAGACTACCGGCCCTCCACAGTGGTCATATGGCGTTGTCTATCTAGTTTCCTCATTGGGATGGCTTCCGCGAGGATCTTGCTTGCCGGCAGCCATCCGTCACCACGCATAATAACACCAACAGCCTGTTACTAGCAACTTTATTGTCCCTCCTTCGGGGAGTATTGGATGAACAAGAGGGGAAAGCGCCCACTTCCCGCGTTTGCTAGGTGGGCATATTGCTCGACGTCGGCCACAGTGGTGTTGCATTCAAGCAGACTTTGTGCAAAGTATTCAGATAGTGCAGTACAATGTGGCTGTGACATCCGGGTATTAAACGCGTGAGCATTCCAAGGTTCCCGCCCTGCCGCCAGGGACGCCCATTGTGGGACAAAGCTCTCACGTACAGTAAGCAACAAGCGGCAGTTCCCCCTGTGTATGTCATCATTTTGTTGGAGTTGGACGTAATCACGAGCCAAGTTGTGCTCCGACCAGGGCACGACGGCCAAGACATGCAGGCCCATGATGAAAGATTGGGCAGCACGCCCATCTGACAGTCCGTGGGCCTCGGCGTTGAATGACCTTCTCCTTTCGGCTGAAGATTGACATCCAATACCCCCATGATTCTCACGGGCGACACCAGAACTTCAACGCCGTATACTTGTGGCGTGATCGTGCGCAAGACGCTCATCACACACTATCGAATCCAGAGAGTGACGACCGCTGCCAAACTAGACCATGTGAAGTTCCCGAAGGTCGAGAGTTCCATGGCCATGTTGGATTTATTGATCTTGGCACAGGTCTCTGGGCTTGTATGCCCCAGGTTGTCGAGTATCCTCGGCATGTTCGATGTAGCAGGCGACCACCATGACCCAAAGCTTTCCTAGTCGAGTGCTCCGAAAGTGCGGTGAACGAAAGAAACACCTTAGACTTACCTATCGCACTTAGAATCTCACCAAGCGTATAATCAATCGCACCTCCTGAGATCTAAACTCAGGCCTCAGTCGGCACAGAATTCAGATCGTGTTGCACGCTTCTCAATGCAGAGTTGGCCTGTTATTTTGCACCTCCTACAAGAGGGTGCCTACTACAAGTGCTGGTGCTTAGCGAGGCATCAGACGGGACTATTCACCGGTTCTGTGACAGGAGCGCGGTGCACTTATATTCATGTCGCGGGGACATAATGTCTTCCGCACATTGGATCACACCAAAGCTGTAACACGTGGATCCGTAGTTGCTGAGATGCACGATCGATGATGGAGTTAAATGTTTCCTTCTCACAGGGTAAAAGGAGTCTTCACCCATTTTACCTGTTTTCACTGTGTGCCAGGTTTATCTCTAACATAAGGTTTGTTTGGCTTGGGGGTTAATCGTTTCTAGTTAACGCCGCCTTCAACACGGTGCCCCTTAGTCCTGTCTGTGCGTCGCAAGCCTGAGGCCATCAGCACCTATTGTATTTTAACTATAGTTATCGACATCGTATTTTTTTAAGCGCTGTCTGAGTGTCTACTACCGTAGGAAGGCGCTATGTATGTATGTATCGGACGTATACGGAACAGAAACGAAACCAGTTAATGGTTTGATTCGGCATCCCCGCCAAGTTCAGTTCCACAACCTTTGTCTTTTGCCAGCACTGAGAGGTATGGCGTTGTAGAGGAGTGTATTAGGACAGAATTATCAACCGCATCCTGAGGCCTATTATTTTGCTCCGAAGGTCCTATTCGAAATGAGCCAGAGACAGATACGCATGCATTTCTCTGAGGTAGGTATATAGGTATAATTTCCGAACATGCTTAAGTGTTTGCTGTTTGGTGTGGGGGATTTCTAGATCCCCTCGTATAATAAATATCCCTTGTCCCCGTCTCAATTGACTACAACATCGCCCACAACCATCCTGTGATCACTCACATACACACCATCGACATAGTTACCCACAATCTCGATTGCCTGTGCCGTATAGGGGAGGGCAGATTCAGGTCCAATCCAAATGTAATCAATTCGGCTCTGACCAGTCTGGGAAAAACCGGTATAGGTGAGCTGGTTTGTGCCGATGTGCGGAGCCAAGTCCCACAGGTCCTCGACATAGTTCAAGCCCACCAGCGTCGAGTAGGCATCTCCGTTTGGGGCAGAGTTGAAATCACCCGTGAGGGACACTGGCAGCTGCCCGTAGGTCTGCTGAGCCGCCTGCATGCGCGAGACCACTACTTTAATACCCTCGCTCCGGGCCTGCGAGCTGACGTTGTCAAGGTGGGTGTTGGCGTGTATGAACCGCTTCCCAGTTGCGATATGCTCGAATACGCCAATCGTGACGATGCGGCGGCTTCCCGCTCCCCAGCCAAACGACACCACGTCCGGGGTAGGCGACAGCCATTTGGTCTCACTGTAGAGGACCTTCAGGACGTCGGTACGGTACAAAATAGGACTGTATTCGCCTTGAGTGGCTCCATCGTCACGTCCCACGCCGAGATGGGCCCACTGAGAGCCCAGGCCGCTCTTGATGTCGGTGAGCTGATTGTTGAGGACCTCCTGAAGGCCTATGACGGTAGTGGAGGCGTTGGCAGCCTCACCCGAAAGTTGATTGATTAGGAGCGGCCTGCGAGTCGACCACGGCTTCTCGTTGGCTTCCAGTGACGTAGCGGCATATCGAATGTTGAAGGAGATGAGGCGCAGGGGAAGCGCCGCGCATAATGCGGTATGGGCAAACAGCGTTGCTAGAACAAAGACAGACGGCCAGTACTTGGATATCATGTTGTCTAGTTCTCAGCTTTACCAACCGAGGAGATCGTTACCAGAGTCCAGGACAATGAAGGTGGCGAGTAGCGTCCCGCGTCCGTACGAGCGATCGGGGACGGGTCAGTGTTATTCAAATAGTTATGGGACAGGCGTATTTGCGGGAAGCTCTTCAAGGGCCACGTGAAGGCCGAGAGGTTCAATGATTGCTCAATATGTGATGAGGTGATGGTAGCCAAGACGGTAGCTGCAACGCTAGGATGTAACACTGCTTCCATCAGATGCTACTGCAATGCGGGCGGGAAACATTACTAGCCATAGATGGAAGGAACATGTGTCTAGTAGGGATTTTAAAACCGACATTCCCGTTCCTGAATACTACACTCGTCCGGTTGAGATTTAAATCGCTGGGTTAAGTTGTATTTTCGAGTTTAAAGTATAGCACCTCCTAAGCTCTATCCTGATTGCAAGTGATCACGCTAGGCTCATTCTAAGAATCCAGCCCGGGCTATTATGTCACCATATACATCGGCGCGGATGACGGGGACCCAAATATAACAATCTCTCCTAAGGTCCAGCACTGCTTTATATCTCACCTCACCATGGCATGAACCATGGTGGAAATAATGTATCGTTGACGTCCAACATCCACGAGTCGGCCGCGGACGTCAAGGGCCTTGGGCTCGCGCGAAGCGAGCACTTTGAGGCGGAAGGCCGTTTCACAGGGTCAGGAACGGCGAGAAAACGTATCGTGTCCAGCATCTCCTTCGGAACCCCCTGGTCCAGAGCGAGTTCTTCCCAGAGCTCCAACGGAGTCTGGATTATCAACTCCACTGGGGTATCCTTCCGGGGAGCTGCTACTAATTGCTTCGCCCACCCGAACCACGTGTGCACGTCATCCGGAATCCACAAAGTAGCGCTGTGACTGACCAAAGAAGCAGCAGACCACACATCGACTTTATGGTAGCAGCGAATTCCTGATTGAGAGCAGGGTGGGTCAGGGCATGCTCGAGTGCACCGAGTCTCTGGAGGGCAAGGGGCTGGAGCTGCATTTAAGCCCGCCGTTGCTAGTGGTGCTCGGGTGTGCTCCGGCGGTTTCCTCACGCGTGTTTAATATTGCTACGATGGGCCATATTATCTTGGATATCCGGCACATGACGGCCCGAGTATAGTACTCTGATTTTCAACACATACCCATGTGTAGTATCACTCCGCATTGAACGTATTAATTATTCACGGAAGATGAAAGCTGGACGACATTGCTGGTTCATCACACAGCGTCCACCGATAGCCGCTGCCGCTCACTAATAAATAGCAGCGACGGATAATCATACCAGTAGCAAACATCTTGACACGGGCCAATCTAGTTGCTAATGTGCCCTCAGCAATATGGTTTGAAATGCACCAGACATTGTTCTAGCACAGGTACAATACAGTCAGCCGCAGCCACGGTGCTGTTTGTCAGCCAGTTCTGGAATGGCGGCTGTACAATTTCCCCGCCATAGCGTTACCAAGACCGTAACGTGACGGCGTATCCGCCGCTGGGTGGATTTGTCCCTGTCCCGGCAGCCCCTGATTCATGACCCTTTCCTGTCCAGACGCCGGCCGCCTCCCTCTTTGGCATTGTCCCTGAACCTCCGTCTGCCCTGCCTAGGGACGGAGCTCCGCGCGGGCCTGCCTACGTCATTGTTGCCATTCGATTAGTGAGCGCGCCCAACTGATGCTGCATAATAGTGGGAATATCTGCAAAACCCCGGTTCACAAATATCAGTCCATCAGCAAACCCACAGACAGCCGCCAAATAAATACCCAGACCTCGGGAGCTCTTACGCGGAGCCCACATTCATTCATTCATCAACTTCGATCCGCCTGCACCCTCACCCCAACATGGCTGACATCCCCTCAACATTCAAGGCCGCCGTGCTGCCCACGGCCAAGGGCAAGCACGTCGTCGACGAGCGCTCCCTCAGCGCCCTCGCCACCGGCGAGGTTGCCATCAAGGTCACCGCCACTGCGATCAACCCCGTGGACTGGAAGATTCGCGATCAGGGTATTCTTTACAACAAGTATCCGGCCGTGCTAGGCTCCGACGCCGCCGGCGAGGTTGCCGCGGTTGGGTCCGGCGTCACTTCCTTTGCCAAGGGCGACAGGGTCTTCTTCCAGGGCATCCTCACCAGCCTCGACAACTGCACCTTCCAGCAGTACTGCAAGCTACCTGCGGAGCTGGTGTCACACACGCCCGGCAACATCAGCGACGAACAGGCCGCCGGCGTGCAGCTGGCGCTGATGGCTGCCGTGACGGGCTTCTACCACAACACCGGCCACGGCATCACGCCTGCGCCCTGGGATGTCGAGGGCGGTGGCAGGGAGGCCGGAAAGGGGAAGGCCATTGTCATCCTGGGCGGGAGCTCGTCTGTGGGTCAATATGCGATCCAGCTGGCCAGGCTGTCGGGCTATGAGAGGATCGTGACCAACTCGAGCGCCTCACATGCCGAACACCTGAAGAGCCTCGGGGCCCACGTGGTTCTAGACCGGAAGACGCAGTCAAAGCCAGATGATTATCGTGAGGCCATCGGTGACATCCCACTTGACTTTGTCTGGGATTCCATCGCGGAGGTGGAGACCGCGAAGCTGGGCATCGCCATCCTGGGCCTGGTGAAGACCGTCTCGGAGGAGCGCCAGGTTGTTGGCGTGTGGAACCCCAACGACAACCCAGACCCAACTGCCGGGCCTTACCCCGAGGTTGTCGAGGCCGGTCTGTCTGCCAGCCCCAAGGTTAACGTCAAGCAAATCTTGGGCCTTGGCAGCGCTCCCGACAAGCGTTACGTCAGTGAACCTGTGGTCAAGGCCATCGGTGGCGAGGATGGATGGATCGCAAAAGGTCTGTTCCAGCCCAACCGGCCGATTGTCATTGAGGGTGGCCTAGCGGCTTTGGATCAAGCGCTGGACAGGAACAAGGCTGGTGTTTCGGGAGAAAAGGTTGTCATTAGGCCATTTGGACCATAAGGCAGGTCTGCCCTCGGCCTGAGCATCAATTCAGTCGGCAGAGCTTTGTAGAACGAGCCATTTTTGTGCACCAACTACTTTTTCTGTTCGTGACAGGGGCATCTGACTACTTCACCTGCCTCCCTTTCACCCAAACGGCCTCTATATTCCGATCGTCTCCTGTCATAACGAACTTGCTGAACACGGTTCTTAATGAGTCCTCCGCCTGGACCATAGTCATGATCTGGTCATCCACGCGGGTCGATATAACACACGCATCGAATTCCATGCCCACCGCAAAGTGTCCAACCTTGTCCCCCAGCGAACACACTTCTGCGCCTCCGCGGGTCGCCAAGTAGAAGAGTTCCTCAATAGACAGACCCTTCTCAGTTCCGTGAGACATGGCCTCCCTTGCGTTGCTGGCGACGAGCGCCTGGCGCATTGCATCGAGGATGCTGCTTGAGAAGCCCCCGCCGGAGTCTGTGCCCAGCCCCGTCTTGATACCGCGGCGTAGGAATTCCCTGACCGGTGCCGCCATGAACCCGCCGCCTACGGTCATGTTGGAAATCGGACAGTGAGCCACACCGCAGCCCAGCTCCGCAAATTTGGAAAGCTCATACTCGCTCATATAGCAGCAGTGTGCAAGTATCGACTTGGGTCCGAGGAGGCCGTAATAACTGTAAAGATCGACCTCGTTGCTGAACTGAGGGAATAGAGATTTGGTCGCCTTCATCTCCTGTTCGGCCTCGTTGAAATGTGTCTGTATGGCAAGCTCAGGCTGTCTTTTTGCTATCTTGCCGAGACCCTCCAGCACAACGGGGTCACAGGTGATGGCAAATCGTGGTGTGAGGACCGGCCGGACCAGGCTGCCCTGAGGGTCGATCTTCTGAATGTAAGTGATGCATTCCTCCGTCACGCGCAGGCTTTCGTCAGGACTGGCATCCCGGTAGTATTCTGGTGCATTCCTGTCCATGTTGCATTTCCCAATCAGTGCTCGCTGGCCCTTTTGTTGACATTCAGTGGCCAGGATACGTGTAGCCTCGCCGTGCGCAGATGCATAGTATGAGGCGGTCGTGATGCCCTGTTTCAGGAAGCCATTGACACATTGCCCATAGATCTGGCGTGCATAGTCTGGGTCCGCAAATTTGGCCTCATTCGGAAAGGTAACGGTGTCAAGCCAGTCGAGGATATGCATGCCCTGGCCCAGGCCACGCTGCGCCCACTGCGGTGCGTGGTTGTGCGTGTCAACAAAGCCTGGAATGAGGAACGACCCTTGGTCCAGCTTCTCGACATGGCACTCTTTGGACGGGATCGGTACACCGGCGGGGGTGTGGAGGATCTCGGGGATCTCATCAACGCTCTTGTCGAAGACGACGATGGTGCCTTTTTGGTCGACGACGAGAAGAGCTGACTCCAGGATCTCGAGGTCTGTGGGAGCCAGTGAATGTATCACCGGCCCGTGGAAAATAGTGAGGTTGCTCATCTTAAGATTGTTGTCCCAGACAGCATCACATTAGCTAGGCATGGCGAGAGTGTTGTTGTCGACAGTCTACAGTCAACAGCCGAGCTGATAAGCAATACGAGAGACTCGAATATGATGCCGGTGACACGGACCGTATCGATACGCCTGCCCGCTCACGAGTCGTGAGTCGGTCGCACGGCAGGTGGTCGCCGTGCAGGAATGATGCTATTGGCTGCTCGGCCGGAGCTTGGTTACATAATATTAAGCTCCCGTTTTCGAAAACATCCTGCCGTCTCTCAGCCTCCGTTTTGTGACGGTTGCCCCTGTTTGACGTCGATGTTTCACCTCGTACTCCAAACGTCTGGGTCGATCACTGCACATCACCAAACCTACCAAAACCACATCACCTGCATCTCACATATCATAAAAGTTTTGCCTTTGCGGAAATCTAACATCGAAGAGAGCCGCTGTGCGAGTGTTCTGCCCGCTGGTACCAAATCCCAAGTCGCCATGGCGAGCGATATCCCCTCGACCATGAAGGCATGGCTCGTCACCAGAAACGGCCAGCCAAAAGACGCGCTGACCTTGAAGACTGACTACCCTGTGCCATCCAAGCTCAAGTCAGGGAACGTCCTCATCAGGGTGTCTTATGCAGCCCTGAATCCCGCGGATCTCAACTTCATGGGCAACATACCCAACTGGGTTCCTTTCCGCCACAATCCCATCCCAGGTCTCGACTTTGCTGGGGAGGTTGTCAAGGTTGGACCATCAGTACCGAGTGATCTTGGTGTGGCCGTGGGTGCGCAAGTATGTGGCGCGCTCAACGTCATCTCAGTGGCCGTGGGGAGGGGCAGTCTGGCCGAGTACATCGAGGTGCCCGCGAGCAAGGTGGTAGTAAAGCCGAAGGGAGTCGACACAATAGATGCCGCGGGCGCACTCGGGATAGCTGGGCAGACGGCGTACATCGTGCTCAAAGAAGCCGGCGTAAAGGCGGGCGACCGTGTGCTGGTCAACGGTGCTAGCGGTGGCGTGGGCAGTGTCCTTGTCCAGGTGGCAAAATCAAAAGGCGCTGTTGTGTTTGGGGTCTGCTCGTCAGCGAATGCTGAGATGGTCAAGGGGCTAGGTGCTGATGAGGTGAGAGCATCCTCGCTCCCTGCATGTCCTGGGTGGGATTTTGATCTCCGCGGCCCTGGGCAGTCTGCTGACAGAAGCTGCAGGTGATCGACTACAAAGCCTACGAGTCTCTGGCAGCTCATCTGACCGACAGCTTCGAATCAAAACCCATGAATCGCATCTTCGACTGCGTCGGGAGTGACGAGCTGTTCCAGAGATCAGCCAAGTACCTCGACAAAGACGGGATGTTTATCACGATTGTGGGCGGGGTGGGTGCTGGGCCAATTGTGAGAAGCAAGTTGTTGCCAGTCGCACTTGGCGGAGTGCCGCGAAGGTACAAACTTCTCGCCCTGTGGCCAGATGGAGCCATCGCGAAAGAGGTTGCAAAATGGATCGAGAACGGAGAATATATCAAGTTCCCCAGGGACTCGGAATACTCGATGAACGACGCAATCAAGGTACGCTTATCTTCTCAACTAACAGCTGACTGCGCTGACAATAGGGGCCTCCAGGGCTACGAACGCGTGGCGAGTAAAAGATCTAGGGGCAAGGTCGTAGTCGCAGTCTCTTGAGGAATGTGATTAGACCAAGAACAGATTATCCTTGGCAGAGGGTCGCAGACAGCAAATAATTATCTGAAAGCGGGCAGGCTCGCTGGCGGTAGCCGGATGTAATAACGATTAAACAACATAACGACCAATGGATAAATATCCTGCAGCAGAGCTAGGATCATTACTATTAGTAGTACGATCATATTATTATTAACCACGTCTCGCACGACCACTGCACACGTGTGATGCCCGCTCCAGGCTCCAGAAATCATATTCAAGGAACAGCCATCGACCGTAAATGCATTTGTGAGTAGAGACAGGGGCCCCTAGCTCTCTACTGTGCAGTATGACCCCGACTCGTTGGATTGGACGGACCCTCAATCCCTCAGGGTGGAGAATCGTCCGGTGCGAGCCCGTGTGGGTGTGGTCACGACAGCCCCAGCGGGCCATTGGTGAGATGCGCAAGTCCGAAGCACGACAGAAATAGCCTGTGATAGCAGGGCATGGGCGACGGTGCACAAGTGTCCATACGATGTGACAGCGAGGCGTGAGCGTGCTCTCAGCACATGTGCCGATTGTGCACATGGAGACAGGTATCGTTGGTAATAAATAAGCTGAAAAGCAGATAAGGGGACGACAACGGACATTGAGGTGCTAGATAGCCAGGGCCAAGCCTCATACCCCAGTATCCATGGATGGCATATCTCGAGCCCAGATTAGATTAAGCTTCGCGCACCGTCGAGGTTCGTCCGAAATCCACGTTCTGCATGCGCCTCGGGAACGTCTGGCTTGCACAAGTCTGCAGTCGAGTAAAGATCGGCAAGACACCCGGGGCAGCCTCGAGGCTCACCTGGGCAGCTGACCAGACCGGGGCTTTGCTCTCGCCCGGGAAAGGGCATGTTTGCCTTGGCAGGACTGCCCACGCGTTTGATACATGACAGAAGCAGGGCGCATTGCCAACCACATAAGGGAGGGAGCACCGCGTCATGACTCGTTGCTCCTGGGGCTGTGCGTACGGTGAGGGAGCGAAGACGGGAGGTCCTGACAAGCTACCATGGCCACATGCAGTCAGAGGTGAAACACATGTGGGGGCGAGCTTCTCTGCAAGGGACATAAAAATAGGCTACCCTGAGCTCCCATGTCTAAGCATAAACAACGATGGCGATTCCGTCTAAATGCGGACCTGCCCTGTAGGGCAGCAGGGGAGCTTGTACGAGGTACGTTGCCGGCCGTTGTACTCTATGTATTGCTGCTGTCCATGCCGAAATAAGGTTGGTCTAGAATGCTTGTTGTTGATTCTTGTCTGGTTGTATGCCGTTGAGTGTGATGGTTGAGTTCCGACTCCCGTTGCTTGACTCCCATGCACCCTTGGTGCATCCCTATCTCACAAGAGTTCCACACAGGGGACAATAAGTCATAATACATGACGGGAGAATCGGACGGCAGGTAGAGGATTCTCCACAGCGCCCAGGGCGAAGGTGTCTATCTGCCCACAGCAGGCCCGGCGGTGCGGATCACGCGGACGCGGCAAGCGAGAAACTCCCACACGTGCAGAGATTCTGCCCGATATGGGCGTCCCGTCTCCACGGTATCAAATTACAGGTGACGGCTGGAGAAGGTTATCCTGCCAGCCTTGCAGGGGCCATGAGTCGCCGGTGGGGTCTGGCTTGTAGGTGAGCGGATCATGCCAGGAACCCGTTCGTCAAGACATAAAAGACGAACCTAATCGCCATTCACGATCTCACTGGCCATGTCCTACTCCAATCCAAGCCATCATCAGATCACAGTCTCTTCCCTCGCGGTTCTTCAGTGTTCATATTCTTTCGTTTCGCCGAAGTGTTGATTCACTGTTCCATTCCTTCAGCAGCAAAAGCTAGACCTCCCTCGCCAAGAGAAACAGAATACCCCTGAGTCGTACATACCCGATAATCTTTCCACCACCAAAATGAAGCTGTCCCTCACCTTCCTTGCCACCGTCTTCGCGGGCGTTGTGTAAGTCATTGCTCTCACGCTTCACATCGCCAACTATAGTTCTACAATGAGGCCCAATGCTGACCACTCGATCCCCTTTGCAGTGTCGCAGACATGCACAACAGCTGTGCCTGCCACAACGGCGGCTACAACTGGCGCATCACCGCCCCAGCATGTGACGCTTACGGTTCCGATGTTGCCTACAACAATGACTCTGGTCGCTGTGAATCCAAGTCTGGCGACGAGGTCCTCGATGGCGACACATGGGAGGGTACCTGCCAGAAGCTCGCTCAGGAGGGTTTCGCCTGTATCGATGGCAAGGGCACCTGCTACGCCTCAGCCGACACCGTCCGGGGTGACTGCAACTAAGTTCTTCAAGTCTTTAGACATGCACATGGACTGTTTCGCGACGTGGTGATGACGAGATAAGGAGGAGCCAGCCTATCATACTTTTTACGAACATTTCATACTGTATATATGATTCAAGTTCTGCCGCGGACATTCTGCAGATATGGGACCAATGGAATTTCTTAAACCCGGTCTGATCATTCGCCGTGATCACATTCCACCAGCTGCCTCTGGATGAGATCAGTGTGAGAACTGATTTCAAGTTGACATCTACTGAACTACCTTTGTGGCTGAAAGTGACCCTTTCCTGTTAGTTGGCGCGGAAGTTGTGCTAAATTTCAGGGGTGCCGGTGTGGGCCGTTGCAGAGAGACGTTGCGACAGTACCTAGAAAGTGCTAGAGCCTATCGGGAGACACGCAACATTGGTAGAATGTATGCTGTTGCGTTGTCTTTGCTCTTCAAGTTCTATACATTGCGTGCTGCCCTGTGCCAAGGACAAGCTGCTTCATGAAAAAGCCGCAAGTCGAGCTGGGCAAATTTGACACAACGCCGCATACTTCACCATATTGACCCCAGAGACATCCAAGACCTCGCCCAAGTCATTTCCCCAGACAACGAGAACGTACCCTTCAAAGTTAGTCAAACAAATGACAGCTCCGCGAGTCGCCGTCTCGCTTCAACAGGGTCCCAGTCTACCAAGACGCGATTCTGAGACTCGTCCATTTTCTGCTTCACAAACGGCTCCATCATCTGCTGTTCCTCCTGGCTCAGGAGATGCAGTCTCGTCTTCCACAAATCCTTGTCCAAGACCCCTGGGTCCCGGCGACCGAAAAAGCGCTCGTCCAAGAACGCCCAAAAGACAGCATCAAAGGCCCAGCTCTTCCTCGCCGCATAATTGAGCCAGAAGCGACCGGTCTCCCAACTCTCCTTCATGTGTGCCGAGAGGGGCAGCCCATCAAGAAAGGCCGCCCCATCCTCCTGATCCTCCATAGCCTTCAGCCAAATTTCCAACTGCGGCTCATATGCCGTGCTCCATTCCTCCACCCCAATCGGTTTCCACATTTCTGGCGTCTCGAACAGCAGCCACCAAGGTGGGTCGAGCACGAACTGCGCTGGCGCTGCGTAAGTGAACTCCCAGTCGATCGCAGCAGCTAGCTTATCAACGTCCTCTGCAAGGTCCATGAGGCAATTGGTAGGGCGGAAGTCGTCACACCAGAGGCGGAAGCAGTCTGAGTTGTTAGGAGCTTGAAACCTCGGGCGCGTCGCTGATTTGGCAGAGGCAGACCAGCTGTCTTGCGCAAATCCGTATGTAGACAGATGGCCCCGCTTGGCCAGCCTGAGAAACAGTTGGCGAGATACGTATTTGTTCCGACAGTCGTCCTCATCCTTGACAAGGTCGTTGTGTTGAAAAATAAGCTGTGCTAGGTGCATCGTGGCCAGTTGCACATACCACTCATCAGCTGTGGCAAAGGTGGTGTTCTTGGCAGGAAAGATGGCTTCTGGAATATTACCAAGTTGTGTCATGCTGCTCATGTTAAAGGTGAGAGGTCTACCAGCAACCTGAATGGAGCCATCGACCTCGAGTAGAGACCCGATGCGAGAGAATGTGGGTTGCGCGAGCTCTAGGAGACACCTTGCCATGTCCCCCCACAAACTTCTCAGCCTGCTCTCAGGGAGCTTCAAGTTTAGGACCGGAGTCAGGGAGGGGTCCTGATCAGGAACACAAAGAGGGTCTGTCAGATCGCCTCGGTTTTCAATACGACGGAGCATGAGGAAAGGCCCAATGCTCGAGTCTGACCCGTAATAGAGCACCTGGGCCACGGGAATGCGGGTGTTGATCCTCACGTACTCCGTCGCTGCAGCCTCATAGAGTACCTTCTCGTCGGGGAACTGTGCTGCTCCCGGCCAGGGTACCCGCACCATAACGTCGGAGGATGAGTCCTCTTCTCCGAAACGCATTCTGTAGTGGACATTCAAACCTCCTTGGATGAGGCTCAGAATCCGAGCAGGTTTGCCGCACTTCTCCGCGACGAAATCTTCGACTCGACGACAGAAAGAAACCGTCCGGAACTTCTTCGCGGACTCTTCTTCTGCAGCGTCGCTTCTATCCCACGCGTCATCATCAAAATTTTGCCGACGCTTATACATTCTCAACAGGGCTCGCGTTTTACAAGGATGTCGGAGGCTGAGCGAATCGATTTACTCTCGGTTGCGTTGAACGGGGCAAGGTACCACCAGCTTCAGTGTAGAGACAAGGTTCGTTCGTCGCAGAGAATATCAATTTGAGGTGGAAGCGAAGAATCTGGCAACCTGCAACTAGAGCGAGGTCTGAACAGTCACCAGCTGAAGTCATAGACGGCGGGGCTGACTTGTTGGTTTCGGGCAGCCAGCCCCTGCCTTGCCAGGCCCTCTGACGGAAGAGGGGTTTACCCGAAAAAGGTTTAGTAATTCCGGTACCTAGCCAATAAGCAGAATTCTCACCGCCCTCAGCCCTGCAGGTGTTTGCCCGGCTACTAGGCACACGCTCTGGTTTGGTCTGCGCCACATCCAAGGCAACCAGGACCGTCTCAGGGGAGCCATGGTGGGCTGTCTCGGAAAAACGAGAGTTGGCCCCCCCCCTACAAAATGCCCCCTATTCCTCGGCTAAACCAAAACTTTACTAGCAGGACGGAAAACCCTACATTTCATAACAGGATACCCCTATCAACCTATCAACATTCCTTAATTAGTAAAAAAAGGGTTCTAATAATAACTAGCTATTACCTATTATACCTCAAACTCTAATAGTTAGAGTTTTATTTATACTCTAACTTATTACCACTTAATAAGTAGCTATAGGCTAAGTTTTAGGTTAGCTATACTATAATTTAAAAATACTATTAGAAAATTACTACTATCTATATAGTTACTCTAAGTATATTATTATTATTATTATTAAATATAGTTAAGTTAAAGTAATAAATTATAAAGATTTAATAACCTACTTTTATAATAATATTATAAAATATAATTAATATATAAATTATATAAACTAAAACTAAAAGATCTTTTATTTAATAAGTTAAATTTATATTTAAATAAAATATAATACTTCCTTATTAAATAATTATAAATTAATATTATTATAAAATAATAAATAATACTTTTAAAGTTTATATATAAAGTAATAAATAAATATATATATTAATTTATTAATATAATAAAAAGCTTTATAATTATTATTTTTAATAGATATATTAATTAAACTATATAATAAAGATATTTATTTTTATTAATAAGTTTAGTTTTAATAAATAAAATAGTATAAAAGGATAGATTAGGTACTTATTAAGTATACTCTATAGGTTAAAAGTTTTTAAATAAGGGGCTTATTTTTATATTTTTATATAATTATATTAAATAGCTTACTTATTATTATAATATATAGGGTTATATAATAAAAGTTTTTTTAATAATTAAAGGAAAGTATTTTATTAAAATAAACTTATATTTAAATTTAAAATTAATCTTTATAATAAATAATACTTTTAATATTATAAAGTAAAAATAATTAAAGTAATAAATATAAAAGGTATAAAATATAAATATTTATTTTTATACTCCTTTAATTTTAATTTTATTAAAATATATTTTAATAATTTAAAATATTATTTATATTATTAATATTAATATAAATTATTAAATTATAATTTAAATAAAGATTTTATTTAATTTTTATTCTTTTATATTAAGAAGGTTAGGTTTAGAATTAAAACTATTTAAAGATATTTCTATTATATATAAGTATTAAAAAAGTATAAAATAAAATAAATATAATAGTTTTAATTAGAAGTTATAAAAATTAAAATTAATAAAATTTTAATTAAATAAAGTTATATAAATAAAAAGTATTATTTATAAATTAAATAGTTAGGTTAATAGTTAAAGGTTAAGGTAGATAAATTAATTATAGATAAATTTATTTAATTAATTAAATACTTAATATTAAGTATTTAATTTATTTTATTTATTTAAAATAAATAACTTTCTTTTTTAATTACTTTCTATTATTAACTATATTTTTCTATATATTTAATTACTACTTTCTTTATTTAAAAGTTTTTAAAACTTATTATATAACTTTTATTTTATTAAATAAAAGGGATTATTTTAATAAGCTTTTAACTCTTTTATTAAATAACTAACTTAATTATAAAATCTAATATTAAATAAAGTTAATTAATTAGTTAAATAATTTTTATAAGCTTTATAAAGTATATATTTTTAATATTTATTTAATAGTTTATTAAATAGCTATTTAATAGCCTTTATTATAATAGTAAGTCCTTTTATTATTATTACTATTAAAGAAATTAATAAAATCCTTTTCTCCTTTAAATATAATTTAATTAGTATTTCAATTTATAAAATAATCCTTAAACTATATTTATTAAACTAAATATCCTTTTTTATAAAGCCTATAAAGATTAAGCTTTTATATTTTATAACTTTTATAAGTTATTTAAGTTAAACTCTTTCTAATAGATTTTAAAGTACTTTTAAAGTATTTTTAAAATACTTTTAAAGTACTTTTATAATAAACTTTTAATATAAAACTATTTTATTTCTTTTACTTATAATAATAATAATAAAAATAATTAATAACCTTTACTTTTATTATAAGTTTTAGGTACTATTATTATTACTATTAGTAATAATAAGACTCTATTAAACTTATAAAAGAAGTTAATAATAATAATAATAATAATAGTTTTATTAAGGTTATTTAACTATACTTAACTTTAAATAAGTTAATATTAAATAATAAGTTAATAATTATATTAATATTACTTTCCCTTTACTTTTATTTTTACTACTTTTTAGAAAAATAAAGTTAACTTTATTATTATTAAACTTTTCCTTATTAGGTTTTATTTAAGTTATTTAATAATTAAAAGGATTTTTAATAGATATTTAATTATAATATTATTTATTATAATTATATTAAATTAATTTCTTAAGTTTTATTAAATAAACTAATATATATATTATTTTATTTAATAAAATATTATTATTATAGAATTCCTTTATTTTAATAGTAATAATTAACTTTATAATAATTATTTAAAAATATAATTATATTTTTATTAATTATTTATATTTCTTTTATATAAAGTTTATTTTTATTTTTATTTTAATTCTTTATCTAATAGTTATTAATATAAATTAAAAGTTTTAAAGTTTAAGTTTTTATTAAGTATATTTATATCTATTATTTATTTAATTATTAATAAACTATCCCTTAAAGTAGCTTTTATTAAATAGTTAATAATAACTAAAAGACTTTAATTAATAATTATTTAATTATATAATTACTTTATAATATAGATATTTATAACTCCTTTATTAATAATATAACCCTATAATTATATAAAGATTAAAAATAAATAATCTTTAAACTTTAAAGAATATATTTATAATATTATTATAATTAAGTATTTTAATTTTTTATTAATATCTTTTTTATAAATTTTAATTATAAAAATATAAACTTTTAACTTATAAGTTAATTAACTTTAATAAAAATATCCCTTAGTTTAATAATTATATTTAAGTAATCTTTATACTTTTTATAATTAAGTTTTAATTAATTTAATATACTTTAATAAAAACTTTAAATTTTTAATTTTAATTTTTTATAATATAATATTTTATCTTTTAAATTATATAATAAAAGTATTAATAGCTTTTAAGTTATAAATTTTAATAAATAAAGTTAAAGTTAATTTATTTAAATATATTTATATTAAAAATTAATTAAATAACTTTTAAAGTACTTAATATTATTATTAATATTATTTATTAAAAACTTTACTTTAATAAAAGGTCTTTATTATTAGTACTTTTACTTTTCCTTTTTTATTAATAAATATATCCTTTTATTATTAATTTAAATAATATTCTTTTATACTCTAAACTACTTAATTTATTATAATAGTTTTATTTTAAGTAGTTTTAAAGGTATTTATAAATACTTTTAAATAATTTATTAAGTTTTAATTACTTTAATAATTAGTTTTTAAATATATAACTATTTAAATAGTATAATATTTTTATTAATAAATTATATAATTTAACTCTTTAAGTAAGTTTTATATAATAAATATTAAATAGTTTAAATTTAATAGATTAGTTTAATAATATTATTTATAAAGTTAATGAAATTAATATTACTTTATATTAAAGTAAATAAGTTATATATATTTTTATAAATTAAATTTAAATTAATTATATAAGATTAATATAATATTACTTTTATTTAATTAGGTAATAAAGATAACTTATTATTAATACTAATAAGGTTAATAGGGGTATTTTTGTAAAAATGTTAGAGTTTCCACTCTTTTAGTGAAGTTTTAGTTTAGCTAAGGAATAGAGGGTATTTTATAGGGGGGGGGCCAACTCTCGTTTTTCCGAGACAGGGGCCAATCAAGGTGCAGATGTAAGCGCGCGCAAACGATTGACGGACCCGGCTTATATTCCGACAGCCCCCTAATTCTAACCGCCTTTCTATATAAAGTCCCACTTTTAAACATACTTTATTTAATCCGAATACGATCTTATCACTCTAATTATAAATTTTTAAAAAATAATATTTTAATAGTAATATTATTATAAAATAATTCTAAGTATTAATATATAAAATAACTTTTATAATAATAATAATATATTTATTAATAATAAATTAAATTATATTATATAAATTAAATAGATTAAATAAAATAAAAAATAAATTTTATATAATATATATTATTTTTATTACTTAGGTAAATTTAAATAAAAATATTATAAACTTTAAAATTTAATTAATAGTTTTTTAATTTTTTAATTTTTTAATATAAATTATTATAATTAAATATTATTACTTTTTATATATAATAATATAATTAAAAAAAATTATAAAATTTAAAATTAAAGTATGTTATTTAAACTTAATAAGTTATTATAGAAAGTAGCTATATTTTAATATATTATAAATAAAAGTTGAGCGGTTAAAATTAGAGGGTGGTCTAGATGAGGGCCGGGTATGTTATCTATTAATCCATTGGGGAAAAGACATCCTCAAAAATTGCGCTATCGTCTCTCGCGCAGTCCATTTCTGGTAGCTGAGAGGGGTCATGCAGGTCACCGGGCGGTGGTGAGCAAGGCGTCGGGTGCCTTCACAACCCATGGGGCCGGGCCCATGGGCTCAAGCTGATGCCTAACGCTGGATCTTGAGCGTTTACCACTGTATGAAGGCGCCACATACATATGGGGATTAAAAACGAAATCACCTAGTGGGGAAACCCCGCATGTGTAAATACTACCTACCCAAGCATGGTTTCCCTCAACATAGACCACATTCTTCAACCCCCCCCCCTCTGCTGTGAGGTCCGGGTGGCTCTTCAAAACCAACAAACGCACAGCCACTGGGAATGTTGGTTCCAATAGCGATCAGTCAGCCCAGCGTAGAGTCATTGGTTCAGATTTGAGTTGAAGCTACGAGAAGTGAAGATAGAGCGGCCACTAAATGGCCACAGTGAGGCTGAATGCTAAAGCCAACAGGCCCAGATAATGTCATTCTTGCAACTCGTGGGCGTTGGGTGCCTGTGAAAAACGCCTTCTTGCGGCTCCGTGTAATGGAACAAGAGACGTGAAAAATTATAAATTACGGCAATCTTGTCACTCTATTCCCACTTCTTGTCAAGAAATAACACTGGGTTCCACCGACACGACGACAAGTGCCCATAATTGTTGTAAAAATCTCAAAATAATTTCTTTCCCACTCCCGGTGACCAAGCAGCGCGTGCTCTGCAGTGACTTGTCAATACCTGGCTATCCATTCACATCTTCTACGACCAGGTGAGCGTTGACTGTCTTTTCTGGCCCCAACTTCATCCTTCGCTAACGATTCATGTGTTTTACACCAGACATCAAATCCGCTCACAATGGCAGGCAAAAGAGAGGACAGCCTCGAGTGGGAATTACAGAACGAGGATCTTACAATAGCAGCCGGCAAGGTCAGCAAGGAGAAACGCGAGAATGCCAAAAAGGAAAAGGAGCGCAAGGAGGAAGAACAGAGACAAGCACAGTTAAAGCAGATGATGCTCGACGCTGGCAAGCAGAGCAAGGAGAGGCGCGACAAGTGATGAGCTCTCACGGTGGATAGGCTTTGTGCAAATGCAATACCAGACGTAGAATAAGGAATGAATATCTATATTACATTGCTCCCCAGCTAGCACAATTAATGTCACATTAATATAAAAGCTAATTAAAACATTTAAATATACTTACTTTTATACTTATAAATATAATTAAAAAGATAATAAATTCCTTTTTAATTATAATATATAAAAGTAAGTTTTTTAATATAAAAATAAATATTAAAAAATAAAATTAAATATAAATTTATTTTTAAAATAGTTTTTTAAAAAATTTAATTTTTATATATATTTAAAAGAGAAAGAATAATATTATAATTTTAAAATATAGTATTAAAATAATTAAAATTATAATTATAGAATAAAATATAATTTATTTAATATATTTTATTTTATATTTAATAAATATTCTTTTAAATATAAAGTTAAAAGATTTATAATTATAAAATTTTAATTAAGTTTTATTTAATTATTTTATTATATTATAATTTAATTTAATTTAATTTAACTTTTATTAAATTTATTTAAGTATTTTATTTTTAAAAGTAAAGTTTTATATTTTTAAACTTAAATATAAAGTTTTTATAAATTTTAATTTACTTTAAATTAAATTTATAATTTTAATTTATTGAAAATTTATTAATTATTTTAAATATTAATAACTTTTCTAAAAATAAATATTTATAAAATATAATTATAAATTTAAAATAATAATAAAATATAATTATTTTATTTAAAAGTTATATTTTAATTTAATAATATATTAAATTAAATAATAATTTTAATTAATTATATTTATAAAATGAATTATTATTAAATTTATTAAATAAATATTTATTTATAAAATAAAATTAAAACTTTAATTAAAATAATAATATTTTTATTTTATTTATTTAAATTATTTTATATTTATATATAATAAATTTAATTAAATTAATTTCTAAAAATATATTATATTTAATTTTTAAAAGTTTTAATTATTTATTTTTAATTTAATATAAAATAAAAAATATAAATAATTTATATTAATTTAAATTAATATTATTATTTTATTGAAAATTAAAATTATTATAAATTATAAATTATTTAATTTTATATTAATTACTTTTATATATAAATATTAAAATATTATATAATTTAAATAAAAGTTAAGTAAAATAAATAAAATAAAATTATTTATTTTTAAAATTAATATTTTAATTTTATTTAAATAAATATTTTTAATTAATTTTATAAATTAAATTATCTTTTAATTAAAATTATATCTTATTTAAATAAATATTTTTAATTAATTTTATAAATTAAATTATTTTAAAATAAATATTTAATTTATTAAATTAAAATATAATTAAATAGAATAATTATATTTTATTATTATATATAATATTTAAATTTATAATTTTATATAAGTTTATAAAAATAATTATTAATAATTAAATTTATAATTATATAAAAATAAATTTTTATTTTAGAACGATTAATTAATATTTAAAATAATTAATATATTTTTAAAAAATTAAAAATTATAAATTTAATTTAAATTAAACTTAAAAGTAAATAGTTAATAAATATTAAAAATAATTAAATTAAATTAAAAATTAAATTAAATTAAAAATTAAAAATCTTTTACTTTATATTTAAAAGAAATACTTTATATATTTATAAAAAGTTTAAAAACTTTAAATAATATAATATAAATAATAAATTATAAAAGATTAATTTTTAAAAAATTTAATTAAATTATTTTTAATAAATATTTTTAATAATATATTTATAAATAAAAGTTTAATATTAATATATTAAATTAAATTAATTATTATAATAAAAATAATAATTATTATTAATTAATTATTTAAATTATTATTATTAAAAACTATAATAATTAATTTATATAATTAATTATTTAATAATATATAAGTATTATATTATTACTTTATAAAGCTTTTTAAAGAGGTTAGCTTTAACTACTTAAAATTTAATTATTATCTAATTAACTAATTATTAAAGCTATAGGCTGAATGCTTATAGGACTAACTAGTAGATCTATATACTCTACTTATCTTATTAGCCTAAGTAGCCTCTATACCTCTTATAATATAGAATTACAACTTCACTACCTTCCTTATACTATTCCTTAGGTAACTTTAGTTTTAAATCAATAATTCTTTATAGATAATTTAAGCCTTCTTTTGCTATAGGTCGCGAGGACCGTCTCACTGATGCTAAATAATTAATGGCAGTTGACAGCTTCGACACATAAAGCCCAGCTGGCCCGCGAGGGCCGCTTTAGGAGGACTAAGAGCCCTACAGCAGCTAGACTGATGGCCTAGCCTCCCTGCCCCCTTAGATGAATGAGGCTAGCACCGGTATTGGCGTCACAGCCCGCGTGTTCAGCCGCCACGACGTCATCCGCGGTCACAACACAACAATAGCAGAAGCTGCAAGTGCCTCTGGGCGGACCAAGGAAGTCGTTGATCCAACTTTGAGTCAATCTGGAGGATTAAAAAGATCGAAGTCCCTCCCTTGTCCACTCGCAACGTCCCCGGGCAGGAGATTTCAACGCTGGCCTGATATCCCACGAGTACTGTCACCACCTTTTGATCCGGAAGAGCCTACAGAACCGCTTATCTAGCTTCAGTTTGTCCAAGACCCAGACCCAAATTATTAATACATCCGTGACGTTGCACAATGGACACACACGCAGACGAGGACCCACCAGCACGTAACCCGATCTCTGGGGACGCCGGACCCGGTTCCACTATCGCCGACCTGTTGCCCGTTCCAGTCATCACGGAGCCTGTTGTCGATCCCGAAAAGGTGGAAACATCAAACACTCTTGCTGGGGGTACTTCTCTATCGCATGCACTGGCAACGACGGAGCACACCGAGAAAGGCCTCGCTCAGCAATACCATGATGAAGAAGTACTCAATCTTGGATGGCATCAGAAGAAACAGGAGGTTTCTGAGCCTTTGGTTGGCGGTCTGGACAACGAGGGGTTGTGGATGCTGGTACGGCGCTTCGACATGCAAATGTACCACGTCAAATCCATCCCCAACCCCGTTCCGGGAGGACTCGACCTCAACATTGCTGATGACGAGGAGTTCTCTCCCGACAAGCTGCGTGCAAACATCGAGAGGCTTTATATGACCGTCATCGTGCACCTTCTGGCTGCTGTCAAGCACGTTGCGCGGCTGAGATCCTGGCGTGAGAGGAAGCGAACCGTGTCCTTCGCCACCGCCTACTTCACCGCCTGGCTTCTCGACTTGATTGTGCCACTGCTTTCGTCCACCCTGATCATGTTGATCGTATATCCGCGAGCGAGACAAATCTTGTTCCCTCCCGCACCCTTGGCACTGGTCGATTCGAAATCAGGAGGGCTGAAGAAACCCTCAGCAGGCGCGCTGGGAAGCCATGACAGCGCAACAGGAGCACCGGAAAAACACCGGGGTGAGGCGGTCGAGCAGGAGGCAAGCAACTTCGTGAGCGGTATAACATCTGTGGCGCTGAGCAGCGCGGCTGGCAAACATCCTGGCGACGTGGCCGAGGATGGAGGCCCTGCGGATTCGGCCCCAGACCCATCGGCGATTGCATCAGGTGCCGCTGAGGCCAGGACTATCTCCACTGGTGCAAAGGCAGAAGCTGGCTCCAAGCACGACAAGACCAAACAGCCTATGGAGGCAGCCATGTGGAACAAGATGAAACCGATCATGCACGCCCTCGCTGATGTGGCCGACACATGGGAGCGATTTGGCAACGCGCTCAGCCCCACAGCTCCGTTTCCCAAGAACTCGTACCGCATTCGCCTCGCAGTTGCAGCCTCGCCGATGCTCTTAATGTCCTTGCTCATCAGCTCGTACATGTTTACTAAGGGAGCCACCTTCGCGCTCGGATTCGGCTTCTTCGGTGACCCCGTCATCCAGCGTGGCCTCAGTCTCCTCGACCGTCGGTTCCCCAACTGGCAGAAGCTGCTCGAGCTTCGCAACACAGTACTCAAGGGCGTGCCAACAAATGCACAGCTCACCATAACTTTGCTCCGTATCGGCGAAGCAAACAAGGCTCCTCTTCCACCGCCGCCGAAGATCACTGAGGCAACTCCCGACGAACATGTTGCGATAACGGCCGACGACTTGCAAGCTATCGGCGGTGAAGCGCTTCTTGGGGCGAGTCAATCCGAGATTGACGATGCGGTGCGAAAGGATCCGGCCACGATTCAAGACACAGACGGAAAAGATATCAATGATTCGAAATCAAGCAACCACGGCAAGAAAGGCAGCAGGATTCTCGGATTCTTCAAGGGCACAACCAAAGGCGCGGTAAAGACAGCCATCGGCACAGATACGGTCAAGGCCAAGGCAGGCTCTGCCAAAGCAAAGGATCGCCTGGGCGTGATACCTCGTCACCAGCACTTGGATGGTCCGGTTGAGTTCCAGGCTCGTCACAAGGGTCACAAGGGGCGGGTTTACATCACAACGAAAGCGACGATACCCTCGGTGGCCTTCAGCACGGATGTGAGGTCTGATCTCGACGAGATCGATACAGAACACGTGCATCCTGCATGGACCGTGGCAGTGGCAGATATAGTGGAGCTGAAAAAGATTGGGGGATACGGGTGGAAGGCGAAGCTGGTGGTTGGGTGGTCAACGGGCAAGGAGGTTGCTGATGGCCTAGAAATCGCCACCAGCAAGGGAGAAGTATTCAAGGTCACGGCGTGTCCCCTGAGGAACGAACTTTTCAACCGCCTCGTTGCCATGGGTGGGCAGAAATGGGAGGCTTGGTGAATTGTCCCAGAGATCGACCAGGGGAGACAGTCATTCGTCACGGTCTGCGATGTTTAGACACTTATCCTTCACGTGAACATTTCACTGGCTAGTTTCAGGCACGGCAGCAGTTTTAGAAAGGTTGGCCGAGGCTGGATTACATATGCTATGCCACCTCTTTGGCATCATTCGCCCGACTCTAGCAAACGAGCGAATAGTAACATCCACAAGAAAGCCCTGACCAGTCCAAAGAAACGCAGGTGTTATCCTTCGACCTCGGGATGGTTGCTTTACAATGCTCGTACCATCCAGTCTGCCATCCATGCTCACACAGGCTCAGGTGTGTCTCGGTAGGCCTCGGGCAGGAAACCCTCGAGATCGGCTTTGATCAGCATCGCTACGTGCTTGGAGTGATACCGATGGTGTGTTGTCGTTCCCCCATGGATGTAGTAGTTGGGCACACGCAAATGCCTCGTAAACATCCCGCGTAGCTCTCCTTCCTTGTCGACGCCCCAGATCCCGTCCCTGAGGGCACTCACGTCCTCGGGGCCAAGCACACTGTCTGCGTCCCCGTGGTCGTTCCCGAGGAACTTGTCGCTGCCCAGGACCTCGGCCGTCGTGCTGCGGTCCTTGTCCGAGTCGAACCCGGTGGCCCAGATGATGGCGTCCGCCTCGACGACCGAGCCGTCGCTGAGCTCGAGGCCCGTCTCGGTGTAGGCCGTCGGCTGGACCAGGCCCCGGACGGCCACCTTGCCCTCCACGATGTACCGTATCCCCTCGCCAATGTCGTTGAAGTGCTTCCCGCCGGCCTCCATTAGGTGGTGGATCAGGTCGCCCCCGTTTGCGGAGTCGTAGACGGGGAACCCTCGCTCCAGCAGCGGCTTGTACTTGTCCTTGTCCTTGGTGGCCGCCATGTTCGCGTACGAGTCCCGCACGAGCTGCCCGCCGATCGCGGCGGGGCCCGGGACAAGTATTTTGTCGACTACATCGGTTGGCATTGCCTCGTACATGCCGAGGCCCTCGGGGAATAGCGCATATTCCCAGGGGAAGATGAAGGTGGGACTCCGGGCGATCATGGTGGTCTTGAGTCCTGCCGCCGCGCAGTCTTCCATGACATCGAAAGCTGAATTTGCGGCACCGACAACAATTACAGACTACAGGTCCAGCGTCAGCACCACTCACATTGTCCCACAACAAAAGTAGGCACTTACCTTTGCTCCCTTATCCTGCAACACTTTCGGGTTCTTATAGTGCTTTGAATGAATACTGGCCACCCCCTTGTACAGCTCCTTGCCCGGAAGCTTCGGTATGTACGGGTGGTCGCAGCCAACCCCGGTAGCCTGGACGAGCTGCGGCGCTCTGACTGTCTTGATGCCAAAGGGCGTGTGTATCTTGGCATTCCAGACTCCCTTGGTCTTGTTGAACGAGCTTCCCACGAGCCACGAGGAGTGAAGGATGTTCAGGTTGAACTTGCTGGCGAAGTCTCTCATATGTCCGGCGAGCATGTCTCTCGTGAGAATCAATGGGAGCTCATCAGGATATGCTGCAGGAGTGTTAGTGAACACGTCTTGGCCCTCCTAACTGGATTCCTCCATGCTGTAGAAGGAGGCCTTACGCATAAATGGAGGGTTGCATCCCGACTTTCCGATGTGGAAACGCATGCTATCGTATCGAGTCGCCCAGTTGTCCCCCGGTCGAGCAAGTTTGTCGATTACCACGCTCTCGACGCCGGCGGCCTTCAGTCTCGCCGCTTGGATCAAACCACTGGCGGAAACAATTAGTCCCAGTCTTCATGTCACCATAGTATGACCAGCCCGTTTCTAGATACTTACGCATTGCCTCCTCCAACGATCAGGACATCTGTATCGATGTGCTCAACGTCATCCAACTTCCTTCCTGGGGCAGTCAGGAGGTCTTGGTTCTCTGGCCAGTCTGTATAGTCCTCAAGCCATGTGGCGAGCGTCCATATTTTCCACTTGATCTGGCCATCCGCTGCCTGTTCTGGGAATAGTTGCACCGAGCCTTCACACTTGCTCTTGGGACGGGTGGTCTCAAAGGTGAAGAAGCCTGATATCCATCTGAGGGCCGGGGTGGGCGAGACATCGTGTACGGAGCCTGGGACAAGATTGAAGCCACCGGCCAAGCCTCGCTCCTTGGCCAGCTTTTTCAGTGCTGGGGCTATGATAGGTCCGTCGTTGAACGTTCGGAAATGGAATGTGAACGATAAGAGATCGCGCCAGTAGGCTTGGCTGCCAAGGAAGACATCCTTCAGTTGCTGGGTGTCGCCTTCTTCAAGCGCAGCTGTAAGAGAGTGAAGAGCTTCGGTGACAAGCGCCGTGCCGTCTACATCGGCTGATCCTGGTAGTTTGTCTGGGAGTGGAGGAAAGGGACGGTAGATGTCTTTCTGAAGACTGCACTTTGGAGGGTATTCCTCCGTGAGCTGTGGAGTGACTGGACACTCAGTCAGCGATTTGAGTCGATCTCAACGCCATGATGGGGCCATCTGGCTCATACCGGAACCCATGTTCGCCCTTGCAGCAATCCTATGAAGTTGCGAATGTAGTTTGGTCTAGGACAAATCTGGAACAGTCACTGGGTTTCTTATTCCTGAGATCGAAGCGCGTTGCGAAGGCCTTGGCATAACAGACTCAGCGGGCCTTGAGTTCGTGATGATGCCATGTAATTATTCAAGCTCGCGCCTTCGTTAACCCCGAGATGATGTCGGGTCGGGGGAAATGTTGACCGCGTAGTCGATGACTGGTCGAGTTCCCCGCAAAACGGGACATGGCAGCGGGATGCGACGTCGAAGGCAGATGCCACGGAGCGGTTCTTGGCCATCTCCGACTTGAGTGGCGAGGTTCCCCTGTGTGACTTGGAGTGTAGCACCCGCCAGTTCAGCTCCGCATAATCTATCCGCCCACCGGTAGGTGGGCCCGTGGCAGTTCCCTGAACCATAAATCCGGAGGTTGCGGCGCGTCGAATCGGCGACCAACCCTGCGGCTGCCACGGAGTACAATGTGTGCTCCAGCGGTCATCACCGCGGAACACGGCGGAGCAACGCGGCATAAATCCGAGATCTTCGGTGTCACCTGAGCAACCTTGGAACTTTAGAAGTGTGAGAGCCAGTGATAGCAGCCGCTTGCCGAGGTCTATCAAATAGATTGCACCCCTCTCCTACTCCGCCCAACGGAATCCGTGATTTGTTGTCCAATAACTACTAACAGGCTTGTGTGCTTCTATCTATTACTTGTTCATTTGTACTTGGTCATACTCATTAGTGCTTACCAACGCTTCCATAACTCATGTGTTACGATGTAAAGATTAATACCAATTGACAGTTCCGACGGGCTGTGATTGCGTATAGAACCTGGAAAGAGCGCATCGATGCACGATCTATTGGATGCTACGTAGATAATGAGACCCCATTGAATTTGTGGAACAGCAGAGAATTCCCACTGCAAAGAGATGCGGATGGCGTAGTCATAAGTAGACGTGCTTATTAGCAAAATTGCCCCCTGGTGCCCTGTCGCTACCAAATCCGGTCATGCCCTATGGTCTGCGAGATCCACTCTATATCGATATCATCAATCGAGTTTGCTAAATCCATGAGATCTGTAGTCGTAAGTGGCTCTGAAGGGTCTATTTCCAGATTTGAGCATGAAGGATCAAAATCCGAGGTTCTCGAGACGAATATCGTCGAGTCCGTCAGGGGACCCTCCAGCGGAGACTCTTGCTGATCCCCGGCTTGCTGGGGCGGCGTGTGACCAGGCTGCCATGCTGTCTGTGATACTGTATTTAGCTCCTCCAACATCTTCCTCAGATGGTCTAGTTCTCCTTTCCGCAACACAGCGACTTGGTTCCCGCTCGTGATCATGTCGTCGAAGACAGAATATGAAGCCGTGATCCACCTGGAGGCGTTATCGATCAAGCTGTGGTCAAGGGCCGTTGCCACGAGCACGTTGATCGTCGCCGCAGAAAGCTGATCCAGGCTGAATGGCAAGAATGGATCTGCTCCCGAGGTAAGCCTAAGACGCGAGGACGTACGGGATTGGCATGACATACCTATCAAAGACTGGCCAAGTAGTGACTCCAGGATCGTCAGAATCTGTATTGACGAGTCAAGGCATGTCTGGATGAAGTTGCGAGATGTCCTGGAGCTGTTAAGTTTAGACTGGCAGTCCTCTCTAGATTCAAGTCGAAGCTTCAGGAAGCAGAACAGCAACGGACGCGTTGCAAGGATGATGCACTTTTGATCAGTTAAATTAGCATACAGTAGTAGACCCCGTAAGCAAAGCAAGGATCATATGCATCCCTGTCCACCGAATCTGTCACCGAGTGGGTCGAAAAGTGGGCAGCGGACGGAAGCGGGGAATCAGGACAACAACGTCCAGCAAGTACAAGGCTGTTGGGGGCCGGTGGAATTAAAAGGATACTGACCCGGTGGTACTCCAGGTGCAGGTACGCAGAAGTCTTGGATATCCCATCTGTCTTCTGCTCCAGACATAATGGGAAGCAGTGCTGCAGTTCTTCGTGCGCGCCAGCAATGTCTGCCAGGGCGCCCTTGATGCCGCTTTGAAATCCGCTATTCAGCCGGCCGCCGACACCGTATACATCTGCGTTACATTTATTAGTAGAGGTTGTACCGGGCGGGATCATGCCGTTGTGACAACATACTGCGGTTGATGTCAGCAATCAGCCGAGACAACTTGAGCTGCATCTTGAGTGCCGAGATGCGCGTGACCGAACCGGAAAATGCCGGCAATTGGCAGTAGACATCCTGGATCTCGATGGACTGCGGTAGTCCCGCGACCGCTGTCATTTCGCGGTCCAGTATAAATACTGTCCACCAAGCCCTGCGTATCCGCTCTACTGACGCAACGCCGAAACGGTCGGATCTGATGTTCGTGTGTAGGCCATAGTTCAACGCCAGGCGCATTGCTTGACCCATCTGTAATTGTGCTAGTTCAGTACTCGGTAATTATCAGTGATGGGAAGGGGAACACATAAAGGAGGTGTCTTACAAAATTGTGAGCCACGATCCGGTAGTCCAGGCATGTTAGGTACAATGCAATACACGTAAGGACCTCGACTGAGTGTACGGGGTACCTCCACAGCACGAGCATGTTTGGTAACAGTTGAAGCGCTTGTATAAAATACTCAACTCCAGGCGGGTCCTTTCCATTCTTGTTGACTGTGAACCCCTTCCCAAATGCTAGGATAACCAAGAAGTGCACCAACCACACCTTGTCGGTCGTGTTTCGATCCGGATTCTCGTAGAAGTGGTACAGGGCGGGCATGAATGTGTCCTCATCGAAGACATGGAACAGCTGGGCGCAGTGAAATTTGACAGCGTTGATGAGGTATATCGCATGGTCGATGGTCGGGACCGTTGCAGAAAGCGGGTCAGCACACATGGAGGTTCCATCCCATTGAAGATCGTATGCGTTGCCAAGTCCTTCAATGTTGCGACTCGTGTCGGGAAGGCGATTCCTGCACACGCGCTCGTGGACCATACTGAGAATCTTTTGGGTAAAGGTCCAGTTTGATGTCGAGCCCAGGTAGAAGGTCATGCCGTTATTTGCTGTCATAAACGTCGAGCAGTCAGTTGCCAGGAAATTTGTCAGGGCCGGCTCCTCGCTCGTCCCGCGCGTCGAGGTTCCGTCGCCATCCCGAATCCCGCTCGGCTGCCGATGGCGCTGTAAGCCCTCGTCGTCTCCAGGGTTGGAAGGAGATGACCGGTCATAATCATCAGGCTGCTGTCGCATTACGGTCATCTCTTGCCGTAGAGGGGCATCGTTCTGTCGGGCCGCCTTCTTCTGGAGTTCGTGTATATAGCTACGAACAGTAAGCCAACCCCATCTCCATCCTTGAATAAACCGCCCACGGCCTTCGGGACCAGACATACCCTTGAGTAACCACAACCCTTCGATGCTTCTCGTTGAAATGGCAGGCTAGATTGCGCTTGGTGCATGCATCGCACGGCAAACAGCCGCTGCAACGAATCTTTTGTTTTCGACATCGTTCGCATCTGAAGTCCAGTATTAGCAATGGCTTGCGCGGCTTGAAGGCGGGATGGGAGATGGCAACCAGAGCCAAGAGTCTTACGCGTTAGGAGACCGCCTTAGGATCCTCGACGCGCTTGCATTGCCGACCCTGTTGTTCATGGTGACGATTATTGCGGACAAGGGCAACTACCCACGGGTCGGAGGAGTCTTCCGGCGCACTTCGTGGAGCTCGACGGCCCCAAACCCAATCTTCGGGCACGGGGAGCTGCCAACTCCGCCACCTGAGGCGCGGGGCAGTTCAGACTCACGATACGCACTGTCTGATCCGTAGCCGTGTCGATGGCAATGGGGATGAGACAGGGAGCCAACCCGGCGCTTGTCTGGAGATAGGGCTACCGTCGTCACAATCTCGTTTCGGTTCGTGATGTGTTTGCTGTTGACTGGCCTGCTGTATGGCCCCCCGCAAGCTCTCGGATCGGCTCTCGGATCGGAAGCACATCCGGTGGTGCATATGTACGCGCCAGTCCACCCCGACACGTGGTGGCTGGGCAGTGAGTAAGCCTGCACCACTGATACAACGGGCATGGATGGAATTGATAAGACTTGATTGGGCAAACAGAAAGGCTGCAATCAGCCTCGTCCTTATCCCAACAAGCTGCTATCAGAGCGGTTATCAATGCAGGCTTCTGGTCGTGGAACGTCTTGGTCGTGCACCGAATCAAGATAATGGCATTACATCCGCCATGTGAAGTGTTCCAGTGTTCCGGCCGTTTCAGGCCGTCCACCTGCTGTTATGAAATCATCATTCTCTAGCAGGCCCAAAGTAGCAAGCGATTACCCCTCAAGCCAGGAGTGGATGGTCCGGTCCGAAACAGTCTCACAACCCTCCGCCACCGTGCCAGGTGACTCTGGCCTAACTAGTACTGTCAACTTGTTCTGACGTGTGGGGAAGGGCTAAAAATGGCATTTGAGTCGCGACCTCTTTTGCACTTGAGCATGCACAGGCTTGAGGCAACGCAGGGGCAGTGAGAATGTCTGCCAACGATAGCCCCAAACTCGAAGTAGGACGGTCGCACAAGGAACTCTAGCTTGACTCGTGATACCTGCTATCGCCGAAGCCAGACTGGCCGGGCCCGAATTGGCGAATAGGAACTGCTGCTCAGGCCCCAGGTACATGACAGCAAGTCTTATTTTCCGACGGAGCCGTCAGCTCTTTGCGGTCTGGCTAGATCGAGTCTCCACAAAGCATTGATATCGAGTTCAATGAGCGAGTCTAGCCCACCTACGTGAATAATTCACGGGGCGCGGGCCTTATCTGGTTCCGGCCACGTATGTATGGCGCATGACCCAGGACTTGCTTTCTGCACCTGGGTAATGTGCCGACATCCATGTATTCACATGATCTCGGTGTACACGGTAGTTGAAGCCAAGATCCGTCGCTGTCACGATGCATTGCTTCCTCAACATGTCAGTTCCGGAGCCTGCATGCAATGATCTTTCAGTCCGCGAACCAGGCGGTCCTCTCGCTGCCCACGAGATCACAAGGAGACGGCACGGCATGAATCTGCACCGTAGCTCGCCACATTGCAGCAACGGCGACGGGCCGGCGTGCGCTCATGGTGATCGCAAAGGCCCAACTTGATGGAATCACCGTCGTACAAGAACACCCTGAGGCTGACTCGGCTGGATTTCATTGGCACACGATCAGTTTTATTGTGTAAAAGACCCCGATATCGGGTACATGGCAGTGACCACTTCGACCAGTCGTGGGCGAGCCGATGCAGCAATGAGTCAAGGAATAGGAACCATGCACACATGTACGGTAACACCAACGCAGAAGCAAGCTCAGATGACCAGCATAGCGATCATGCCGTGGGCAAGATAGGCTCGGTCGTGAGGTCTATACAGTATCAGTTGGGAGCCGACTAGGCCTAGCGGCCGATATATACCATCGGATCGGATGGCCATCCGTTCACACCTAATAGGCTTGCCACCTGCTCTTACACTCAGACCCACGAGCACAAGAGGACACGGCTATCTATATAACACAATATGGAGCGAACATGTATACCGGGAGAGGTTCATTGTTCATTGGCATCTTTGTCTGATATTCCATTCTGTTAGTCTATCAGCCTGTTGTTTTATCTTCTGCCTGCATCGCCTATATATAAATATCTTGTCTTGCTTCATCATGGCCTCGTCAATGCTGCATTATTTTGGATTTGGGGCAAACACCAAGCCTGAGGATGGCCCAGCAGTCAAGCAAGAGCCTGTCCGTGCGTTGCCAGCGTCCTGGTACAGCGACGAGAAGTTCTATGAACTGGAGCGGCGGGCCATCTTCTCTCGAAGATGGCTATTTATGACACATCAGTCAAGGCTCAAGGGACCAGGGGACTGGCTGCGCTACAACGTTGCTGGATATGACCTGATCATAATCCGAGACCGTGTTGGCAACATCAACGCATTCCACAACGTTTGCCGACACCGCGCATACCCAGTAATGGAGAAGGAAGGATCCGGGACGGCAATGATTTTGGCTTGCAGGTATGGGTTGTTGAGCTAAATTGAATGAACGGTTGCTGATACGTCTATCACAGATACCATGGCTGGTCCTACGGGTTGAACGGCAAACTTGCCAAAGCTACCGGGTTCAATGACATGGACAAGGCCGAGAAGGAACAGAATGGTCTTTTCCGAATCCACGTCAAGATCGACACCAATGGATTTATATGGATCAACATGGACTCTAATCCCGAGCCCGAGGTGCCCTGGGAGGAGCATTTCGATGGGGTTGACATCCAGGAGAGATACAAGCAGATGAACTTCGACGACTATGACCTGGACCACGTGTATGAGCTGGAGGGCGAGTTCAACTGGAAGGCGCTGTCGGACAACTTCAATGAATGCTACCATTGTCCGACCACACATGCCGACGTTCCCACATTCCTGAACCTCGACTCCTTTGACAGCAACCTCAAGGATGGACACATACAGCACCACTGCGAGTACACCGAGGACCAGCTCAAAAGGGGGCTGAACGCCCTGAGCACCTACTACTTCCCAAACGTTTCAATGACCATCTCGTGAGTTTTGAGTCCTTGAAAACCCCTCAGAGCCCAGTTTCTAACGTTGTGACGTGATGCAAAGACCGCACTTCATGATGATCCAGAAGTTCCTGCCGAACGGTGCAAAGAAGTCATCAATGCATTATGAGATCTACCGCAACAGGAACTCGTCCCAAGAGGATTTCGAGTTCATCAGCAAGACATATGCCAAGGTAATGAGCGAGGACAAGGTGCTGTGCAATAACGCGCAGAAGAACATCAACACGGGCGTTTACGTCACCGGCCAGCTGCACCCGAAGCACGAGAAAGCCCCCATCTTCATTCAGGGTCTTGTTCGGGAGGCAGTAAATGAGCACTTCAAACGCGAGAGGATGGAGGGCCGGGAGATATGGCCGGCGAAACAGCAGCTGCCGGCGAATGCGACGGTGTCGATGGAGGATGAGGAGATATGCCAGGGTATTTCCTGTGGGATGCAGAAGGAAGAGCTTCTAGCATGGTGATGCTGTTCAGCGTGTTGTCTTTTTCACGTGTGCTCGGCGGATGGAGCACACATCATGATACTAGTAGTCTGCGATTGACGACCAGGAGTCTGGGTAGATATTATGTAGGGTGCCATGTAGAATGCCAATCAACACAACTTCATTCCCGATTAGATCAATCACGGCAGACCCTTCTGCCTGTGTCGGGTTAGGGGTGAAAGAAACAGACAACGACGCCAGCGAGTCAAGGGCCATCCTGGCCATCTGAAATCCCAGGTTGCCTCGGCAGCCCTTGGACCCATAACCATGTGCTGTACTAGTCAACTAGTGTAGTAGTGGGCTAGTGGGACTTTACGACGGCGATACGAAGATGGAGCTAAAGTGATCTGTCGATCCTGCGCTGTGAGCTCGACATAAGCAGGCTGTCGGACAGCGGCCACAACCTACACGTGGATCTCACTTTCTTCAGCGGAGGAGGACAAGATGAGCCAAAGAACGGTCTTGATAACAGGGTGAGTTGCGCCGCAGCGGCCGCCCAATCGCATCCGAGGTGAAGTCGCGAGTCGCGTCGTTGCTTTGGTTCGGACGGCTCAAACTTGGAACCCCTTGGTCTGACTTCACGATCCTCTCCAGCTGCACACCCGGTGGTATCGGCCACGAACTATGCGAGGCGTTTCGCGCTCGAGGTACGTATGATCCCCGATGATTTAAGTAGCTACCGAGAGAGATATCTGACGGCGGCGGCCGCTTTGCTACCAGGCCTCCATGTCATCGCCACAGCCCGCAACCCTTCCGTGCTGGCAGGTCTGGCCGACAAGCCTGGGTTCACGTGTCTCCCGCTGGATGTCACCAGCCAGGACAGCATCGACAGGTGCCGAGATGAGGTGGCGAGACTGACGGGGGGCAAGCTCGACATCCTCGTCAACAATGCCGGAAGGACGCACACCGTGCCGGCGACGGACCTCGACATGGACGACGTCCGGGCGACCTTCGAGGCCAACGTCTTCGGCGTCATGGCCATGGTCAAGGCATTCACTCGCCTGCTCATACCCACCAAGGGCCTCATCATTAACCTGTCCTCCGTCTCCTCGATTTCGCCATACCCATTCGGCTCCGCTTACTGCGCCACCAAGGGCGCGATCAACAGCTACTCGCGCACCCTGCGCCAGGAGCTGCGCCCCTTTGGTGTCAGGGTCATGGTCGCCCTGCCTGGCACGGTGAACACCAACATTACGGTCCAGGCTGACCGGCAGCTGCTTCCCGACAGCCTGTACAAGCCCATCGAGGACGTGTACAAGTGGCGCCTGACGTTCAGCAAGCGAAACCCGGGCTCGATCCCCCCTGCCAACTATGCCAACAAGCTAGCGGCAGATGCGCTCAAGCCTGAGTCGCCCGTGATGCTCCGGGGGCTGCTCGGCACCATCGGGCTCTGCAGGCCAGATTGGCATTACTACGGCGGCCTGGCCAAACAGTCGTGGCTTGGGTCATGCGTTGGGGAATGGCTCATGGATACCATCGTCTACCGCATGTTCAAGCTTCCGTTGCTCGAAACCCTCTTGAGAAAGCAGGAGTCAGACGCCAAAAAGCTGAGATAGAGGGGATGCGATTGTTGCATCTTGGTCTGGAGTGCTTAGCAGTCGCCCTGCAGCACAGATTATGGCCTCACTAACACCTTCATCATGGACATCTTATCGTCTAGCAGATTGTCCAACCGAAGGATTTGGAAGCAGGGTTTTATTTCAAGATACTCCTTAGGGCCTGTCTAGATGTGCTTCTACTGTAGTATGTTATCACCTGTGAGGTTGGGGGTTGTTCTCTCCATGGATGGTTCACATAGCTGCCGTAGTATGCGCACTCCCGGACCTGCGAGGCTCAGATAGTTGCCGTGGCCTTTTGGCGGAGCCCTGGGGGAAGGTCTTTATAATTATTGAACATGATTTTCAATATCATTCGAGTGCAAGACTTGGAGTTGCGGATAAGGTCAGAAACCGGCCCCGGGGGTTGACATGTCGAAACCGTTGCCACGCTATCGCATGTTCGATCATCTCGATAAGACCACAATTAATGGGGCCCGTCACTAATCTAGATGTCTTAGCTACAGTTTAAGCTTTTCCGCTCCATTGCCCGGCTGGGTCTTAGCGAGCTGGGAGCATCCATGCGTTTTCCGGTTATGATCACTCGCCAGGAAATCTCTTACGTGATTGAGGCTCCACTGGGGATTTTGTCATTTGATTTACAGTACAGCTAAGCTTTTGTGGGAATCTTCCCGCTGAGGAAGTCCCAGTCGTAGAATTAGGATGAATGAGAAAAGATGCCGCAATTTACAAGATGAATGGCGACATCGAACTCAACCTTTTACCCACGCCTGTCTACCCACCCTGGGGCAGGTGCCACTCTGCCCTGAGTCGCCACCAAACACTGTCGCCCTGCATGGTTCAGTGAGACAAACACCTGACAAGCCAATGGCGGAATGATATATAAACTGAGCTTGCAATCACTCCTCCATTTGCATCGGCTCGCCTGGCCGATCGGCGACAGCTCCACTTGTATCGTTGCATGATCTGTGCGACAATGGCCGACAACGACCGAAACCAGGACGCCTTCGTCAAAGCCACCCCGGCAGTCTCAAAGGCTGCGATCAGCAGCAATGTGGCGGAGGACACAGGTTCGGCCGGTGCGTGTCCTGATGAGGCAGACGGCAAGGCAGACAACCTCTCGTCAGTAGATGATGAAGTCGAGTATGTTCAGGGCCACCCCATCATTCGCAATGGTATGTGACCACTTCGTGTCAGCCCCGTTGCGATGTTCTCAGCGCTGACAGCCCGACGGCAGGCATGGATGTGTCTCGATTTGTCGTGTCAGATCGAGACGACGGTGATCCCGCCTTGACATTCCGCTCGATCGTCCTGGGAACCATCTTCACCGCCCTCTCCAGTGTCATCACCATGCTGTATGTCTTCAAGCCCACGCAGATGCAGGTCTCGGCGGTCTTCTTGCAGCGTATGTGTGCCCTCTCCAACCGACCGGATGTTTAGGCGGAAGCTTGCTATTGACACGGCGCTGCGTAGTTCTGGTCTTCATCTTTGGCGAAGCATGGGCGCTAGCAACACCCCGTCCGGAACGGTTCAGCTCCAAGTGGCTGCAGACCATTCTCCGATTCCTCAACTTTGGCCAGCCATTCGGTATCAAGGAGCACGTTGTGGCCTCCCTCATTGCCTCCTCCGGGAACAACGGCCTGTCCGGTGTTGAGATATATGCTGTGGAGAGGTTGTTTTACGACAGGGCAGTTTCTGCCTCGACAGCGATCCTCGCGACGTTCTCCATCTCGTTGTGTGGGTTCGTTTTGGCCGGTGTGCTGAGGCCGCTCATCGTCTACCCTGCGGAGATGGTCTATTGGTCAACTCTGCCACAGGTTGTGCTCTTCCAGAATCTGCATTTCGATCGGATCGCGAACAGGGGCCGACTTATCAAATTTGGTACAGCTTTGGCCGTTGCCGCCGTGTGGGAAATCTTCCCGGCGTACATTGTAACCTGGTTCGGAGGCATCTCGATCTTCTGTTTGGCTTCCATGAACGCCCCGACACATACCCGGACTGTCATGTCCACCATCTTTGGTGGGGCATCGTCAAATGAGGGCATGGGCCTTCTGAACTTTTCGCTCGACTGGCAGTACATCCAGAGCACATACTTGTCGCTCCCGTTCAAACAGCAGCTGAATTCGTGGATTGGCTACGCAATCTGGTATATAGCCATGCCGGCGCTTTTCTATAGCAATACCTGGGGTGCTAAGACTTTCCCATTCATGTCGACGTCGTTGTTCGCGAGCAACGGCACGAGGTGGCAGACAACAGCAATCCTGGACGAGCGCGGTACAATCGACTTCGCGAAGCTGGATGTTATTGGCCTGCCGCACATGACGTCCAGCACAGTCTGGGGCTACTTCACGTCGAGCCTGGCGATCGGGGCTTTGATAACTCATGTGATCATATTCTACGGCAAAGACATGATCGAGGCATGGAAACAAGCCCGCAGCCGTACGCAGCCCGACATACACTATCAGGGCATGCTAAAGTACAAGGAAGTGCCAATGTGGTGGTACCTCGTGCTGTTCGGTCTCACCTTTATCGCAGGGCTGGTTGTCAACATCAAGGGCGACACCACACTCCCTGTCTGGGGCTACATTGTGTCTCTCCTCCTTGGTGCTTTTATAGCCCCATTCTCTTGCGTTCTTTATGGACTGTACGGCACAGGAGTCGGGACCAACCAGATCTCCAAAATGGTCGCGGGCGTCGTGCATCCGGGCAGGCCGCTTGCCAACCTCTACTTCGCCAGCTGGTCCCACCAGGTCATTCTCCTGGCTGTGAACCTGGCGAACTGGCTCAAGGTCGGCCAATACACGAAAGTACCGCATCGGGTCATGTTCGGAACCCAGATATACGGAACCCTCCTCGGTGCAGCCCTCAACTACGTCGTCATGACCACGATCGTGACCAACGAGCGCGAGGTGCTCCTCGACCCGGTGGGCACCAACGTGTGGAGCGGCTCAACGGTGCAGAGTCTCAACTCGCAAGCCATCACATGGGCGCTAGCAAAGGACATGTACGGCTTGGCAGGGCGCTACGTGATCGTGCCGCTTGGCCTGCTCATCGGAGCGGCTTTCCCGGTGCTGCACTGGGGCCTGATCAAGGTATTCCCACGCATCCGTCAGTGGCCCATCAACACGACCATCATCTGCTCGTTCGCCGGGCAGGTATACTACGGCAACACGTCCTGGATCTGGTCTTCCATCGCTGTCGGTGTCTTTTCGCAGCTCTACCTGCGCCGCCGACTGCCCCGGATTTATAACAAGTACAACTATCTGATTGGCGCAGCACTTGATGGAGGCTCGCAGGTGGTCATCTTTATCCTCTCTTTTGCAGTCTTCGGCGCGAGTGGGACAGAGCGACCATTCCCAAGCTGGTGGGGCAATCCCAGCGATACCAATCCCGATCATTGCATTTAGTATGTAGTGCTGTGAAATGCCAAATAGTTGGGCAGTGTCCTTTATCTAGGCAAAATGAAACCCGTGGACCCACCGTGCTTAGAGGGTCGAAGCAATCCCTCCCACCCTCCTTATAGTCACCAGCCCGAAGCCACCAGTTGACCTCTCAGACATCAGTCCTTGGCTAGGCTCGCTTGAAGTTGGACTCTTTTGAGAGACATGGCTGGTTGAGGGATGCCAAGGACGATCTGTGTAATAAAGGGGCCATCAGATTGCTTGACCCAGTGTTGAATATTCGTCAATGATACTTACGTTACCGGGCCGGCAGGTGGTCCCGAGGTCGGGCCGCTGCTCGATTTCCAAGGTTGTCTGCTGGTGGCACAGCATTGGAACCTTTACAATTGAGCAGGATTACCCTAACCCTACAAGGGAATGACTCAAATTCAACGAGATCCCATTGCAGCCTGGGCCATCGCTGCTTCTTGCTGTTGTGCCCTCACTCACGCCCCTCTACCCACACTTGCCAAGGTCCTTGAAACACTATCTCAACCAAAAACAACCGACTCCCTTTCGAAATGAAGAGATTGGCTAAGGCGCTGAGAAAGTTACGCCGCAAGTCAGGGTCACAAGCCATGTCGGCCACCGCAGCCAGCAATGCAGGCCCAGACGAGCTTACAGTTGCACCCGATGCAAAGGACTCGGACACAGAAGTTCAGAGCTGTGATAGCGGCATAGAAAGATTGCCACCCGAGATTCGCCGTCATATTCTTTCCGCTATGGACCTTCATTGCCTGAAAGCGATCGTCCATGCCGCCCCTGCTTTCCATCAACAGTATCTCCACGATCGCAGATATCTACTCAGCACTGCCTTACAGGTAACCCTGGGAAGTGTCAGCCTCGATGCCTACATCGTGCAGAAGGCCATGGCTGTGCAAGACTCGGAGGGCAGACAAGAACATATCACTGGGCTGCTAGACATGTGGCAGGAACGACTACCACACAGTCTATCGTTCCGGCTCACTGGTACAATCACTGAAGCTGAAGCGGTAGATATGGCCTCTTTTTACTTCCAGACCGCAGCCCCGGTCACAAGATGTTGCATGGACAAAGCTCTGACGGACCTGGTTTGCCAAATCGGAGAAATCACCCATACTAAACCAGCTTCACAGCCCAAGCCCAGCAACATCGAATGGCAGAGATGTCTACGGGCTGCCTACCGATTTCAACTACTGTGTTGTACGGCCAAATATCAGCCAGGATTTGTCGGCGAAATACCTATAAGTTATGCTACTCGTATCATATACACACCAGAGCCATGGGAGACCGAAGAGCTAGTCTCCTTCTATCAGTTTGCTACAGTTATCTACGGTAGTGTCATGAATAGCATCGTGTCATACATGCAATTACACCACCCGCATGATCTAAGATCTGATGCCCAAGAGGGAACAGCTTTGTTTGACGACCAAGAGGGAACAACTTTGCGCGGAGGTCTGGACCTCCTACGTACCGTCTTCATTAGTCTCCCTGGTTTCGCTTCTATTCCGCATACGCATATGGGGGACATGTATCGCGCCCTCATACGGTGGCTCAGAAGTCTCAAGCCTGATGAACGAGAGACGCTGTTGAGCGAAATGAAACGCAGTGTCTTCTTATCATACATGCTCCTCGGCACCTTTGAAGACATCAATCGACTGATCCTCAATATCGAGCAGCAAGAACGGCGTCAGCAAGGACCATCAAACAGGGACAAGCTTACAGATGAGCGTGCCCCGCTGCCATTCCGAGGAGATTGTCTATGCGGTCCACCAGTAGCGTGGGCGACCATCTGGGGTGAGACATATAGTAACCTGATTGGCATGTATATACCTGCCAAGATGCGGCAATGGGGTTATATTTTCTGGGATGCGGATAGGATGCAGGCGCATGGCTGTATGGATGTGCTGAGAAGGCAGTGGGCGGAGCGCTGGGATGAGGATCCGAGGGAGTCTCTGCACTGAGAGGTACAGGCCTATCATATTAGTAGTCACAGTTCAATGGCTATTCATAATTATACAACTTGCCACAAAGCTCTTGGCGAGTAGTCTATCAGACAAGTCGGAAACATGCATCCATGGCACGTTCAGCTACTTGAATGTAGCTAGGTAGCAATCGCTTCAAATGCTAAAGTGAAAGGCGGAGCAGGGCCACCAACTGCGAACAATAACCACTGTCGGATTCTAGCCGTTGTCCAGATCTTTCGAGTCACGGTCAGGGTGGTTCACTGGGACCACAGGGACCCTTCTTCCTGCCACACTCAGGTAATTCTTTTATATGTGATATGTGGACTCCTGTTCGAGCCCATCCTGCGACATGGCTCCGAAGAGGTACAATCATTGAAACGACAAAGAATGTCGACCAGGAAGCGCAAAGCAACGACCCAGGGCACTTACGACTCACCACCTATGCCGGCACCTCGAAGGCCTCGCCTAACAGCAAGTTAACCGTGCTACCTTTTTCTTTTTTTAAATTTTTTTAAGAAAAAGAAAGTAATTCAAACTTAAGAAACCAAACCAACAGTGGAGCACCAAACATGTCACGCGAATCGGGCCACCAGTACTGAGTACTGGACGAGGCGCAAGGGGAGCGTGCGCAAGGCCCTCCATGATCTGCTCCTCGACCAGCATCAACAGTCGGCGAGATGCGTACCTAATCCGAGCTGCGTGGCATGACCCAGACATCTGAACCCTGGCGAGAGGTCCGTAGCTTTCTAACAATGGAATTATGTGCTTTTCTTCTTTCTTTCGGTAGATGTGACATTTTGCTGTCACAATATGCATGCATGATCGGGCTCGGGCGTACACTTGAGCACCGCACCGCCAGCGGTCACATAACGGGGGTGAACATCCTCGAGACGGCCGTCCGACGAAGGAGGAAAGAACCAGGATTGCAGATCCGAACCGATTGAGCAGCCGGGAATGGGTATCAAATTGAAGCGTGTCATTCCAGTGGGATTCCCAACGTCGAACGCCCACATGGGGGACCGGAGAAGACCATATCCGGGATACGGGAACCAAATCCACAGCATAGCAGTCTTTAGCGCCTATTCCCGTAATTCCGTCGCCTAAAGCTTAGCACGTTGGCTATCCAAGCGAACCCCCGCGAAGCTTGGTTGGCGATCTCCAAAGAGTCCTGTCATGTCCGGTGGGGAAGAAGAAGCAGATAGGAAAGATGGAGAGAGGAGGGCTTTACAGGTAGACATTTTTTCTTTTATTTTATTTTATAAAAGGAAAATTGAAGAAATAGACAAGAAATCAAAGCGAAGGAAGAAAGAGATCAAGTGTAACAAGCCGACCTCTGATCTCCAACCAGCCCATCTCCCCCACCCCCCTCGCCTCCCACAACGGCGGAGCGTTCGTTCGCCTCTGAGCAAGCTCCTGGGCGGGGCATGGTTAATCCCGAGGAACGTGGAGAGGGCGAGACTAATAAACTCCACGGTAGGCGGTACCCCAGGTAGGGAAAGCACCTTGGGGAATTGCCGCGATGGACACCTCTGGCTGGGGGGAGAGACAGGGTGGGGAAGGACTCGGAAAGGTGGCTCAAGAGGCTTATAACTTTTGGAGCGGAGCGGGTATTATCTTGAGGTTGACTAACGGGACTCGCTCTGCTTACATGACGATGATGAAGCCGACGATGAAACCTGCCGCGAGATAGTTACTGATCGATGCCCGGGTTGGTTCGCAGCACAGCACAGCATGCTGCATCACACACATCACCGTCCTTGACATCTATTTCACCGGCCAGAATACACACACAGATCTTCCCCCCCTCCAACCACCCATCACCAGCAACAAGCCATGCAAGAATTCGAATACAACGCCAACCCGGGCCGCGTCCTCTTCGGCCGCGGCACAATAGCAAAGCTCCCGGCCGAGCTATCCCGGCAGTCCCTCTCGCGGCCCCTGCTCCTCACGACCCCGGAGCAGACCAGCCAGGGCGAGGACCTCAGGACGCGCGTGCTGGACAACAAGGTCGCAGGCGTCTTCAACAAGGCGACCATGCACACGCCGACCAGCGTGACGGACGAGGCCCTCGCGCACGCCCGCTCCACCGGCGCCGACTGCGTCGTCTCCATCGGCGGCGGGTCGACCATCGGCCTGGGCAAGGCCATCAGCATCCGCACGGGGCTCCCGCACATCTGCATCCCGACGACGTACGCGGGCAGCGAGATGACGCCGATACTGGGCGAGACGGCCGACGGCACGAAAAAGACCCGGTCGGACCCAAAGATCCTCCCCGGGACCGTCATCTGTAAGCATCACTTTTCACCTTTTACAAACCCCCGTCTTTCATGTTTTGGAATGTTCTAGAATACAATACTTTAGGACCCATAGCAGGACTAACTTCACCACCAGACGACGTGGACCTGACCCTAACGCTTCCCTCGGGCATGAGCGCCGTCAGCGGCGTCAACGCCATCGCGCACGCCGTCGAGGCCCTGTACGCGCGCAACACCAACCCCATCATCAACCTGCTCGCCGCCGAGGGCACGAGGGCCCTCGCCTCGGCCCTCCCCGCCATAGTGGCCGACCCGTCCGACGCCGAGGCCCGCTCGGGCGCCCTCTACGGCGCCTGGCTCTGCGGGACCTGCCTCGGCAGCGTGGGCATGTCGCTGCACCACAAGCTCTGCCACACCCTCGGCGGCAGCTTCGGCCTGCCGCACGCCGAGACCCACACCGCCGTGCTGCCCCACGCGCTGGCGTACAACGCGCCGCGCGTGCCCGAGGCCATGGCGAAGCTGGCCGAGGCGCTGCCGGGGAGCGAAGGGGACGCCATCCGGGGGCTGAACGTGCTGCTCGAGAAGCTGCAGGTGAAGAGGGGCCTGAGGGAATTTGGTTTCAAGGAGGAGGATGTCGACAAGGCGGCGGACATGGCCGTCAGCAACCCGTATTGGAACCCGCGTGAGATCGAGAGGGGCCCGGTGAGGGAGTTGATCCGGAGGGTATGGGCGGGCGAGCCCGCCAGGGCTGATTTGTGAGCGGCTCTCGCTTATTACTAGTAGTCGGACGAACCAGGGCAGGTCTCACAAGCGTTACCTCCATCCGGGGATTCCGCACTTGTGCTAGGTTTCGGCGGCTGAGGCTCACGAGGGCTTTACAGATACACACGCCCGCTCTCTGTATAGGCAAACAGGATAAGCAGGGTCTTACCGGCGCTGACTGGACCCACGCTATCGCTTTGGCGAACCTGGTGATGGGCATGACAACCTTGGAGGAAAGCTGGCAGACTCGAGGTGCGACTGGGAATAGTTGCACCAAAATGCACAGACCGCATACATAATCCGTTCCTTCGACCCCGTCGCAGGATTGCAACCCCAAATCACGTATTCCAAACAGCACTGTCTAGTATGCCCTGACATCTCAGACTTGTGCGATTCAGGTAGAATGCGCCCCGCTTGCTGCTCTGCCCTGGCCGTGAACTCTGCGCCCTACCAGCAGATGGAGTGATCACAGACTCCCCCGGAAGATAACTTTACCCGGCTCGTCACGGCAGCCTCACTCCCAAACGGCGCCTGTGTCGGAGAAGGATGTGTTGCTTATGCTGCGCGGTCATGCACAGCCGCCTGCGGTTGGTCGACCCGATCTGGGAGGATTCTCGCCCCGGACCCTGCGCCCTTCCGCATGGTCTAGCGCCCCAGACGGTGGGATACGCACCCAGGGAACCGGTCCCCGGCTAGCAGCCCGCCCTGGGTGGGATCCTGAAAGCTTGTGGACCGTGACACAGCAGGCAGGGCGAGTGGCAGTTGAGACTCAGAGTCTGCCACCTAGTAACGTCGCAATACTGGCAGATCATGTAGACAGACAACGACGACCTGGCGTGGGTGTCAGCTTGCTAATCTTCTGCAACTGCATGTATATCAATCACCTTTGCGAGATGCATCGGCCAGGCGGATACTCCGTAGGCTGCCCGCTGCCTACGCCCGAGGAGGATGCGGTCCCAATTTGGATGCTCCCCCCACTCGGGCCAGCGCACTAGCACGCTTTGGAAAAGCGCCAGGCGTATTCTAGCGTCTAAGCTGACCTAGACGTGGACGCCCTCCCGGATTCCCAATCGTGACTCCAGCGCTCCTCGATCCCTCGATTTCAACGGCAGGTCAAAACCCAACCACCTCCTGTGAAGATGAGAACAAGTCAAGGCCGTTTTGCTGTATTGCGTCAAGATATTGTCGCCGGTCTCGCCTCCGGACTCTTCTGACAGAGGCGTGCATCGCTTGGGCGATCTGTCACACCCCTCTGATTCTTGTTCTGTTCCGGGGCGACAGGCCAAAGGCACAAAAAATGGCGACAACACCAGCAAGCCCAGCGTCCAGCCTTGCCTCGGCCTCGCAGCAACTGGTGGGCACATGGGCAACATCTGACGACTGGATCAAGTTCCGGCCCATAATCACCCAGCACTACCGGGACGAGAACATGAAGCTCAAGGAGCTCATATCGTTCATGGACAAGACGTACGGGTTCCGGGCGACGTGAGTGTACTCCAACCCTGTCATCCACCGGCGCGCGGGGAGGGGGGCTCGGTCATGCTGATGGCACATCGCAGGGCAAAGATGTACAAGGACCGCCTGACCAAGTGGCGCATCTCCAAGAACGTCAGGGCCAGCGACATCACGACCATCGTGAAGAAGGACGACGCCGCGGGCGGCGATGCGTCCGGCCCCGAGTTCTACAAGGTGGGCGACCGCCTCATCCGGGCCGACCGGCTGCAGCAGGCCATGCAGAGGAGGGCCACCGTGGCGCGGCGAGCGCTGAAGAACGACACCAAGACCCGGGACAGCACGAGCACGAGCGCGAGCACGAGCATAAGCCCGAGCCCTGGCTGGGACGCACTTGTGTCGGGCCCACTGTCGCCGTGGGACGTGTCCCGGTGCACGACGCCGCTGTCGCCGCAGGTCAGCCTGCCAGACAACCTCCGGATCCCCGAGAGCATCCTGCTGCACAGCAGGGGCTACGTGCTCGGCACGTTCGAGAGCATCAAGGTGGACGGGGCGCTGGTGGACCTCAGGCACGAGGGGCCGGTGCACCGGTGCCGGATGGCGTTCGAGGAGACGCTGGCCAACCTCAGCCTCGTGTCGGGCCTGGACAGGGTGGCGTTCAAGTCGCTGGACGGGGCGTTCGACCTGATCAGGCCGTGCCTGCTGGACCGGGACCCGCAGTTCATCGTGGTGTTCATGCAGATCATGTCGCTGTGCCTCTGGTTCAACAAGCCGGACATCATGCAGATGCTGGTGTCGTACCTGCACGACCTCAGCCGGGTGGTGCTGGGGCCCAAGCACCCGATCACGCTCATCTGCCGGGACCTGAAGCTGGCGGACGTGGAGGCGAGCCGCAGCATCTGCAAGCTGGCGGCGGAGGCGGCGTGGCACCAGTTCCGGGGGTACCTGTACCCGTTCAAGGTGGACTCGTTCGTGCGGCTGACGGGGACGTACGCCGACATCCTCGACTCGCTGCGGCTCAACGACGAGCGCGAGGCCTTCCTGCGGTACGTGGTCTCGTCGTGCGACCCCGGGACGGTGCCCGTGGAGCAGCGGCTGCACCTGGAGCTGCACCTGGTCATGTGCCTGCGGCGGCAGAACAAGTTCCCCGAGGCGCTGTCGCGGCTGGACCAGATCCGGCAGGACATCATGGACAACGAGCCGATGCTGATGCGCGAGAGCGAGGAGCGCTGCGTCGAGCTGACGTACCAGGCGCTGCGCATCAACGGCATGTGCGAGTGCGACGGGGGCGACGCCGACAAGGGCAAGGGCTTCTTCAACGAGGCCTTCCAGCTGATGCAGGAGAAGAAGGGGCCCTACAGCCCGAGGACGACGAGGGCGCTGCGGGACCTGATCCGGTATAGTGGCCATGACGAGGAGCTCATCCGGGACCTGGAGGACCGCCTGCAGCGCTTCAGCCTCGAGACGGACAACTTTTTGTGAGGGGGCTTGGTCTGCGTGCAGAGAGGAGATGAAGAGGATGGAAAAAGGTGGGAGGGCGGTTGACCATGGGCAGTTGGAGCAGCTCATTCCCAGATTGTTGCTTCCAAGGTGCAGTCAGGCAGTCCACCCATCAGCTCCTTCCCCGGCAGTCAACACGCTGCATCAGCTTCGGAGCTCTGCCCTCCAACAGCAACGCAACAGCTGATCTGGACTGCTCCGATCCTACCCACATCCAAGCACTCTCTCCACACTTCAGAGAAGACTACGTCAACGCCACGAGCACGGTACAAGGGATGTTCAGAAGCACCCGCACCAAGATTCGAGCAGACAAGTGGCGGAGGCTATCGGATCGAAACCGAGACGATCTAGATGGATACCACAAGCCGTGAAGGAGCTTGGGCAAACGGACTATAGGGAAAAGAGGATCCAGATGGACTTAGACTACTGCCTGAATGGCCCGCTTGGTAAGTTTGAAACGAAACACAGCCCCGATCATCTACCTAGTTACACTCCCACCTAACCAACCTTCACAGCGAACAACCCCCTAAATAAACCACGAACATCTCCAAACCAAACACATGTCAACCAGCAGGGCGAGACACTCAAGAAAACAGCGGCCATCGATCCCCGTTACTCTGTGAAGACCCCTTCAAGACAGAGCCCCACGAACAATTGAGTTTAGCCACAGGCTGGACGTTGGGGTCATTGTTCCAAACTTTCATGTCACGATAGCGAGTCGCAGCATCATACGCTCTCAAGATAGGCGTGGACTAGAGACGGGCTGGCGAGGAGAGTGTTCTCGGCGCCAGCAATACGCGAGGGGAGACACGAAGCGAGCGAACCGTGACCACCCCCCCCCCTCAACCTTTTTGAGTGACCGAGAGAGAATTCACGGAGCTGGTTTGGGGAGATTGTGAGAGAGGAAACTGCTGGATGTGTGGCATCCCAATACAATGCAATTAAGCTCTACGGAAGAGATATCATGGGAAGGAGATTTACACTCAATTGGCCCAATTGGCTGCGCCCAGGTCATCAATGATGTCTTCAAAACGATGCAAGGCTTGAGAGCCTCCGCAGCTCCCTCTGTGGACACCACCACGGTAGGAGTTCGGGCAACGAGCACTGCCCAGACGTCGCACTAAGGAGCTCGCGTGGTCACGGGGCAGATTCCACGTGCGAACTTGATTCGTAGGTAGACTCGTCCTAGTCAACAAGTCCTTGTACCGTTGTCCACTGGGAGGACGGTGGCACAAACACAGCCCCCTTTGCTCCCCCGCGAGCCATGGGCGGGCTCTGAGACAGGCAGACAGGGCGGAACTAATGAGCGATTATTGCAAGCGAAGGATGGCGCTAGGACAGGCGAGACATGGAGCACCTGACCGAGACAATCAACCTGCCTCGGCAGCTCGGTAAGGCAGAGACACAGGCACGATCAGCCTGTTGGAGGGCCTGAGGATAGTCTAGCTACACGCCAGATGGGCGGAACAGAGGCCGTCGCTATTGTGGACATGTTGCTCGGGCGTTTGTGGCGGTAGAATGGTCGAGTCAGCGCTACTCGGTACTCAGCATTGAACAAAACAACAGTAACTAACGGTGGCTGAGCCTCCGGTGCAGGACGTCATTCGAAGGATTTACCCCGGATAAGCATAGCTTCCCCGGCGAAGGACGGCCATGTTGTGTTGTGTTTGGTGTAATTATTATATATCAGAAGTGTCAGTCCATTTCATGCCCATCTCATGCCCACCATGTGCCAACAAGCTTTCAGGACATGTTCCAGATGTTCTAGAAGGTAGTGCTCAGGTTCCAGAGTCTACCCCGCATTGCCAACCACCCACCACCCCCTAGCCTCCAGGCTGGACCCCTACAGTTCGTCGCCCAAGCTGCAGCCTGCAGCTGCATCACTCACTTGACAGCTTGATAAACCCAAAGAGACCCCGCATTCCCCAGTTGCCCAGCACAGGGTCCCTGCCCAGCACCCAAGCTCCCGCCAAGATCACCCCCAAGGTGGAGTCGAGATGCCCTCGCTGTTCAAGTCAAAGGCAAAGTCCGAGGCCAAGGCCAAAGACGACATCCCTCCCCAGCCAACACACCGTCCCAATGACAACAATGCCCAAGATGTCCCTCCCGCGTACACCCAAGACGTCGTCGACATAACCGCCGCCTTCTCGAGCCTCAACATCTCGCCCACGCCCCACGACCCCACCGACGAGACCTGCCTCGCCCACCTCAAGCTGCTCTATGCCGTCCAGTCCCTCAAGGAGGATGTCGGCTACACCGACGGCCTCTGGGGCATCTGGGATACCCGCGCCGAAGGCCCCGGCTCGGACATCGAGGTGGACCTCCGCGACGGCCGGGGCCACCTCCCCGAGTCTGCTGCCGCTGGCCCAAGGGCAGACAAGACAACCGCAACGCCTTCCGACCTGCAAAAGATCCGCCTGAGCAAGATCCGCGAGAAGAGGTGGGCCCTCTTTGTCGCCCGTGCCGTCGACCGCTACGAGGCATGGTGGAACACCTTCCCCAGGACGATGCTGACCGAGGCCGACATGGTCGAGGGGTCTGGGGCAAAGTACCACGACTTTGTCAACGAGACGGCGTACCTGCGTTGGACCGAGGACATGCTGCCCCCGCTTGACGTGCTGATGGTGTAAGTCCACAATGATCAGAGTATTTAGACCAGAGCCAGGGATGCTGACCCGAGTCCAGGTGGCACGCACACATGCTCAACCCACGGGCCTACCTCGAAGACACCCTCCGCTGCGGCCTGTCCTCCCTCTGGGCCACCGGCATGCCCTGGGCCCTCGTCTCCTCCGCCGTCGACACAGACTTCAACTATAACGTATCGGACCAGACAAAAGCATCCTGGGTGGCCAACACCGGCCGCGACTGGGACAACGCAGACGATGCCACGACCAAGCACATCAAGTGTCCCGCCTGCAAGGTCCCCGTGGAGCATCCGTGGACCACCTGCGGCGCACCCGAGAAGCCCAAGACACCCGCCGTCGGTGGCTTGGTGGGCTCCGGCTATGGCGACGGCCAGTTCCTCCGCCCGTGCCCGTCCTGCCGCATACAGATCGACAAGGAGCTGCTCTCTGTTGCCAAGTTCAAGAGGGATGCTCTGTCCCTGGTCGTCAACTCCATACCCATGCCCGGCACCATCCTCGACCCCATCAAGGGGAGCCCGGACCCGGTCCCAGCCAGCGCCCTCGGCCGCGGCTTCCCCAGGACCTTCCCCAACCGGCTGGTCGCCAGGAAGCTCTTCGTCAAGGTTGCGGGCCTCATCCAGCCTGGCACGTCACCACGCCCCACAATGGAAAACATACGCGACCTGATCGAGAAGATCCTGCGCGACGCCACCGCCCGGCTGGAGGTCGAGGGCCAGCTCGCCGACGGCCGCGGCAGGATCGGCACGGTGGCCAGGATCTGTGTCCGCAGGATGATGTCGCGCTACTGGGAGAACTTCAGCCCCTTTGCCCTGGACCTGGGCGGCGCCGTCATGAGGCAGGGCGTCTTCACCGCCAAGATGCACCAGATCGACTGGCTGCACAGCCCGGCGTGCCGCGAGACCATGGCCCGGCTGATCAAGAAGTACGAGCGGTTCGTCTCCCTCATGGCCGACAACCCCACCAGAACGTGCGTCCCGACCCTAGACGTAGACCTAGCCTGGCACACCCACCAGCTGTCCCCAAGCGCCTACTACGCCTACACCACCGCCCGGACGGCCAAGTTCATCGACCACGACGACAAGATGGACGAGGACAAGCTGTCCGAGTGCTTCGCGTGGACCGTCAAGGAGTACCAGGCCCGCTACGGCGTCGTCTACAGCGAGTGCACCTGCTGGTACTGCGAGACCGTGCGGGCGGCCACCACAAACACCGTCGGCCGGGCCCTGGGCATGTCGGACCAGGACAAGGCGGCCGAGAGCTTCCACGCCTCGGGCCAGGCGCGGCTCTGCCCGCCCGACAGGAGCGCCCACATCTCGTCGCACAACGCCGTGCGCGCGCCCCCCGCCGCCTCCTCCGTGAGGGACAGGCTGGCCGCCCACGCCCGCGACAGGAAGTACCAGCAGCTCGAGCTCAGCTACCACAAGGCGTGCCGCAGGGCCGAGAGGAAGGGCCGGAAGCTGCCGCCCCGCGACCAGTACTACGACCACTGGGGCTACTCGTACTACATGTACGGCCCGTTTATGTACCCCATGTACTTCACGCCCGGCATGTACTACGGCTGGGACCCCGGGTACGTCAGCTCCGGCGGCTGCGAGGGCTGGGCCGCGTGCGCCGCGGGCAGCTGCTCGGCGGGCGTGTCGTCGGGTGCGTGTGGCGGGGCGGGGGGGTGCGGTGGTGCTGGGGTGAGTCCGTCTTCTTTCCTTTGTACTTCCCCTGATAGATGCCGAGGAGAAGTTCCTTGTGTTGTCTTCTCTGTGCTGACTGTTTCGCAACAGGTTGGTGGTTCGTGCGGTGGTGGAGGAGGCGGAGGCGGCTGTGGAGGCGGTGGAGGAGGAGGAGGTGGTGGTGGTAAGTTTCCCTGACCCCGTGCGTTGGATTGCAGCAGAAACTTGGAGACTGACTTTGCCTCGATCAGGCTGTGGTGGTGGTGGCGGCGGCGGCGGCTGTGGTGGAGGAGGATCTTGATGGCTTGAATCAAGATGGAATTGCCCTGATGAGATGAGATACCCTTGCTGTGTTGAAATGGTGCTGAGGTTTCCTGTAGCCACTGAATGATTGATGCGACCCTGAGAGATTATAATGGCACTTATTTGACTCGATCCGACGCGTCTTGGTGTGGAGGTTAATACACGCTGAGACGTGTCAAGGTAGACATTAATTGACATGTTCTTCAGCTTTTCTTGAAGCCTTCGGTGTGGTTTTGGGTTCAACGCACGAAACATCTGGCTACTCATCTCCGCCGAAGGCCTCGGAGTCGACGGCTTCATCCCGAGCCTCCGGCCGGCTTTGGGTCGGGGCCTTGGCCCGCTCGACCCTTGCTGCCAAGCATCCGAGTCCATCTACCCGCAGGCCGGCGCGCACGCGGGATATAACAAGGGACCGGCCCTTCTCGACACGCACGGCATCGCAAGCCCATATTGAGAAACGATCGGGTGATGATCCATATCTGCCCAACTACATAATTGGGCAGCCTGACCACAGAAACACCATGCATCATCATCACCGCCCTTTAACCCTCTGGGCAAAACGCCTCCCCCGGCACACAACATGCCAGGCCTTGCCCCCAACAAGACAGATGATCTCGTTGTCCTCCTCCCCCTCCCACCCACACAGACACAGACAATCCTCCCTCCCAGCAGCCTACTACCGCGGCGGGACCTCCCGCGCCGTCTTCTTCCGCGCCTCGGACCTGCCCGCCGACCGCGGGGGGTGGGCCGCCCCCTTCCTGGGCATCATCGGCAGCCCGGACCCTTCCCACGGCCGGCAGCTCGACGGCCTGGGCGGCGGGGTCTCGAGCCTGTCCAAGGTGTGCGTCGTCGGCTGCCCGTCGTCGGCGGGGGCGGACGTCGCGGACGTGGACTATACCTTTGCCGCGGTGGGGGTGCGGAACGCAAGCGTGGACTTTTCGAGCAACTGTGGGAACATGTCTGCTGCTGTTGGGCCGTTTGCTGTTGATTGTGGGATGGTGAGGCCTGTGGCTGGGGAGTGTGAGGAGGTTGTCGAAGACGTCACGGTGCGCATCCACAACACCAACACGGGCAAGATCATCCACGCCACCTTCCCCGTCATCCTCGGCAGCGGCAGCAAAGAGCCCGAGGCCGTCGCGCACGGCGACTTTGCCATCGACGGCGTCGCGGGCACGGGGGCCCCCGTCCGGCTGGACTTTATCCGGCCCGCCGGGTCGCGGACGGGGAAGCTGCTCCCCACGGGGGGCGTGGTTGATACCTTTGACTTCGAGGCGGGGGGGCCGGGGGGTGGGAATGTCAGCATCAGGGCGACGTGCGTCGACGTCGCGAACCCGTGCTGCTTCGTGGGTGCTGCGGACCTCGGGGTTGACGGCCGGATCAGCCCTTCGGAGATGGAGGAGGACCCTGGCCTGATGGGGACGCTGGAGCGGGTGCGCCGGCTTGCTGGGGTGAGGATGGGGCTTGCTGAGGCGGTGGGGGACGTCCCTGGGAGTGTGCCTAAGATTGCGATTGTTTCTCCTTGCGAGGAGGAAGGGAAGGGGAAGGGGGAAAGTGTTGTTGCGCGCGCGATGTCGGTGGGCCAGCCGCACAAGGCGATCCCCGTCACGGTCGCACTTGCTCTTGCGGCTGCGGCCAAGCTGCCTGGGAGTGTTGTCTCTGAGTGCGTGAGTGGTGAGCCTGGGGAGGACGGGCTGGTCATACACCATGCGAGTGGGACGCTGCGTGTTGATGCCGAGTATGATGGGGACGGGGAGCTTGAGAAGGCTACTGTTTTCAGGACGGCGAGGCGGCTGATGGAGGGGAGGGTGTTCTGGAAGTAACTTGATAGACTAGACAAACGAAAGACATAAACTGAATCAGGGATTTCCCCCTCTACTTCGTGTATCTGCGCAGCACAGCGGAGCTCTTCTTGCCTGCAGTTCGTATCAGACGGGGTCCGCAGGTTATATCCCCAGTTGTACTTCCGTCTGAGCAATCCCAAGGCAGAATATCACAAAAGCCACCATAAAGCTCCCCACGGCAAAGCCACTCTGGATGTCACCACGTGCAATCGACCAGGCCATAGCGAACACCAGCGCAAATAAGAAGCCAACACACCCATAGCAAAACAACACCGACCAGTCCACCCCTTCGGTGAATCGCACCCCCCACCCAACGGCGCTGCCCTTGTCAGGGCATGCTGCCAGCCTATCACCGAGCTTCTTTGGGATCTTCCTGTACATAAATGGCTCCACGTCGGCATGTGTGGGGTTTTGGTACAGGTGCATCAGAAGGTTGGTCCCGATCGGTGGATTCAGCTCGGCCGGCAGGGGGTTGTAGGTGTAATTCATCTTTGCCTGGTCTTGGTCATCTCGGTCTGGCACAGACGGGCAGTCGTGTACGTCAATTAGCTCGTTCTTGTAAACCTCGAACTAACATATTGCCGGTCAGTCTTTCCGCAGTTTCTGTCATTGGGGTGTGCAATATATCTCCGGATATCTAATCATGGGGTTGGGCAATGGTCTGGCCAGAAGCTGGGGTAAAAGCCAAGATCTTTTGCTATAAAACTTGGAGGGCTTTTGAGATTTCTCACCTTGACAAACTCCATCGAAACAACCCGACGAGGCCGCGTAAGAGATGACCATCTCCTTGATCGACACGCGAGTGAGTATTGTTCTCGCAGCGACAAGAAGAAACTCTGATCCGATCGCACATTACACGTGTCGATTTGATACAGCTTCTTTGCCCACCGCATGAAGGGAAGGCATAACAAAACACGGGTGTGGTTGTCCTGCCTGTTTGCTGTTGTACGGGAGCAGATCCGCAGTTCTGTGTCTCCTGCGTTCTGTCTTGTCCATGGGAGGCGGGGATCCCGTTGGCGGCGATTCAGGAAATATTCCCACAGGTTCATTCGACTTGCCATATTGCGACTACCACGGGAGGTGTCTGGTGTATTTGATTCCTCAAAGTCTCCCGGTTCAATGGTGACTGGGTGTCCGCCGAAGTAGCTGGCCAGGAGATTTCCAAGGTTGGTGAGTGCGCCTGACTGCATCTGGGCTTCATTGAAGTCGTCATACAGTTTACGTCCGCATCTCTTCAACAATTGAAACTGCATTAGCATTGCTTCACATATCATGATAAGAGAGCCCTTGAAGACAAGAGAAGCTGAATGGCAGATGGCAAGAAAGTTCCAATACTCACGCATGTATATCGCAATCTAACATCGCCAGGTGATACCAAAGGCTCGCGCAGCGACGATATTGTGTTCTTGACAGACGTGTTTATAGAACTCGAAAAGCGGTAGATGGTGCTGGTCTCCATTGGATTCCAACGACTGATCAGGACCTTGATGTTCGCTTGCAGGGAGAAAATTGGGCCTTGGTCGAAAAGAATTTCCTCTATTGTGTCGAACAACACGTCGTCAAAGTCGTCTTCGTCGAGCTCCATGGAAGGAATTTCGGTGTGCAGGTGATGACCCACGGGTCCTATTTCGCCCGGTTTTACCCCTTCCTCAGCCTGTGCCTCCCAGATCTTCCGTGCGATGTGAGTTCGTGATTTGCGAATAAATTTCACAGCGGTGAGGCGGAGCTTGTTGTTTGACTTGTCCGACATTGACTTTCCTTCCCCACCAACGAGGGTCAGATCGTTCGCGTACCGTTTGAGGAGCCCTTTCGCAGCATGGATGAATGTTTGCTTTGTATCGCAGCGCTCAACCAGTTGTGGCCAGAGATATCCCAAACTCTGGAACTTAGTAAGGCTTTCGGCAAATGCTGCGACCGCACCTGGGTCAACAAGAGTTGTGGCTGAGGAGAAGGTGCTAACAACACTCGCCGAATCCGAAACATCTGTTTTTATGGTTGCTGGTGTTTGTTCTTGGTAAGTCGCTTTTCCTTTGACGTCCAAAAGGTCTCTCATTAGATCCCAAGACTGTGGTACTCCTCGTTCACCAGAACTTCCCGAGACCTGCTCGGCAGGTGGATCCTCGTTTGACACAGTGTCGGCCTCGGCCTCGCGGGCTTGGTTCCTGGCTTCCAAAACACCAGGGTGGTTAGCGTCCTCCCTGGATTTGGCTGCTCCACTAGTAGTTGGGGTAGCAGAAGTATGACTGCTACTCTCCAGCTGCCTGGAATTCGCCGTGCTGGCTCCAGCCGCGACTGGAACACGAATCCTTTCTTTGGCAGATGCCAATTTTGTCGCGCGCCGCCGAGATCCACCACCTCCACCTCTTAGTTTATAAACTTCTACTGTGCAGCCTCCACAACGTACTACACCACAGTTGACGCAGGCCGGGGTGGTGGAAGCATTCATTCCACCATGTTCACAATAGCAACACCACCAGAGGTATATTGGTTGTACGTGACCCATAGCTTCTCGGGGTGTGATGACAACAAGGAATTTCGTGTGTTAGCCGCTGATACTTAAAGCGTAAAGACCACGCGGGGCTCAGATATTTTAGCTGGGGATGTTGTATCGAGATCAAGATCAGGTGACAGCCACGTTGTCAGCACGAGGGGCCAGAAGAGCAGAGTCCGTATGCTGTACGACTGCGGCACAGCTGCCAATGAGCTACCGCAGACGATGCACACCAATCATTGTCATTGGACCTTATCTGATGCGCGGTAATTTTATCTTCCAGAATTCTCCATCCAGGGAATTGGAGGCCATTCCATACTAACATGAAATTTAGAGGGGAAAACTTTTAGAATTTTACCTTAGTATTAACCACATTAGGGTTATAAATTTATTCCTTAATTTCTTAATTTAATTAAGTTAGTCTTTAATCTATTAATCTTTAATTAAACTATAATTAAAATAAATTAATCTTTAATTACTTAATTATATTAAATAATTAAAATTAAAAGATTAAAATTAAATTAAAAAAAATTAAAAAATTAAAAAAAATATTTTTTTTATAATAAATAAATCTTTTTCTTAATTTAATAATTTATAAATTCTAATAGAAATTAAACTTAAATTTATAATTTATATAATTATAAAAATTATTTATAAAATTTATAAAAAATTTATTTAATTATATTATATATATTAATTAATTAATAATTATATATATTTTTAACTTTTATAAAAATAAATTAAAAATAATTTATAACTTATTTAAACTTATACTCTTTTCTTCCCTTTATTTTTAACTTAACTACTTATATTAATTATTTTATAATTAAATTTATATAAATTTAAAAATAGAATAAAAATATATTTAAATACTTTTAACTTTATATTTTATTAATGAAATTATTAAAAATATATTAAATAATATAAAATTATATTTTAAATAATATATAATAATTTTATTAATATATTAAGATTATTACTTTTAAAAACTTAAAAAAGAATTTAAATTTTATATAAACTCTTTATATTTTTTAATTCTATTATTAAACTAAAAGTAAATAATTAAGGTTTTAAAAGAATAAAATATAATATATTTTTAAAGATTAATTTAATTAAATTTATTATATAAAACTTTTATAATAACTTTATAATCTATATTTATAACACTATTTATTATTAGAAAATACCTTCTTATATTAATATATTAAACTATATTAATTTAAGTTAATACTATTAACTTTAATATAAATTAATCTATTAAAAGTTAAAGTTATTATAAATTATAAGTTAGTTTAATATTAATAAGTATTATATATAAGTACTAAATTTATTATATAACTTAAGTATATTAATTAAAATAAGTAAAGATAAAGCTACTATTCCTTTAAAAGTTCTAGCTCTACTTTATAAATAAACATCTATTTAATAAACTTAAGAGATAAGTAAAACTACTTAAAAGTAGTTACTTAATTAAATTAAGAAATAGCTTTTAAATAAAGTAACTATACTTTATTACTATATATAACATTTAAATTTATAGTTTTAATAATTCTATTATAAATAAAAGAAAAATAACTATTAATAATTAAATTTATAATTATATAAAAATAAACCTTTATTTTAAAAGAAGTTATTATTATTTAAAATAATTAATATATTTTTAAAAACTAAAGGATTATAAATTTAATTTAAAATATATTAAAATTTATAAAAATATTAAATTTAAGTTTAAAGAATATAAAGTTTTAATTTATTTAAAGAGAGAAAGATTAAAGAAATTTAAAGAAAGGTTTAAATTAAATTAAATTAAGTTATAATATAATAAAATAATTAAATAAAAATGAGTTAAAATTTTATAATTATAAATCTTTTAGCCTTATATTTAAAAGAGTTTAAATTTTATATATATATATAAATACTTTATAAATATTTATTATATTTAATAAATAAATTTTTATTTCAAAATAATAATTTAAATAAAATATCTTAATAAATTAAATTAATATAATTTATTTTAAATAAAAAATAAATTATAAATATTTAAAATTAAATATAAGAAAATAATATTTATATATAAAAATATATTTTAAAATTAATAAAAATATTTTTAAATTTTATATAAAATACTTTAATATTTAATACTTTAAAATAGTTTATTTTTAACTTTAATTATTTAATTGAAATCTTTAACTTTTAATTTAAACCTTTAACTATCTAATTTAAGCCTTTAATTACTTAATTTAAACTTTTAATTATTTAATTTAAACCCTTAACTATTTAGTTTAAATTTATAACTATTTAATTTTAATCTTTATATTTTTAAATTAAAGTTTTAATTATTTAAATTAAACTTTTAATTATTTAATAAAATAATTTAAATAATTTTACAAAATATAATAAAATATAATAAAATATAATAATATATAAATAATTATTTAAAAATTAATATAAATATTTATAAAATACTTTATTATAATTTTAAAATAATAATTTAATTTTATTTTAAAAACTAATTTATTTAAATATAAAACCTTTATATATTAAATATATAATATCATAAAATATATTATTATATTATAATATTATAATATAATATAATTATTATTAAAATATTATATATTATAATAATAATTCTTTTAAATTTTATTAAAAATAAAATTAAATTAATAAATTATTTATTATAAAAAAGTTTAATAAACTATTTATAATAAATAAATTTTATTTATTAAAATATTAAATAAAGAGTTTAATTATTTAAATATTTTTTATTTTTTTATATATATAACTCTTTCCTCCTTTAAAATTCTTTTTTTCTTTCTTTTATATTTACTTCTTTATATAAACCTTCTATTATTTCTAATACTATATAAAATTTTAACTCTATTAAATAATTTATTTATTTATTTTAAATAAATATATTTTTATTTTATTTTCTTTTCTTTTATTATAAAGTCTTTAATATTATCTTTTAAAAAGTAATTTATCATTTATTTTAAAAATAAGTATAACAATATTAATTATATATTATCCTTCTTAAAAATATATATTTATATTTTTAAAAATAATTTATTTATTTAAATTTTTCTACCTATTAAAGAAAATATAAATTAATAAATTTTAATATTTTATATTTAATAAATTATTTTCTTTTAATAAAAAAATTATACATAAATATTATTTTATAAGTTTTATTTATATATAACTATATTTATATTAAATTATAATTAATTAAAAATAATAAAAGTTATTTTTAAATTAATTTTATAATAAAATATATTTAATTATATTTTAAAAATACTCTAACTATATAATTAATATATAAAATAATTTTTAATCTTTTTTAAAATTAATTTTTTATTTAATTTTAATTAATTAATTCTTATAAATACGTTTATATAAAAATACTTTTAAAAGCTTTAAATTTTAAATTATATTTATTATTATAAAAGATTTATTTAAAATTCCTTTTAATAAAATAAATAAAAAATAAAATAAAAGTAAATAAAATATTTAAAAATATTTTTATTAATATATTAATATTTTTAAAAATTATACCTTATAATTTTTTTAATATTTTAATTAAATAAATTAAAGTTAATGTTATAAATATAAATACTTATAATAAAATTTTAAATTTTATTATTAAAATAATTTACTTTTTAATATATTAAATTTAATTTTTTAAAAGTTATTATTTTATTTAAATTTATATATATAAATATTTCTTTTAATATTTTAATTAATTAAACTTTTATTAATATATATATATAAAGTTATATTTATTATTAATTATTTAAAAATTAAAAGGATTTTTATAAATAATTTTAATAAAGATTTTATAAATTTAAATTTAAATTTAAAAGAAAACTATTAATTATAATAATTTCTTTTATATTTTTAATATTATAATTTTTAAAGTAAATATAATTTATATAAAAATAATTATTTTATATATTAATTTAAAATTTTAATTAATTTATAAATTAATTAAATTTTTAAATTAAAAATAAATATATTAACTTTATTCTTTTAAAAATTTAAAAATCTATTTAAAATTATTTAAATATAACCTTAAATAATATTTTAAATATTTAATATTATATATATATATATATATATATATTATATTTAATAATTAATTTTATTATAATTTTATTTTAAATAAAATAATAAATAATAATATATTTTATTAAAATTTAAAAATATAATTTTAATTTTAATTTTAATTTTAATAATAATATTTATTATATAATATATATTATTAATTTAATAATATAAAATATTTTAAAAATTATTTATTTAATAAAAATTAATAAATATATATTTAAATATTCTATAAATTTTTAAACTATTATATTAAAAGTTATTAAAATAATAAATAATTTTATTAATATTATTAATATTTAATATTAATTTAATATAATATTAAAATTAATAGAATTTTAATAAAAGATATTAAGAAATATATATAAAATATATTTTTAAAAAGATTTTAAAAACTTATATATTTTTAAAGAAATAAAATATTTTTAAATAATCTTTTATATTAACTTTAATTTAGATATTTTTATAAAATAAATTTTATATATTTTATATTAAAGATTTTTTTATAATTAAAAACCTTTAATATATATATAAAGAAATATATTTAATATTAAGTTTAAAAATATATTTTTAAATTAAAATATATATTTTAATTTAAATTAATAAAATATTTAAAGTATTTTTAATACTTTTATTAAACTTTAAAGGTAATTATATATAATTATTTTTAAAAGATTATTATATATTTATATAATATATAATAATTTAAAACTTTTAATAAAAATTTTAAAAGAAAGTTAAAAATCTTTTTTAATAAATAATTTTATTTAATTTATATTATAATTATATATTAATTTATTTTAAAATACTACTTATTTAAATTTATAAAAATATTAAAGTTAGTTTAAATAAATTAAAAATACTTTTATATTAATTAATTAAAGTTAATATAAAATTATAAACTTTTATATTAATTTTAATTTTAAACTTAAAATATAAAATATTTTATTTTTAAAAAATAAATTATTAAACTTTTATTTATTT